GCACCAGCACCCAGGCTCCAAACGCGCAGTCTGCACCCTGCAGCAGCACCAGCACCGAAGCTCCAAAGCACAACTTATGAAACTTATGTGGGTCCTTCGGTTTTGCTCCGATACTTCGCTGTGACGTACATGGGCCCATTGTTAGGGACATGTTTTTACGGGGCACAAATATGGGTTTTCGTTGGGCGTGGGAAGCCGTTGATACACGCAACACCACCCGATAGAATCCGCATGCATGCAAGTGGCAGCAGCGTGGCCTGAGCTGCTGCTCTATAAGACTTCTGCTGATCGTCCAGAACTTTGCTTTTCCAACCAAAGGATTGATCGACTCGGTCTCAGAATGCTATGGTTTCTTCTGCCATTGTGGCGGGGCGTTGGCATACATCTTTCTGGATTTTCAGATGGCTTGCATCTTCGAACAGTCGAGGAAGCCATTCCGGGCTCCAATGCCGAAGAATAGATGGCTCATCAGGACCATGCTGTGAGACTGCTGCCGGAACCGATGCAGCATGGAAATGACATTGACTGGGAGGTGCTTGCTGGAAGTCGGGCATTTCGGGCGGATTGATGTCGAGGAGTGCTCGCGCTTGTCCATGCTTCATCATCCAATTTTCCATGTCTTCCGGAAGTGCACGCACGCTTTCCTCTCCGGGAATGCCTGGTGAGTGGCAGAAAAAAATACGATTTCTTTATGTTGGGGCATCTTGATGCGGAAAGGTTGTATCCGCGCCTTCATCTGCTTGCGCCATGTGCTCTGCAACAAGTTGGGACAGCGCTTCGGTGAGGCCTTGCAAAAAGCGTGTGGTGGCCCTAACTTGACTGAAAGTTTGACATGGTTCGACCGCAAAGTGAAGCCCAGCTATGCTTCCAAAATGTTTGAAAGTCACCGTATAGCAAACAGCGAAGAAGTAAGGAACTTGTTTTTTGTGCATGCCATGTAATCACAGCGCTGTGCTGCTGAACATGTGAACATGTATCATTTCGAAAGGAAGCGTATGCCGTATGCCGAAAGCGGTTTCAATGACTTTTCCCATGATTCCAATCAGAAAGGGGAAAAAGTATTGAGGTAAGGTAACATCCTTTATGCTGTAAAGACATGAAGCTCAGCTGCAGGAAATGCAAATCACATGAGCTGTGGTCCTTAATAGAAGGTCTTTTTTGGATGCAAGATCGTTTCCTAAAATGTCCATATCTATTTCTACATATATACATGGTATCTATCTATCTATCTATCTATCTATCTATCTATCTATCTATCTATCTATCTATCACAACTATATATATATATAAACCAATGTACATAGAGAGAGAGAGAGATCCAGCGCATGACAAGGATAATATCCAGGGTTCTGAGGCGTTCATGAAGAAAAACATGTGTGGCACGGCCACAGCATCGAAGCGGTGCCAAGAACGGACCTTGAGAAGAAGAGGCGTCGCAGTGGCCACCTGCGAAGCCACATCTGTGGCGATAAGTCCGGCTGTCATGCGTGAAACAGAAAATTGTACATGTGCAGAAATCATATCTGTGAAAGTGAAAGGCTAGCGTTAACCTGGAACATTGCATCAGCTTCTGGCTTGGATAGGCGGACCAGTGGTGTTGATTTTTGTGGTCATTGAAAAAAACGGGCGCAGACATGACCCAGAAGCGTCCCTTGCCTCCCAGCATGCGCCGCGCAGGCTGCGGGTGTCTCAAGGCAGTAAATTAAGTCGGCTTTGTGCCAATGGTAGAGAAGCGGATCTGTGTTCTCTACAACTCGTGGAGAGAAATATCATATATTGTTTTATGCATCGTTCCCCTTTTCACGCTTCGATTAATTACAATGTTTTATGCATCCTTTGCCTTCTCATGTTGGTTGATCTGTTTGATCCAAAAATATGCGCCCTGCGAATAGTGCACGGGCAAGTGGGAGCACAAAAGAGATAGCTAGTGCAGAATAAGTCGTCACCACCGTGATTGCAGGAAATCCGGCCGTGGTCATGGTAGCGTGTCTTTCGATATGTACAAACAGATTAATCCATGAAAACATAGATATAAGATATGCTTTTTGATTCAAAGAACAATGCAAATTGTGACTTTATTGTGTAGGGTATATTTCTAGGCGTAGGGAAACCTCTCAATCGGACACTTCTGTGCCAAGAAGCATTTATAAAGGCTTAAGGTTGCTTTGGCGGCATGAAGTCGACAGCAGAGTGGTGGTCTTGTGCAAATCGAAAATAGCACTAAAAAGGTCCCCCTCCTCACTATACTCCATTTAAAACAACAACAGCAACCAATACAAAACAACACCATGTAACATAATCTATTCATTTACTCCTGATCGGCTCCAGCGGCTTGAGCGGCCTCATTGGCCTCATCGGCTCCAGCGGCTCCATCGGCCTCATGCATCGGCTCCATCGGCCTCATCGGCCTCATCGGCTCCATCGACTCCAGCGGCTCCATCAGCTCCACCGGCCTCATCAGCCTCATCGGCCTCATCAGCTCCAGCGGCCTCATCCGCCCCATCGGCCGCACTGGCCTCATCAGCCTCATCGGCCTCATCGGCTCCAGCGGCCTCATCGGCCTCATCGGTCGCACTGGCGCCAGCGGCTCCAGCAGCCTCATCGGCTCCAGCGACTCCATCGGCCTCAGCGGCCTCAGCGGCCCCAGCGGCTCCATCGGCTTCATCGGCCTCATCGGCTCGGCCTCATCGGCGGCTCCATCGGCCTCATCGGCCTCATCGGCCTCATCGGCCTCATCGGCCTCATCGGCCTCATCGGCCTCATCGGCCTCATCGGCTCCATCGGCCTCATCGGCCTCATCGGCCTCATCGGCCTCATCGGCCTCATCGGCTCATCGGCCTCATCGGCCTCATCATCGGCCTCGGCCTCATCGGCCTCATCGGCCTCATCGGCCTCATCGGCATCGGCCTCATCGGCCTCATCGGCTCTCATCGGCCTCATCGGCCTCATCGGCCTCATCGGCCTCATCGGCTCCATCGGCCTCATCGGCCTCATCGGCCTCATCGGCCTCATCGGCCTCATCGGCCTCATCGGCCTCATCGGCTCCATCGGCCTCATCGGCCTCATCGGCCTCATCGGCCTCATCGGCTCCATCGGCCTCATCGGCCTCATCGGCTCCATCGGCCTCATCGGCTTCATCATCGGCCTCATCGGCCTCATCGGCCTCATCGGCCTCATCGGCTCCATCGGCTCCATCATCGGCCTCATCGGCCTCATCGGCCTCATCGGCTCATCGGCCTCATCGGCCTCATCGGCTCCATCGGCCTCATCGGCCTCATCGGCTCCATCGGCCTCATCGGCCTCATCGGCCTCATCGGCCTCATCGGCTCCATCGGCCTCATCGGCCTCATCGGCTCCAGCAGCCTCATCGGCTCCAGCGGCTCCATCGGCCTCATCGGTCTCATCGGCCTCATCGGCCTCATCGGCCTCATCGGCCTCGTCGGCGTCATCGGCCTCATCGGCCTCATCGGCCTCATCGGCCTCATCGCGGTCTCGGCCTCATCGGCCTCATCGGCTGCATCGGCCTCATCGGCTCCATCGGCCTCATCGGCCTCATCGGCTCCATCGGCTCCATCGGCCTCATCGGCCTCATCGGCCTCATCGGCTCCGCGGCTCCATCGGCATATCTTTCTGGGAAGCCTATATTATATATGTTCTGAAGCCTGAAGCATGCGGAATCAGTTGCGTCCATTTTGCGCCTGTGGTTTGCTTCGCTGCCTTTTGATTAGTATTGATCCATAGCCTCTTGGCTTGCGATATAGCCTCCAAGTGTCGAACGTACGGCCCCCCCCCGCCAGGTAAACCTGTAACCTTTTACGAGTGCCATCCGGACGATCACGCCCCAGCACCTTCGGTGCGGGCGGCTTTTACTTAGTATCATGTGTTTATTATTATTTTGTTTGGTACTCCCCAATGTGAAACTCAGAAAACACATAGGCAAATCTAGAGGCCATCATGACCTCACGCCTCGCAGGTCGAATATTTGATGGCTTCGGCCTAGTGATGCACCCGGAGGCCGAGCAAGTCCTAAAAGACCCCAGTTGAACTGGCTGTCAGTTGTTTTTTTGTCTTCAAACTGGGTCATGGAGAGCTCTCAATCGATGTTTCACAGCACTGCCGCTGAATGCTGCTGTGCATTTTTGCGCCTAAGAGCCACGCGGCCGCTGCTCTTTGCCGCTGATGACCAGTCCCGGCAAGTGCAAAGTAGATAATTTTCCTACTTTGCAACTGGAAAACAAAAGCTGAGAAAAGGAGAAATGTATGGAAATGTCTTTGTGTTGTTGATTGTTTCCGGCTTTTTGTCCCAGAGAGTGCCGTGCCGCAGATAGAGAATAGATATCCGTTGCCAATTGAACGAAGCGCCAATTATAGTTCGGGGTGCTATATCGCAAACAGATTTACATGTCTGAAAGGTTATGAGAAAAGCCTTGCATGCCGAGAATAGGTTTTGTATGAGGTTCTTAGCCCAAAAAAAGAAACACACTTACTGCTACTTTTTGTTTTTTATTACTCTCCAACATTTTAGAATCTTAGAACAGAACCGCACACCACAACCTGGCACCGATACCCAAGAGCTTGACCGTTTGGTTGACCGGCTTAACTTCATCCCTAAATGGAATAGATCGAAACCAGCCAAATATGTCATGATATGTCCGTTTTTTTCTGCAGCAAAGGTTAGCCATTGATGTAGCACCCTGCAATCAACCGTTTTCCACCTCAAACCGAACTGCCAGCCGAAGCGCTGGACAAAAAGAAGGGACGCTGTTTCGTCAGGCAGTCAGTCTTCGATTGGCCCATTCCATTAGCCCGCCATTATCATGAAGAGCATGTTTGTACTACTCAGAAAGGCTGATGAAGGCTGAAGATTTCACCAAAATTACAATCAGTTCGGGTCGCATTAAAAAAAACATAAAAGAACGCTTCATCACTCATCACCCCAAATTCTGCAACTGACTTGTCTTTGTTGCTGCCCCACTCTAAAGCCCTGAACCGCAGACGTTTGTTGGTTCATGCTTCTGGCTGCTTGCCAGCCATGGGTCAAGCTGCTTGGGCTCAATCTTGCGTCGGTTAATGCTGGACTGCTGGACATTGGGCGGGGGATAGCCCGTCCAAAACGCTAATCTGCGAAGCCTCTCACTCACAACTATTCACAACTGACAGATACGCTCTCTCAAAGTATCATATACTTTAGTTTTATTTAGTTTTAGGATAGGGATCCTATCCTCATAATTCTTGGGAATGGTCGTTTCATGTCAAAGTGGCTGTTTTATCTAAATTTGCTCCTGAGAAATGCGATGTCTATCTCTTGCCGACGAACAAAAACCATTTCCAGGTCGTGTCCGAACAATGCTGCCACTCGGCATCACTTGGCGATACACCCTCTGGTTATTTAACATAGCCATGGAAAAATAGCCCATTTATAGATGATTTTCCCATTAAATACCTACATTTATAAGGGATTTCCATGGCTATGTTAAATAACCAGATGGTAATATTGGTTGCAGGTTACGGCCGGTTGTGGGAGCTGAGAAAAAAAGCGCTCTGGAAGTGTGAAAAATGCACGTAGCTTGAGACTGTTTGACAAACTGGAGTCCATACAACTATAGTGCACACACACACATTTATTATTAACTATAACAATATATAAGTGCATTAATTATACGTGGCAGGTATGTGTGTGTGCTGTTTTTGCTTTGGCCTTGAATTGGTTTGATCCAGAAAACAATGGCAACACTTTGGTTTCTAACCGCGCAGGGGCACAGAAGTTTTGAGACATGCCTTCAAAATTGTAAGATCCCAGTCCCAATCCCTGGCCGAAACTTGACTTGCCGCAGCAGCCTGCTTGAGGTGGGAACAATTCAGGACCACCAAACTCGGGGGGAATGCAGCTGACTTGTATCATGCATCCGAATGTGTGTTCATGATTGTTTCCCAATAGACTCCTATCCGTCCACCAGAATTGACATGTATATCACCAAGTATTGAAAGATATATTCGGCACGAAGAGGTGTTGCTATCTTCTTCGCGGTGAATTTGCTTGAAAAAGTATACGTAGCAAGTAGGCCAGATCATCATGTGTTCATTATAATTTTATTTCTGCTTTTTTTGTTCAGTTGATTTTTTATATGTTTAAACATTAGATCCCCAATAACCCCTCCAAAACACGGGGCCGTGGTTGTCTTTCAGGAGATGCGGAGACAGAGGGAACCGATGCTGTGCCGGTGTTGGTTCCAAGCAACGTGGCGTCGTAGATGGCTTGGTTTCAATTAAGCCAAACAATGGGTCAAGGGCATGTGAAAATATAAAATTATATATGGTTCAATCCCTGAGCATCCATGCGCACAAATCAGAAACGCACGTAAATAATGAGATCATTTTTGATGATCGGAAATTTGGTTCGCCCGGTCCGGTCCGGGTCGGGTGCGCGTGAGCGGGTCGGGTCCCGTCCGGTCCGGGTTCTGGACCGGGTTCTGTCGGCAGTCCTTGCCTCGTCCCCCTTGTGCAACCCAGCAGAGCCACGCAGCAGTCCAGCCACCAGAGCAACCCAGGAACCAGCAGAAAGAGCCAAGCAGCCACCAAAGCAAGCAGCAGCAGCAGCAGCAGCAGCCCCAGGAGAAGCCCAGCAGCAGCAGAAGCAACCAACCAGCACCTTCAACGCTACTGTCTACATTCCTTCCTCGCCCCGGGGGTGCCAACATTTGCAATTTGGAGCCCGGCGCCGCCCCTGGAGCAGTGGGGCCTATAGTCTAGCGGCTAAGTCGGCCTCAAGCCTAAAAAATATATCTTGTCTCGGCGCGGGGGCTCGAATCGCCGGTCCGCTTTGCAAGGGGTGGTGTGACCAGTGTTTGTGTTTCCAGCGCTGCTTGGCCACGGCTTTGTGTTCCCAAGAACCGTTTCTCAAAACCCATTCTTTTCTTGCTTGCTGCTGCTGAAAACTTCAAAATCAATTGCTTTGAGAAACTTGCGCTTAATATTCTATTGCTTTGTTTCGCGTCGGTCCGGGTCGGGTCGGTCTCGGTCCGGTCCTCGTTCTGCGGCGTGCAAGGCGTACCCTGGCAGTGAAATAGTGCATACATGGCCAACACGTGAGAGTCATGGCAGAGGTTGTATTTTGTCGGGAAAGGGCAATATTGGCCTCATATTTCCCAACAGTTGCGTGACAAACCATGACAAACCGTGACGGCAGAGAAAAAGTTATGCAGTAATCACTAAAATCTTGGGCATTGTCAGAAAATGCATTGACAGACCGTGACAAGCCATGATAAGGCTAGCGGTGGTTATGCCCCAAATTTTATTGTATTCGGAAATGCATGCAGAAATAGTGGTCAGACTAAATAGCAAGCACTGAGAGTGTGCATGTCCGAATGCCCATGCAAATGATCCATTCTTTGGATCTACAAGGAATAATCCAAATGGGAAAGGGTGGGCAAAAAAGTGTTTGTGCAGTGTGTTCAACCAATAAAGAGGCAAATAACATGAACTTGCATCAACAAATATGCGATGTAGGAACAGAACTCGCTCATCAAGAAGGTATTATGAGAGACGAGATCTTTCTAGCCACAATATTTCGTGGATTTGGCATCAGTTAGCCTGAGCCAATGGGTTCCGCATATGATCTACATGTACTGATTCATGCATCTCTGCAATGAGGTACCGAAATCGCCCAGCTGACGGGTGCTGGTGATAAAGGCGTTAGCCCTTGCATCCCCAGCGCAGCCAAAGTCTCCGAGAGCAAAGGCAAACCGAAAGACGCCAAAACCACAGCCCCAGCGGCCAAAGCCCCTGCAGCCAAAGAGTCTGCTTCGGGCGGAGGTGGAGCTGAGCTGCTTGTTGGTTGATGTCCAGGAAGTACAGGGATATGAAGGGTCCGGTTTCGCAGGTAATGGACAGGATGGTTTATCATGTTTGAAAAGGTTCATTGATCATCATTCATCGATATTTAGTCTTAAAATGTCTTAAACAGTTAAGTCTTAACTGGTGGAAAATTTATTATGACATATATATATATATATATATATTCAAGTACAGTGTAGTAAGCCCGATCAACTTAATCCCCAGTCGTTGATGACGCTGGCCACAACCCTGCAGGTGGGAAGCCTCCAGAGCCGGTGGCCAAGGCGGCCAAGAAGAAACCAGCTCCAGTGAGCACCGCGAAGACCGTCTCATTGGAGTCCCTCAAGACCCTGACGGACCGGGTCCGGGCGATTCTCCCAGGATTTGGGGAGTCACCCGAAATGGGAAAAAAACTTGGCTTCTTTTTAACTGGTGCATTCGTGTGTGTGTAATGCGTGTAATGTGTGCAGATGCCTTTGAATATATAGAGATATAATGATATATGTAATGTAACGGAATGGAATGTAATGGAATGTAGTGTAGTGCAGCGTAATGTAATGTTATGTTACGTATGTATATGCACGTGGGTCCCCAACAAACACGTTTTCGATCGTTTTCGTGTTTCACCGCTAAGGCCATTTGAGAGCTACGCGGCTGACAGAACAGAACAGAAACAATGCGTTGGTTGTTTCGAACATTTTTTGCGATTTTCCATTTTGACGGCGATGACCAAATAAGCTACTATTTCTTGGGGGAGGTGAAAGGACCAACTAGGGAAACTTTGTAGAAATTCAGCTGATTACTGGGAAAAACAGTGGTGTTTTGCAAAAAGTCCTTCAAACCAACCCAATGAAGATGGTTTGGACTAGCGGAGTTGAGAAGCAGTTGGTCATACTGTCCCCACATGTGACAATAGCTGGCTGGCAATAATGATCATGGCATTGGTTTAAGCGATACATCATTGATGAAAATAAAGGGAGCATATCAACAGATATCACCAGCAAACATGGGGATGACAAAGCGATAACGAATGATGATAGATAAACCAGCATTGGGAATACTCGCGAAGATTTTTATTTTGAGTAATTATGACATTAGTAAGCACATGCGATGCATTGGCACACACATATTGCAAATATTGATTGTTGTATTGCAACACAAGAACGGGATGCTAGGACTGTAGTGGACTCACAGGATTGAAATGATTCGGTGTTTAGAGGGGACATTGATATAGATCAAACTTATATAGATACAACCGTCCCCAACCGGGTGGATCAACATATTCTCGAAACCGGTGAGATTTGAATCTTGACCCTCCATCTATTTCACCGGCGCTGCTCCATGCTATGAGGACATGGGCTTTGATGAGACTGCGGCCACCACTGCCCTGGAAGCGGCCAACGGTGCCCCAGTGATGAATTCATGGAACCCAGGAGGGGAAAATTTCCGGCAGATGACTTGATGACATCTATGGTAATCCATGGTAAACTATGGTAAATTGACCTGAATTACCAAATTTCTTCACCTCTTGCCCTTGCGAACCTTTGTGGTGATTCTACCTGTTTTCACCGCAGAATTCATTATCATCAGCAAGTCCCACCCAAAGACAACGCTTCTGATCTGAGGCAATATAGATCAAGCAGTCGTAATGCTATCGCAGGGACCTGAGGGCAGTTGGGTGACGATGGGAGCTGACAACATCCAATGGCATGGCAGTCACAATATAGATGATCATTGACTAGGTTGGGTTTTTTTTGTATGCACACACACGCACACATGTGCGGCATATAAATGTGTGTAGAGAGGGTTATCCATTGAATTGCACGCGGTATATACATATATTTTTTAATATTTATATATATATTTTTAATATTTAAAAGTATTTATTTATTCGTTTATACATGCAGACATTTTTAATCATTATATATATATATTATATTATATATATATATATATGTGCAAATAACATCATGCATAGAGAGAGAGAGATATATATATATATATTGGGCATACCTGTAGTCTTTATATGCACCCTTTTTGCGGGGAACAGACCTGCCAGACAAGTTAGTAAAGGGTCAGTAGTTCTTTTTTTTAGAAATTAGGAAGACAAACTTGGATACCCACATGCTAGGTATGAAAATGCAGCATATCCGCAGGATTCCTGCCGCAGGATGTTTAAAGAAGCAATAGTAGGCATATTTTGCATCTAAATGTAGCCAACCATCAATCCCAACCATCTATGGCTACTGAGTGCAGACTAGGACTACCACTTCCACAATGGTTGGCTGGCTTTCTCAACATCCCAATTCATATAAATTTGAACATGGTCGTTGTCCCACATTTGATATAGTTTTTCCTCATATATAATATAATATACATGTAGCTAGATCCTCCAAGCGCCATCAAGCGCCCATAATTTTTAAGGTTTTTACATGTTTGTTAAAGGGTATTTGGAGGGTCTATATAGGTATGTGTGGAGACGCATTGTTAGGAAGACAATGGAAGATTCCCAGAACTCGTCGATGGCAAAATGTGCAGGTAAAAGCTGAATTTGATGTGAACAACATAGTCTCCGGCAATATTTCCCTGACAAACCCATCCATTTTCTATCCGTCAAATTGAGATCCAACTTTTAGAACTAGATAGTGAAATCCGCATGTTCATTTGTTAGATATTAATTGTTGATTAATTCACCCACATGATTCTTTGTTAAATCCTATTTTTTGAGTGTTACCCTCTGGTAATCCAACATAGCTGTTGAACATTGCCACCTATAGTTGATTTTCCTAGCAAAAATGGTGATTTTCCATAGTTTTTTGTATGTTTACCAGAGGGTAACCCACTTAAATCCCTACTTTTGAGTGGCCATCGCCATCTTCCCATCGCCAAGGGCTGCCGCCACTGCAGCGCCTGCGGAGCGCTGGGACCCCGGCAGCCCGCGCGCGCCGGCTACGAAGCCGCCGCGGAAGCGGCAGCTGGAAGCGTTGCAGGAGCAGTTCGGCGGCGAACGAGTGGTCGATCAATAAATGGGTATGGATCAATACCTATAGATACATTTTTAGTGGGATGAAGCTATTTTGGGGTTCACTAGGTACCAGGGTTTTGACCCATCCCCAAATATCAATGTTATAATGATGGGTTATGGTGTGATAATGAATAACCATTGCAACTGGTTTTAGATGGATATATATATATATCAATGATTTAATTACTATGTTTTAGACCAATTATGTCCCTAGCACCAAGAAAACACAAATAAGTATAAATGATGGTTTTGTTGGGGTACAATGATTATATACAGTATATATATATATGTGTGTGTGTGTTGAATGCCGCTATAGATTTGAGATTATGTGGGATTTATATGGGATGTAATTAATGGGATCATGTTTCAATTGTGGCTGGGAAGTCCCCTGCAAAATGGAAGGTTTGAATGAAAAACCATCTATACATTGGAGGATATGTTTTAATTATATTTTGGGATTTATGCATATTTAATGTCATTACAGTTGGATTTCTTGGTTTTAACCTATATACATTCGGTAGTATCATTTTCCATTACGGGACTCCCGTTCTTAACCGACCATCAGAAGGGATTTTCCATTAGGTTTTTGACATAGTATTCTGCAGTAATCAACTGTGACTAGCTGGGAAATCACGTTATAAAGAGATATTACTGGGAAAATCATCAAACTAAACAGTCGGGGTTCCAGTAAGCCAAGTTTGATTACCAGAGTGTAACTGGTGAACCAGCAACCAAAAACCTTCAGCTGACTCATTGATTGAATATGGTTTTGTTTCACCCATAATATTTAATGGGCTATTCAGCAGCATAACTTGCGGGAATATCATGATATCATATGATATCATGGACGTTTTCCTGCAAAAAAGTCCTTGGGATACTGATGATACTGACCAACAAACAAATAGGTGGAGGATCCTGGAGGATCTGTGGATTTAACCACCAATAGCGGATTTCGTGGATGTTTTTTGGGAGGTTTTTTGGGAGGGAATTGGGGCAATGGATGAATATACAACCAAAACGTGGGGAACATATATCCCTTTGGATGAATATCCCATAGGATCCATGTATGCAATATATGGTAACATGGATCTCATCAATATACCCCAGTCATGTTAGCATATATACCAGCACCATGGATCCTATGGGTATGTTCTTTGTTGATTTTCTGAAATTAAATTTGGAGGTCAGGCAGAAAAGGGTGATGGGGGCCTTCCGTATGGGGTTTGGCCACATCTTGGACCATTGGGAATGAGGATGAACATTTCATTGCCAACATTTGCCAGTTTACCAGGCGAACATAGAATTTTCGGAAACATGTTCACGTTGACCATACTGTTTATATCTGTTTATTGTAGATTCACCAGGGTACCAGGGTACCAGGGTTCTGACCCGCAACGATATGGGAACAGAATGGCGTTCTGAAAGAGACGATCCCACGCACATGGAAATGGAATGAAATGGAGATCTCTACTGTTTTGAATGAGTCTGAAATATAAATGTTCAATGCCTGATTCTAAAATCCACCTCTATCAATTGCCGGATTTTTCTGTGCGCCACCAATCAAGATTTAATGATGTGTTCTTAATTGTATTGTATGTCGAAGACGTTTTGATCTTCATACTGTGCAAGTACAATCAAATGAATGCGCACATACACACATTATATATGCATACACTCACATGCGAGTGATATTGAGTGCGAGGTGTATATGTTTGACAGCATCAAGCATAGCAATTGATTAATCTTCATGTCACTTATGTACTCAACTGGTATGCGAAAACCAAAAAATCCACCATGGCGCCGAGGAAGGTGAACATGCTGACTGCCATGGGTTTCAGCGAACAACAAGCCAAAGATTCCCTGGAAGCATCTGGTGGTGATGTGGAATCCGCTGTGTCTTGGGCTGGGGAGGTTGTCGTTGGGACATTGGGATGATTTACAGAAAAAAACTCTGGGAGAGCGTGTGTTTTTTTGAAACAGACGATGGACGTTTCCCGCAAAATTTCCCTAAGCCGCTCCAGTGAGTTTACTGTAGCTGACATTTAGTTTCAAACATTTTTCTCCATGAAATCCTGATTTGGAATGACTCCAAGTGCCCAGCAAAAATGTAAAAATGAGGATGGCTGTGCACGTGCCCAAGAAATCGTATGTGTGGTGAGAGTCCAAGTCCCCAAACTGACCGAACCTTATTTTGCAATTTTCGGTGCTACGCGATCCGCAAACCATTAATTTTGGGGTATACCAAATGTTGGCCCATATTCCAATGAGGTGGTATATCCGCAAACCATTAATTTTGGGGTATACCAAATGTGTTCCAAAATGTTGTCCGCCCATATTCAGGAAACATACCCTTTTTGAGGTGGTCCTTTTCCAATTTTTCCACTGTTGGTAATGATTCGGTGATGATCCCAATATATCCCAATCTGTTTGATGGTTAACAAATTAAATCCGGATTATCGATCTCCATCCCCACTTGACATCACTTGACAATATTCCATTTACCCCCCAAAATCATTCCAGATGCCTAAACCAGCGTGGAGGATTCTTCCAGCCTTTCTTTTTGTCTTGCTTGGCTCGGATTCCAGATTCTTCCTGGTTTACTCCCCAGTTTTCTGAGTCAAAAAAAACACCTAAAACCAATATAAAACTCCAGAATTTTGGAATTGATGCTGCAAAATGTCCCCATTTCCCTTGGTAAAATCAGCATTTTTGCTGCGCTTCACCACCAAACGCCTGGTTTTTTGGGTCGGATCCCGAGGTGGAGATCCTCACCGGGAGAGCTGCCTAGAGAATGAAAAATGCCGGGGTGAAACTGTCAATGCACCCATGGCTGATGCATGGTAAGATGTTATAGCAATAATATATATATATTATAGAGAACCATTAAATAGTACAATATTGTACATGTTATATTAATTGTATATTTATACTATATAATATGTAAAGAATCAGTTGATGTGCATAATATATATATATATAGGTATATGCATACAGAGATATAAGATGCATATGCCCCAGATCCAATCCTATTTGTTTTTATGTCACAATTCGCCTTTCTGACATATGTTTTTTGTGTTTGTTTGTTCGATGCATGTGTATACGTAAACATCCGTACCCAGGTACTACATACTCACGTACGTACATACCTACGTACCTACCCACATGTACAGACCCATGCAAATTATGCGCATATAACATACTTATATAATGATTTAAAAAGTATGCAGATCAATTTCATCTGTGTCCACGCATGCAGATGGACTAGGGTGTCCAGTCACATCTCACCATCAACAATCCAGATTGAGCAGATGATCAAGCGCTGCAACGGCGATGACAGTGAGCCAGCCGTTTTGGCAATGACACCCCCGCAGGCTGAACATGTTTCACTGGTACGGTACAGGGTCCCCGTAGGAGATTCGGTCAGTCTTGCCTAAGTCTATAGATGCTATGACTGCAGTGATCTTGACGCATGACATGCCAATTTCAACCTGGGACCTGGGAATGTCAATTTTGGGATCTCATGTAGCCTAAACTCCGCATGGAAGTAGCCTGATTTTGCCAGCTGACTGGATCAGTAGGGCCCCTGAAACCTCAACAAAGCATAGATGCAAACGCATTATTATGCAGCGTCAATCCGTCGGCGGATGCTGGGTTCTGTTGGGCAAATATGGCAGGGCTCAAATTGGGCACCCAGTCACTGACACAGTCAATTGTACCGCGATTAGTAGTTACCTTTTTCTTGGGGGCAGGGAATATCTTTAAAGCTCTACCTACTACTTACTGAAGTATTAACATGGCTTGTGGAGTACATGTGTAACATTGAAACTTGACTTGGTCATTGAAAGGGGTTCGATAGGATGTTGCTGGTTGAATTATATATAGCAACCAGTAAAGCAAGGGAATCATTCCAATATTGGACATATGTAAATGATTTTGAAGTTTTTAATGTGACCATTTTCCAATAGTTGATATTTTTTTGAATAAACGCCAAGGTGTTGGTTTCGCTTTGGCCCAATGCCATAGCTCATGGGCCCAGGCACTTCTTGAAGTACAAGCTATTTTAGCATATTTTAGCTCCTTCGCAGCCTTTTCGAGTGACAGTAGGTGCCGACTCAATTAAGTTTTCCGTCATTTCTTTACAGATCACTTGATCAAGGAAGAAAGAATGATTCATATAATTTAACTACATTAGTTTTCTGTATTGCCTGGGATGTTTAGAATCACGATGTCACAACTGTGGAACACAAGGCTCGTTCTTAGCTTTTCGGAGGCACCTCTGCTGACTCTGCAGCAAGGGCGAATAAGACGCTTTAGTCTTGTGAGGTGAAACCATGCGTGCGGGGACGTACTGAAATTGAAAGTTGAAGCAGGTGTATAGCAGATGTTTTGGACGGATATGGCGTGAGGCCGTATATATATATAATTATAAATATTATATTATATATTTTTTCTTATATTCTTGAGGTTTTGGACATGTGTGTGCTTCAGTTTCTTCCAGCATCTTACATCTTTTGGTGGCAGACAGCAAATATGTTGAGACTTCAGCCCGTTCAGCGACCCTCAGGTGGGTTTCAGCCCGGAGTTTCTCGGAACCAGGTCCTGGTGATGGAGGCGGAGATGGTGTTTACTCCCCCAAGATCTCCTGATTGTATGATCTATATCAATCATCAATCATATCTACCCCGTGGAATCATTTAAGGGCAGTTTTAGGATTAGGACTAAGTGAACATATAATTATGTTATAGCACGTTATAGGCATTATAGGCTATTATATCATAACTCTTGGTCCTTTTCGAATCGTGCAGCTGGACCTTAAAGCTTTGCTAAGCAATGCTCCAGCTAGAGCCCACTGATTAAGGGCGCCGTCGCATCACTTCACCATGTTTTGCTTGGACCAGCTGACCAGCTTGGTTGAACGATGGTTGACAGCCTTTGTGAACCCTGTGTCCACCTTAGTGATTTAGTGAGAACCATTGAGAACCCCAACGCTGGCCATAGGATTTGCAAAGGTTGCAGTAGCCAGGTTGCCTTCTTGGAGCAGTCCAAATCACATCCAGAACCCTCAGATCTGCCTGCCTCGGCGCAGTGTTTGCAGAAGAACAAGGCGAAGAATCTCATGGCGGTTTGAGCTTGGCTTCTTGGAATGCAGCAGAGATATGCCTCACTCCTGTCGCTTGATGGCTTGATGTTTTTTTTTTAAATATATAACAAAAGAATGCGCGGATAAATCAGTGGCCCAACCATGAACCATATGGGTGAAAAATGGTGAACATCATTTGGGCAGATGCCCCCCATTAGACCAGACCATGGCACGCTGCCGGGATGGGGCTGTGAGTGAAGGGATGTGAAGTGGAGATGAGAGATGAGTGGAAAATATGACTTGAAATCCACAAATCCAATGTGAATCAGACATGCCCGCTGTTTCTCGTGAATCTGATTGGAATGCTATAGCACCACGGGGTGCTTGTATATCATATTATGGTATTTATGTGTGTTTTTTTTATTTATATGATATATGTGTTACAGTTATTATAATCTAACTACCCCAGTGACTGGCAGCTTGCTCACAAGTACAAACAAGTTGTTTTTTATCCTCCCTGTATCTCCTGATTTGTAGCTAGCATTGCCGCACTTGGAATTCTGGAAGGTACATGTCTGAAATGAACGACATGCCTTCAAAACTTAAGTTCATGAGCATTCATGAGTAGTTTTTCCCTATGTTTTTCCATGAGTTGTGACTTGTGTGAACAAGTTCAGCCCACTTCACTGGATGTGTTTGGTATGCCCAGAACACGCACCCTACGCCTGGCACAGTGAGGACTTGAGCCGTTCCGGCAGCGAGGAAAGCACCTTCAAGGGATTGGATCAGGAGCTGCTAAGGGGTGACAGAGCGCCACTGGGCTGAGCATTTCGTGTTTGCATATGTGTTTTTTCTTGTCTATCTACGGCATGTTTTTTTAAAACCCATCCTGTACATTCCTGTTTTACCAAACTTTACCTTAGCACTTGTTTGAGCCACATTTTTTGTCACTCAACAAGTAGTTTGACGCAGCGTATCGCCCAACTTTTCATGCCAGTGACCCAGCTTCGTGATCCTCCAGCTGTTGGCTCACGCCCTCCGTGTCCCACTGAACCGCTGGCTCGATGGCGGGCATTCAATTTCCTGCCAATGAGAAGGGGGACAGGCCGGAGCCGTTTCCTGGGAGCCCCAACACTAAGCAACTACAGAACCCAAGGCAAGAAGTGAATCAACGTATTGAACTTACCCTCTGGTAAATAAACATAGACCCTGAAAATCACCCATTTTTAATGGAAACTAATATTCCAAGTCCTATTTGCCAGGGTCTATGTTAATTTACCAGAGGGTATCTCTGCGGGATGCACGTCCTCTCATTAAATTAGTGCTTCATTGGTGTTTCAATTTCTTCTTCATCCACGTGAAAAATGGCATCCTTGGGATCCTTGGGATCCTTGGGATTTTCATGCGGCAGGTCCACAACCTCCTTCAATAAGGAGGTCTTTAGTGCCATGGCCAACAGCCTTGGAGCCAAGGACTGGAGATGGATTAAAACTGGGAAAGCAGAGAGAGAAAGAGAGACAGAGAGCGCGAGGAGGGAGGGATTACATTTTATTACAATATATATATATATAGAGGTAAGAGATATGGACTGCGCACCACTATCCAAGAGCAAAGTCAGCTTTGAACCTTTTTCTCGGGTTTCATGTTTCTTAGATGGCATCAATGGACGGCTTGCAGATCTAGAAAGCTTCGGGGTCCCGTCGATGGGGCATCAAATCTTGGCACTCGATAAATACGTGTCATCAGCAAGTCAACAAAAAGCACATGATTAGCCACGGCAGGACTTAGAAGACAAAATCAAGTCAGAGAAGGATTGGCGCCACAAGCGCCTTGGTTTCTGGGTAAACCTAACCCCGGTAGGCCGGTAGGCCTTTGCTGACCCTAAGATTTGCCTTTTGCCCATGGTTGTGCCCAGTATATGGAGATCATGCCAGAACTGGATGGTTTTGTGGCAGATGTTCCTCAACCTGTTGTTACCTGTTGTTCAACAGAGGAAGTCCAAAAATCTCCAAACTGTATTTTGAATGATTCTATTGAAGGGGACACCGGGGATTTTGGGCACTTGTGGGCATCCTCAAATTGATGGGGACAGCCGGGGACAGCCACATGTTGTCAGCACAGCTTAGGTACTCTGTTCACTTGGATCAGGTCGTTGAGCGCACCCTGAAACTCCAGGACACTGGCTGAAATTCAGGGTGCAGTAGAGGTATTTCGGAGACATCGAATGGATTTCATTGGATTTTCTGACTAGACTGGCCCCAGTGATGCTATGCAAGCCGCAACCCCCACCTCTTCACAGGACGCCTCTGCGCTTTCCGCGGTGCTTACGAAGGGCTTAGAGAAAGTCCCTTGACATGTGGGATGGTCAAAGTCATGTTAATGTATGACCACTGAACATGTTTTTTTCGATGATACCCTCTGGTAAACTAACATAGCTATGGAAAATCACCATTTTTAATGGGTAAATCCACTATAAATGTCCATTTTCAATAGCTATGTTAAATTACCAGAGGGTAGTCTACAATAAACCATCCATGAATCCATGACTGGTTCTTGATGAGGAGCACCTCAGCACTGAATGGTCAAGATTGCTTAATGGCTTACTGATGGCTTGTTCTGCCAGAATTCATGGTGGCCAAACATGGAATTTTTGTTGTGATGACCTCACATGACCTTGCGCCGCGATGTCACTGGAATGCTGGTTAGGATTGGGAAAACTATATATATATTATGTGTTCAAAATGTTGGAAAAATTGGTGTATTGTTATAATCTAGCCACTCTAGCCAGAATCATCAATCATCATCAAGCATATTTGGCGCATTGCTGCAACTTATCAGTATATATATATATATTACATAGTATAAATATATGTGATATTTAATTATTCTCTGATAAAATTTCTATATATAATATAGATATAAATATAGATATAACTTATAACTTATTTTGTGATATATATATATATAATATAGATATAGATATAATATAGATATAACTTATAACTTATAATATAGATATAACTTATAACATATTGATATGATACATATATATATAATATAGATATAGATGTAATATAGATATAACTTATAACTTATAATATAGATATAACTTATAACATATTGATATGATATATATATAATATAGATATAGATATAATATAGATACGAACTTATAACTTATAATATAGATATAACTTATAACATATTGATATGATATATATATATATATAATATATATAGATATAGATATAATATAGATATAACTTATAACTTATAATATAGATATAATATAGATATAACTTATAACTTATAATATAGATAAAATATAGATATAACTTATAACTTATAATATAGATATAATATAGATATAACTTATAACTTATAATATAGATATAATATTGATATAACTTATAACTTATAATATAGATATGTGACAGGTGCAGAGATTCCATATCCATAACACGTCCAGGCGCGCTCTATGGACTTCGAGAGTGGCTCCGTGGCGCCAGGCGCGCTCTCGCAGGCCATGACGGCCAGTGCGGCGATGCTCGGCACGGGATATTCGCGACGATGGCTTGGGATAAGGTGAGGATCTATAGTACTATGATTACCCTCTGGTAAACTAACATAGCAACGGAAAATCACCATTTTTAATGGGAAAATCCACTATAAATGGCCATTTTCAATAGCTATGTTAGTTTACCAGAAGGTATATCTATATCCAATATCATAGACAGTATATATTATTGTATATATATTCTACTACATACAGAACATCAGAATACATACCGCTGATGTTAGTTTATATGTTAGTTTTGTAGCATTCTGAATATGTATATATAATTATATATATAGGCTTGGTCATGTCGTCAAATTTAAGGATGATCGAAAAGAGATGCGCGGTCTAAACTGAGGCCCAGGTTGGATGAATGGTGTGCTTGCAGAGGTTGCAGTTGGATAATGTTTGGATGCCCATTTTTGGGGGGAAACAATATAACTTTGTAAATATTTAAAAGTTGTATAAGTTGAAAAATAAATATATCATCAGACAAGATGATAAGATGCTGGTGGCACAGAAAGGTGTTCCAATTCTTAGGCATTCACACTAGCCTAGTGGCTGTAAGATTGTGACAAAAGATGGACCAGACATTCGAGAGCGAGGACTTTTTTTGATGACACACGAAGCATGTTGAGCAGTCTAAGCTCGGTTATTCGTTCAACGCGCCCCCGAAAATGTTGGCATTGGATTCCTAGCCATGCTGGGGCAGAGCAACTGTTCCACTAAGGAAGTTCACCACCAGCAAGGTCGCGGTGCTGTTGTAGGGACCCTCCACTTGCTGCTTGACGATGACTCATGTTTGTTCAATGATTACTCCTTGTATATATACGTATATATAATTGCTACCCACAAAGTTGGATCATTTGCATTTGGAATATCATCTGAACAGCCCTTGACTGCATTTGCAATGCAATCCCAATTTCGCGCGAATCCAGTTTTGTGGGTCCATCTTTGGTCCTTGTAAGGCGACTGGGCAACCAATTTCATACGGAATTGCACACGAACCGTGCTGTTGGGGTTCGCAGTTTGCCATCCTACCTGTGCATTCTTGAAGTCACTACACATGTGTACAGAGATCCATATGTTTTTTAGGTTTCAAAAATTATTGGAATACCGGAATACCTTCAAATCCATCATCATATTCCCATATATGGGCAATATGGTCCCGATATTTTCATGGCCATCACGGCCATTTGCGAAGTAAATCACTGCGTCCCGTGGCGCAGGTCGCAGGCTCCGGCTCTGTGGTGACCGATCTGGTGGTGCCGTACAACGGGCACCAGCTGAAGGGCTCTGAGCTGGAAGGGCAGTGCGAGCCGTGGTATGCACAGAATTTGTATAACATATATCACATATATATATATATATATACCATATATATATATTATACCAATGGATGTGGCAACTTAGTATGGGATAGTGTTTTGTAGTGTGCAGTACTTTGTTTTATTTTGTATGGTGTGTATCACAAAGTACATAGTATCGTATGGTTTGGTAATGGTACGAATGGTACGTGGTATAGTATACTTCGTGGTGTTTCTGGTTCGCAGAATCTGCCAATGGGAAAACTCTAGTTTTCACATGTTTTCACACTTCACAACTGATTCTTTGTGAAGGGGTTCATGCTGCGTTCTGTACAGTTGGTTCTAGTTCTATCGTGATTAATGATTGATTAATGTTGAGCATGCCTGTTTATAAAGAAAAAAGAACATTTTGCTGTAAGAGTAGTTCAAATCCGTCAGCTTTGAGAAGGGTGCTTGCCTAAACGCTTTGGATATTTAATATCCACTATTCGTTAAAGAGTGACATTTCCATGATTAGTTGAATGGACTTTGCAAATATCCAAGGCCTTGGGCACCCACAACAGACAGTCTGAGGCCTACCAGACCACAAATACATACTGCATGATACTACACTAACATATACTAACATATACTAACATGTATTTAGTGTAGTATTACTACAGTGTACTAACCACCTATTGTTAATTTGGATCCAGGCAGCCATCGATATTTTTTCTGGGGCCACCAACTGTTCCTCAGGATCAATGGAGCAGCTACGGCACGATGGAAGCTGACTGTGCCACTGCCATCAAAAACGGCGCCAAGAAGCTGGGAGAAATGAGCCTTGACGCTGCCAGGTGGTAGGTGAAGGGTACAACTCTGACTATAATTCATTTCGTATATATATATATTGTTAAATATATATATATATATTATATATATATTGTTAAATATATATATATTGTTAAATATATATATATATTGTTAAATATATATATATTTAACATCATATTTTATAAATGAATAAATAGATAAATATATATATACATACATATATCGTCGTATAATTGTTTTGATTGTGGACCGCAGGTAGTTGCATGTTGCACTCAGGAAAGGCCGGACGTTTCTGGTGTTGCTTGGCACTGTGGGGGATTTGGTGAACACCAGAGGTTTCACCAGGTTTCGCAGTCAGTGTGCTAAATCGGATTTTCCCAAGTGGACCTATAATACTGGTAAATACTGGTTAATACTAGTTAATACTGGTTAATAATGGTTAATAATGGGAATGCTCATTCCGATCTTGGATTCTTCACATTAAAAAGATATAGTATGATACAATTGATATAATCAATCCACTCAGCAACTTTCTGAATGGGATGAACATTCACTTGGGCGGCTTGCAATGGCGCCCCTGAAGGCATGGCGTGTTTGACCCTTTGATCGCCAGAGGATGTGTTAAAGCCACCCTGCTCCAAGCACCTGTGGTGGGGCCTTTTGCTGAGGCTAGGGGCTGGTTCCGAGCTGGGGCCTGTGCGGCCTTTGTTAGAGGTGTGGGATGCTGAGGATGGGCTAGTGAAGTGAGAAACTCTGCAATATAAGTGAGAAACTCCAAGAAGTGCATACATTTGTCTAGTGTGTTTGCTTGTCTTGGTATGCTTGTAATTAAAATTATATAGATATGTGCCGATGCTCGCAACTTGACACCTCGCAATCCAAGATTTCCTGCTAAGCTTCAGTTTGAAGCCAGGTCCCATCTCCCAACGAGCCTGTTTTGCCATGTTCTGTTTCGCTTTTGGCTCGACAAGTGCTCCCAATTAGCACCAATCAGACTAGGTCTCTAAAGGCAAAGCACTGGGATTTTCAGCATGGCCTGTTTTTCTCTTCGCACCGGTCCGGGTCGGGTGCGCGTGAGCGGGTCGGGTCCAGTCCGGGCCGGGTTGTGGACCGGGTTCTGTCGGCAGTCCTTTAGAAGAGCTGTCCTGAATGTCTTGTGTCTCGTTGATGCATCTATGGAGTCTTATCTATGTTGGGGTGATTTGATGGATGTGGGATTGGGAAGCACACAGATTTTCAGAAAAACGCTCAAATCGATCAATTTTGATCCAAACGCACCAGAAATAAAGTGAGCAAACACTAAAACGCTCAAAATCAAACATGATTTTGAAGCTCCAGGTCTGTCATATTATGTATATACATATGTATATATATATATATATCAGTTTTGAGTCGCAAAGCCGCAGGCGGGTGCCACTGTGGCGGCGGTGGCCACCCGACGCCCCAAGCGCTGGGCGGAGCTCATCGCCCTGGCGCGAAAGAGTGCTGGGACCCTGCTGCTGCCGGTGAGTCCCCAGAGCGGAGAGGTGAAGAACGACGAGGACGGGGATGGCTGTTGGGATGGCTGACGGAGGATGGTGACGTGGTGACGAAATATGCAGGATATATTTCAAAGACCTTTAAACGGATGATGAAATTGACCAATACAGTCTGACGATCTGGCACTAATAAAAACTATATGATCAAAGGATTTGTCGTTTTCCTGTGTTTTTTGTCCGGTAATTTTTCCTTAATAGTTCCTATACTGTAGTACCTTGAATGGTTGAGGGTTTTTGGAGGGAACGACCCGTGTAAATCTATATTTTGATGGATTGTTTTGGGATGTTTGTTTTGGAATGGATAAATGATAAATGTATTTTGGATGGTAGTGATGACTGGTGCATATTATGAAAGATGATAGTTCATTACGATGATAAAGACCATGCATTCTAAGCAGCAAACATAGGTGAAACGGGTTCGATTAGGATTCTTGAGTTGTTGGTACAAAAAAAAAAACACGATATACGCATACGCACTTCGTGTTTCATGCCCCGTGACATTACATCACCATTTTCTTGGAATTGAAAAGTGGTTCATTGTATTCAATAGAGTTGGTTGACACAAACAAGCAGCAATCGCTGCAACAAGTGTTTTTAAGATGGCATAGCATTGAGGGTTTGGTGAGCATCACAGGCACCCCGGCTACAAGACGGTTTGCCAAAACTGCAAGGCGTCTAAATCACAGAATCCAAAGCACTGGTCTATGCGTCCCTTTTTTTGGGCTACCCAAACTGAGACACTGACAGGACCTGGCAGCAGTGGCGGGCGCGGATTTGTTGACGGAGAGGGTTTTTCTGCGCCGGGGGAAGTGGTGACTCACGTGCCGACCGACTGGTGGTTTTTCGACCGTTGCCCCCATAGGTTGAGGCCTCGGCCCCATGTGCTGAAAATCCATTGGTCTACCGAGTCTACCGCTTTCCGCCCTAAATCAAAGCCCAATAAGACCAGGTCCTCAGTAAGCACTCGGATCCACAAGGCATATAAGATGACATTTCTGATACCCTCTGGTAAACTAACATAGCTATTGAAAATGGCAATTTATAGTGGATTTACCCATTAAAAATGGTGATTTTCCATTGTTATGTTAGTTTACCAGAGGGTACATATACATATGATGACATTTTCTTTGTAGTTTGCGCCAAAACTCAGCCAAGATATACCAAGTACCAGGAGACGCCACAGATTTTGGAGTGGCTGCTGCGCTGCGGCCGGGAGGCGACTGGAAAGGCGGGTTTTTCCGGGGGCTCCGGGACCCGCTGAGCGAACCAGGAAGTGATGGTTGGTATATCAACCATGTTTTATTCTGCTAGTACAAACACAACAATAACCATCACTATTTAACGTTTATATACGATAGATAGGGAGTATGAATTTTCAATTTGCCGTTGAACGGTTAGTGGCGAAATCAACGATGTTGTGTCCTTTTGGGGATGATGGCTCTTGACTGGTACAACCATGGCCATCATCAATAACAATAGTGTGTGGCTTATCGTTTTATTTGCCAGTTTATTCCCCCAACGTTTTGGTGGTATGCCTTGACAAACATTACCAAAAGATAAATACACGTGCAAGTTGCAGATTGATGTGTCTTTTTTTAACATGTTTACCATCATGAAGGGAACCAACCCAACATATCCCTGTCAAGATTCAGTGGAGATCGGTCAGAGACACTGAAAAAGCCCAGCATTCAGCTGAAAGGTGACCATGGGAACGTATTTGTACGCAGATGGCGAGGCAAATGCATCTTGGATCTTCAACACCAACTGGGATGGCCCCATGGGAATGCTGGGTCGGCTGGGTATACGGCATTTGCGGAAATTGCATGTACTGCAAAGGGATTACAAATGACAAATGCTCAGAAAATTTCCTGAAGTTCTGGTATCACAACAATACTATTGTTTGTGAGCTCATGCGCCTTTGTGACTCATGTCATATACTGTACCGTGTCATGTTTGCATGATATGGTTCCAGCGGTTCAGCATGTTCCGCCTCCAAGTGAGGTGCGTCTGACGGCCGCCTCAGATTTCATCGTGGAGGCTCTGAAATCCTTGGGCAAAGACAAAGTGAGCTTCGCCTACCTGGTGACCTGTCAGATGGGGATGCCATTGATGTTGATTACCCTCTGGTAAACTAACATAGCTATTGAAAATGGCCATAGAAATAGTGGATTTACCCATTAAAAATGGTGATTTTCCATAGTTATGTTAGTTTACCAGAGGGTAATTGATGGAAGGGGCAAAAGATGGTGGATCATCATCGCCATCATCATCATCATCATCACCACCATCACCATCATCAATATGATGATTATCTTGCTTATGGTCGTCATTGTCATCACAAATCTCCTGCCGTCATTTTACCATTTTGCCAGCATCCCTAGTGAGACTGGAAGAGAGCACTTGGCCCTAGTGGCCAACTGTTCTGGCACCATTGTGTAAATTATCATAGCAGGAGCATGTTACCAAAAAGAATAGCAACCCTACTTGGGCGGCAGCCTTGCCAACAGGGTGCCTCCTGTAAGCAAAGGTGTTTATTCGGTAAGCACGTAGCGAAGCAGCCAACAGGTAAGCATAAATTATGGAATTTAAATAAGTGAAGTGCAATAATTCCAACTAGTGGGTGCCCCTCAAGATCAATGGTTGTAGCCTAATTAGTTCATTTTCTGATATATATATATATATAAAAATACATATATATATATATACATCGTAGTATCCAGTATTATCTTAAACATGTTTTTTTCAGCCCTGGGACCCTGGGACCCTGGGAGCTGCCGCTGAGTCCAGCTGTTCTACCTCCACTGCCATTCCAGCGGAGGTGGGTGGTTTGAATGCGCCAAGCGGCTCACAGCCTCGATGCGCTACGCATAGAAAAATAGGTGATTTAATAGGTCTGTATTCATACAGAGATATGAAAATAGATGGTCATGTTGGATATTAAGCGATGTATAGATGTAGGTATATGATGAATGATGACAAATGCAGAGTGTTTCAGATGTTTTTAATGGTATATTAGTGTGAATGTTGATGTATTTGTGCTGTAGCTGTGGTGCGGTACCAGTAAAGGACTTAGCTTGTCATGGCCCAGGCCATTCAAGCGCAAGAGGCGAATTTCAACACTGCCGGGCGATGGGCCACCATGTTTGGTGAACGATCCTCGGATTTTTCGGTTAGATCTCTGGAGGGGTCCATGGCTGTGGTGGGCTGGCAGGTTATTGATGATGATGGTCATGATGCTGGTGGTAATGATGAAGACATTGTACTAAAAATATGTATTCACATTATATACTGTAATAGGCTAATGTTATCTAATCTGATATTTTTCTTCACATGTACAGTCGCCGTTCAGTTGACACTGGCATATCTAAAAATAACATCAAAAGCAGCGACCAAGCACAGACTTCATCCAAGATGCAACACAATGGTGTGATAGTCTTGTTCACCTTTGCAGCGGAGACTTGATGCATTTGAGAACAGGTGACCCACGTGGTAAGTTTCCATAACCAAGGACAGAACTGCAAGAAGCTGGATGATGGAACCTTCTTCCTAAGCGGCTTCGAAGTGCTTCAGGGGCCCAACTATGCCCTAGCGCAGATGATGCGCTGCTTGATAGCATGGTGCTCCAGCTGGCCATGCTTGGTGAATGCTGATGTTGATGGTAGTCATGTCGGTTTGCCAGAAAATCGATTGCCCATCATTGCCCCTGAATGTGCTGTTTCATCATCATGTTCCAAGGTTGAAACTGCCATGTTGGGGAAAAAAATACACCATTTTCAGACACACCCAGGTCACCTCAGAAAAGAGGAACCTCAACATGTTGGATTTCCAGCTCCAAAATCAGACGAATCAAAAACCAGATTTAACGACAAAAACTTGCTGGGTCCATTCGCCCCCATGGCGACAAAGGTCAATGGCGAGCGGCACTTTTGCACATGGAGGGCTTCACTGTACCTTGGCCCGATGGGCGGTGGGATTTGGAGATATTGGGGACCTTCAGTTGCAAACAAATACGGGGGTTTCAATACAGAGCGAGGAGAATACCTTAAGACTACTTGGAGCCCTTCTCAAGGTTCGGGGGACCTAGGATGTATTAACCTGAGCTTACGGCTGCACATGTGAGCTCCTGTGTAGGTACGGCGGTTTCCGAACAAATATCTTTCAAATTTTGAAAATCTGAGATGGAAAAGTGAATAGTTATATACTTCCCTATGCTAGTCACAAGTCTACATAAAATACATAAGGTGTGGACCAGCAAACTGAAAAAACATCTCCAAATGTTTACAGTACCCTCTGGTAAACTAACATAACAATGGAAAATCACCATGTTCAATGGGTAAATCCACTATAAATCATCATTTTCAATAGCTATTTTGACATAACCAGAGGGTAATGATCACATTTCCCACGATTTCACCGGCCGTGGCTCACCAGGTCTCAGCGCCCATGGCGCCCATTTGCCGCACCGAGAGTGTGGTGCACAACGCCACCATGGCGGTGCTGCTGGAGGGCATTGTGCCGCGACGGAAGATCTGGGTACCTTTTGTGATTTTTACATACAACAGTTAGTTGGCCAGGCTGGATTTCATCCATTTCAACCACCAATTCCTTAATGGCCAACCAACGGTGAAATGGTTGGAATGGTTGGATGTTTGAAGTACCCTCTGGTAAATAAACAGTTTGACCCTGAAAGATCCACCAATTTTTAATGGAAACTAGTCTTCCAAACCCGATGACTGCCAGGGTCGAACTGTTAATTTACCAGAGGGTAGTTCTGGAATAATGACATAATGATGTTTTATTTGAACATGGATGGTAGAGTGGTGGTATAATGCTATGATACAATGTTAGGGTATGATATGATAGTAATGATGGTATAATAATGGCGTAAGGAGGCAGTAATGGTTGTAAAATGGTGATAACATGGTGGTATGAGAGAGACCAGGAATAGGTTTCCTATTTTCCATTCTGGGACCATGATCCCCATGGACTAATGATTTGCATGTTTCTCAATGGTGTTGAAACCACCAACCCCTTAATGAATCAGATTAAGATAAAACTATCATTGCATCAGTGACGTGCAAAAAAAAGATCTTTAGGTGCATTATTCCTGCAAAATGGCGTGAAAGTTGTGTGACACATGTGACACATGTGACACATGTGACACATGTGGCACTGGCAGCCAGGCTGCACTGGCTCTCTGAGGCGCATTTCCCTCCGCAGGAGAGCTACGATGCGGAGACGGGGCGCATGGCCATGTTGGCCATCCTCATCTCGGATCTCACGGAGACCGGGGAGCCGGACCTGGAGTGGTGAAGCCTCCCCTGGATCTCACGAAAGCTGATGGGATCTTGGAAGGGTTTGGAAGGATTTACTGAATTTATATGAATTTATTACATAATTTGATTGAGGCGGTGCTTCATGTGACATCACCATGCCAGTCAGAGCGCTAAGGAGGAGATGGGTAGGTAGCCTCCACAACGAAATTTATTATACTGTAGAAAATGCGCTAGCCCTGCCGTTGGGATCCCCATCAATGTTGGGAGGTTAAGCCATCTGGATCCCAAAATAGGGTGGAATATGGTGGAATGGTTACCCTCTGGTTATGACTAACAGTTCGCCATGGTATAGCTGGCCCATAGAAATAGATGGTTTACCGTTCTTAAAAATGGTGGATCTTTCCATGGCTATGTGAGTCATAACCAGATGGTATAGTTGATCTACATATTACTAACTATAGAAAATCACCATGCTATTAATGGGTAAATCCACTATAAATGGCCATTTTCAATAGCTATGTTAAATCCACAGGGTCGCCTTCACAGCATCTTCACAGCATGTTCCTGGCCTCCTGGCCAGGAGCCATCCCCCAAGTTGGCCTCTCCGCTCCATGTGGTGACGCGTAAGGCGTTTCACTCGGGCATTTGGCGCACGCCTTTTGTGATGGCCAGCCTGGGAAAAACCACATGGTTCTTAGGCAAAGTGGCGCCTAAACGAGCTGCCTGAAGGGGCGTGAGGGCTCTCTGAAGGGACTGTTGGATCGGCTCGCTTCTGAATGTGACGATTGATCATTATTATCATCATCATCATCACCACCACCACCACAACCACCACAAGAGTGGCAGCACAGCCGATTTGACAGTCGTAAGTGAGGCGTGACAGTCGCAACTGAGCCAAAGTGACAGTGACGGTCATGAGACCCCTGCCACCTACAGGCATGGCGTAGTGGCTGCCATGGCGACCCACCAGATCTCCATTTGGGAGTCCGGCCCAGGGCAAGGGGTTGGTCGCCAGCCTGGGTGGTTGGAACAGAACGCCCAGGACTCTTGGCAGAAAAATAGGGCGCAATGCGGCAGGACATGGCAAAACCAAATGAACAACTAGGAACTCACTAGAATAGCTACATGCTATGGGAATGGCTTCCTGTGGGCGTGGACAATGCATTGTTGGAACATCTTTCAAGCGTGACTTGAATCGCGAATGGTTTCCGGTCTTGCAGTCCTGCATGTGACAAGGCATGAGTTTCCCTGGATGTTGACAGCCCAGTCCACCCTTCCAGGAGAGGGAATACATGGCATCCATTCTGGGTGCCTTGCATGTGATGGCCTGGGAGGTGGGGTTTATATGGCTTTATCATCCCAATGATAGGGCGTATCGGATCCAGTAGGGTATACTCGTACCAACAACTCCTGGTACCGACCTACAAGGTGGTGCCCCATAGTTAGCTAAGTTGGTTTATAACTCCCATAACTATGGTTTATGGTACCTATAACTATAGTTAATGGGGTTTATAAACCATCTTATAACTGGGGGGCCCCACCTTGTACATGCAGGCGGCCGATTTTTGGGTCCCACATGGCATTCTGAGGCCCTGGAAGAGGCATGCATTGCGAAGGATGAGTTTGCAGGACCAACGCCAGCCAGCTGGGGGTGCAGGGGCATCGTATCACCCAAGATTCAGAGCACATCCGAGGATTTTGAAACAGCTGTTGGCTGCAACAACGGCCACACCCTATGCCCGAATTTTGCAATCCACAAATGGATATGTTTGAGAAATATCCGGAACCCTGACCCCTGAGAACTCTAGTTTTGAACATGGTCAAGATGCCTCTTGTTCCCCCACTTCGAAGAAGTTGTTTTCTTGTTTGTAGATATGTATAATATATATACATATATATATATAAACATACACATGTCACATATGTATATATATATATATGTGTGTGTGTGTATGTGTAAATAATTGGAATTATATATACATATCTCTGTGTATATAGGTTGGTTTCCTGGGGGTTTTGTATGGTTTTGCGATCTTACTCGTTTTCTGCTTGCTGCCCAGGCGAACAGCTTCAAGACATTGGCAAGAAATACTTGAAACGCCCGGGCCTTCCAACTCGGGTGCAGATGGGGTGCTTGAGCAGCTGCTTGGGCCCCTGGTTGCCAGTCCTTTTGAGTCCTCCCCAAATACCCCAAGCACATCCGAGCTGACCACAGGTTTCAAGATGGAGACTAGCCCGTCCTGAACTCAGAATGTCACCAGTGGTTCTGCAAAGATGATTTTTCTCACCAACCAAGTGGACATGGTATATGTGTCTATAATCATGAGTGATTATGGATGCAGCAAAGGTGGGCTTCTCATGGTGTACTGATAAGTGATCATGATTGTGATGCAATGATATAGATGTAGACTCATTCATACTCCATTATTTATTACAAACGTTACTGTATATATGTGATCACTTAGTGATCATTGGTTCCCCACGGAGGGTAGCACCTTTTCGCTGTGTCTCCAGTTTTACATTTAGATCCTGGCCATGTTAGTCATGTCACCCGCGTCACGTCAGACGAGGCATTTCTGCAAGAACTCAATGAGATCCTGGAGCAGTTGAGGCCACCAGGCTGCTGGTAGAGCTTGGCGATACTGAAATCGATTTATGGATAACAATTTCCAGTAGCTTAAAGTTAGCACACTGATTGGGCTCCAAAAAAGAGTGGTTGAGTACTGATCACTACACTGGTGCGTCCATTGGTTTATTTGTCATCGTAGCCATTCATCGCCACTTTTCTGTTGGGTATGGATAGTATCCCTTTTATAGTATCCCCTTTCTGTAGCCTTTCATATCCATTGGATACCCCTTTGATCCCCTTTAGATGTGGTCAGCTAGCTGCCAACCAGACAGTTGTGCTCGCCTTCTGTCTCAGGACTATCTCTTCTCCCAGGAGGGAAACACGAGATCTTTCAACGTGGGAGCAGCCAGCAGGGTATGGCATGGCAGGATTGCAGGGGCTTATCGGCACTGGACAGTTGCCATGGAAATATTTATCTATTTATCCATGAATTCATGACCATCATCCTGGGTTTGACTTCTGATCCTTTCCCCCCCTTAGTGTTTCTACATCAAAGGCGAAAGGTGACACCTGAAAAGGTGAAGAGCTTCCCCCATGGCCTGCGGCCTGCGCGGCCACTCTTGCCTCAATTTTCGTTTGGCCGCTGCCGCAAGAGCCGGCGCGGTCCTTCGTTATCCTTCGCTCCTCGTGGTCCTTGTGCCATGCGAAGTTGGCTCGTCCTGTGCTTCTTGCTGCCGGTGGAAGGGGATTTCAATTCCTGGTGGCTCAGCCGTTTGCGGATGGTTAGTTGGCTTATCCATGGCATTATTTTTCCTGAGATGCATATAGGAGCAAAAAAGAAGCGGCCAAGAAATGTTAGGGGTTTGATATAAAACAACCCCGAGAAAGATAAAAAGTGATGAAAAGTACATATCACAAAATCCTACTAAGATTTTTTAAGAAAAAAAAAGTGATTTTATCCGTTATCCTGTTACAAATTATAAGACTCAGTACATCTCAGTACTATGTGATTGAAGTAATTTGTAATCATGCCACGTATCACAAGCTATCACCGGATACTATCCAGAGCTACCTGGACCTCAGGTCCTTGGTGCTGCTGGAAGATGCCTTAAAGGAAAAGGGTGCTGCTTGCTTAGATGGATCCCCACCAGGCCAGGTGCTGGTGATCATTCAGCCAGATGTTTAGACTTTGATGGTAGTGCTGCTGCCTGGTTGTTTCATGTTGTTTCACTTGTCTAAATCTGGGATGAGGCTGGATACTGGATACTATTGAGAAAGGGGTGCAACCGGCAGGGTTATTCCTCCAGCCGAGGATATTTCATTGAGAAAGGTTGGGGAAGCGGTGAGCAGAAATGGATAGTACACTTCTTGGGTAGTGGCTGGTGTCGCTTGGGCCAGATGGGATGGGATGGGGGGGTTCAGTAGCCACAAGCCATGCTTTTGAAGCAGAGTCAGTCTATGTCCGTCATGGAGAAATCCCAAAGCAGTAATTAATACCTCACTTGAACGTTGGTTAAAGTTGGTTACACATTTGTTTGAGTCTCACTTGTCTCCTTGAAACTGCCACCCGAACAGTCAAATAGTTGGTGATTCTATACGTGTTACGGTCTTTACGTGTGCCATAGGGGATGGTCATCAATCCATTAAGGGGGAGCATACCCAAAATGGAAAGCCTACGCCAGGCACTGCGTTCCAGCTACATCCGTAGAGCATTACTCAATTTTTTGATCTTGTAATATCTTGTATGATCTTGTGACTCTGTGCCAGTTATAGCCAAAAAAAAAGCCATGGCTCAGGGTTTATTAGTCATAGCTCATTATGCTCATTGTCATCATTCGAATCCTGGAATCGGTTTTTTAGGGAACATCGGGACATGAAATCCCCAGTGACCCGGCTGAATTTTGGATGAATCTTTTGCTGGGCTTGAGGCCTTAGCCTTGAAGATTGCCTGGCCCGGTCCAAGACCCCTCTGGGTAGCACAAAGAACTACAGCCACGACCCCAACGCACCATGGCTGGGATTGGGATCTGGGCTGCCTGGGTGCGGTGCTTCCAGTGATACGGGTCCAAAATCATGGATTCACTCCTGATCTGTAGCTTCACTGGGGAAAATCAGGATCAACTATGTAACCATGGTGGCATCTCCTGCTGTCAATCAGCATCCAAAACGCAAACTTAGCGTGCTTAATGTAGGGTTTTTTGAGCTGCCTGGAACTGCACAAGGGTACTCAAAGTCTTCGGGTAGCTACAAGATCCGTTGTTAAAGTGGCTGAAAGGGCAATTGTACTGGGATGTGCCGGGATATGTTTGCTGATACCACAAAAGGATACACACGAATTTTAGGAGGCCCACATGCCATTTGCCTATCTTTGCGATTTGATTCGCTTCCATGTTTCAACCAATGTTTTTTGAATCCTTTTGGTTTGCACTGCTCAGCCCAACAAGGAAACCCAAAAGCAGAAGATTTTGGAGATGGGGGATGGTGGCGTGCATGGCTATCTATCCAATCGCAGTGAGGCCACACCTGGGGTTGGTTGCCTGCTGATTGGATGGCTATGGTATCATGTCATGGATGTCAATGCTGCACCAAGTGAGCAATTGGATGGCTATGTTTCTTCGCGAAAATTGACAGTTGTTCACGCGACAAAAAGATCTACTGAATCTACTTCATGGATCTTCTTTATGGACCCCTTGGTGCTTTTGATTTAGGAACAACACAAGGTGACAACATGAGTATCTCTGGAGGTCAAAGCTATTAAGTGGGCTTCACTGACAGGTGAATCCTGATTTCTACAACTGGAACAAGGCGTGGCTGACAAAAGATGAGCAGAACGTGCTCAATGTACTTAGCAAATATATGCAAGTGAATTCTACTTGGGGATCCGCGTGGAAGGTCATCTGCCCATCGCCGGTATTAGCAGAAGACTGTCAGGTCTTCGCCCTCTATTGCGACGGTAGTAGCCGGAACTCGGAGGTGGAAGGAGCCCAAATTTTGGGGCCTCAGCTTGGTGAGCAGGATGCCAGACTCCCAGACAGTCTTACTCTAATCCCTTCCTCCTAAGAACTAAACCCACAGAACATTTGATTTAGATTGATTTAGTATTTCCAATTATTTGATCTAAGATATTCTAAGAAATTTAAGCATTGTGGAGGGGCGATATATGGGTGAAGCTAATTGGTGAACAGCAGGAGCCGTTGCGGTTGGCAACGAGTCGATCTACTTCAGGGGGCATCGCATTTTAGAGGCGACCATTGCCAGCCCCTTGGTGAACTGCGATGATCAGATTGGGATTGTCTCACTTGGAATCCAAACTACAGAAAATGCTATGGCTGCTATGGTGATCTATGGTGTATGAGATAAACAATATGTTCCCCAAAGCTGCTTGGCTACAACGTGGTACAACAACAATCAAGAAACTTGCTGGGCTGATGCCTCAGCGAGGGCTGACTCCAGTCATCAGTTGCACACTGCAAAAATTTGTTAAATAATCCCAGTTAGTAGGTTATCATTTATACAGTTTATACATGTCAAACAACTTCTGATTTATACATCCAATGGCTGGTTGAAACACCCAGGTTATTGGAAGATATGGGAAGTATAACATCTATGCCAGTGATTCGGCCCTGTGTTTTTTGCTAGGCATCAAAGAGAGGATGGGACGTTCCCAATCTGCCACCGATTTCATCGCCTCTTGGATGATGTGGACGTTCCCGGATGGTTCGCCATAGCCAAAACAAGAGGATTTAGCTGATTTAGCGCGAAAGCAAGGTATGGCCTGCAAGTGTTTCCCCTATATGTATGTATCCATATATTAATATGTATTTTTATGTGTATATATATAGATATATAGATAATATTGAATTGCATAATATGTTGAAAATGTTGAAATGTTGATTTCAATGTTCTATCTCCATTTGATGTTGCCCCATGTTGAAGTGTGTTGCACCGGCCAAGGTGGGAGGCTGCTCTGCAGGTGGCCTCACAGTTTATTTGCACTTGGATTACATCCGTAGGCTCATGCCACAACACGCGCCTCCGGACCGAGGAGGGTTTCCATGGGTCCTAGGTTCCACCAATGGCCTCTATACATGTTTTTCTAATCATAGTCAGTCACAAATATATGTTGGATTTTAGACACGTATATACAGCACATGACATGCATTCTACACACATATGTATAATATATGTATATATATATATGTGTGTGTGTGTGTTGTGAGTTCTACCACTTGCTTGCTACATGGTGATTTCGAATGTGTTGAAATGTGTTCCATCATGTTCCATCGGTTTGGGAAGAAGTTTGGGGATGGCACCATTCTGCACAAGTAGCAATGATACATGAGATCAAGAGTGAAGGAATGCAGCCCAGGGTATCCACAAATAGAGAGTTCCAGGACACCCTTTCTCTGCAGGGACCTGTCCAAGGCAGTCTTTTAGACATTTTTAGACTATTGATTCTATCGTGGTACTGACACGTCAACCCCTGGGGCCCTGTTGTGCGGATTTTCGCCATCAAAAACGAGGTGCGCGTAGTTGGCCTGCCACAGTGTGGAATGTTTATGGACCAGCCGGATTACACGGGCAAGCCGTCCTACACCCCTTTGTACGCCAATATTTTCAATCTCATGGGTGCCTGGGTGTGGAATTGGGGATGGCTTCCATAAAAGAGGTCACAGTGGTAGCTGTAGCTGGTGTAGCTGACGTGGCCAGAGGTCAAAGGTGGAGGGTAGTTGAAAACTGGAGTGCAACATGATATACCAGGAGCAAAGAAACATGGCAAATTCATACGAAAACATATGGGTATGGATCAATACCTATTAATACCATTTTTAGGCGGATGAACATCCATTTACCAGCTATTTTGATGTTCACCAGGGGTACAAGGTTTTGACACACTGCCATATGAGAGTGTAGTTTTGGTACAAGAATGACCCTGGATAAAAATATGTCCACTATTGTCCACTATCGGAGACATTCCAGAGTCCAGAGAAAGACTTCCTCCTTTCAAATTTTGCCAAGCAGTTTGTGGGTGCCTAAGGCATGGTGAAGTCTCCATCGTTGCACCAGGGATGTGTTGAGAAATATCCGCAGGAAGCTGGGCAAGAGTATGGCGATTATGGCAGATGGGATTGGAATGCTTGTTTGATGGTGTTCGAAATATATATGGGCAATGGGTTGGAAGGCACATGCTTCCGATTGCTTTCGAAGAACACTGCGGCAAATCTTGCTGATGGATTGCAAACTCATGCGCGCTCCAAAAAGGCATTGAAGTAACGTGTCCCAAAAGTCCCCCATCGGACACAAGAGATCACAAGCTCTTGGAGCAACGCCCAGCAAACCCTGCAATATCCTGCAATCGATCTTCAGTCTGATCAAAATAGATCAAAACACTGTGTCCCAAACATTAATTTTTAATGGAGTCATTCAATGGAGTTTTGAAGGGCTTTGGGGTCGGCTAAACTTCCATTGCTATCCATTTCTGAATAGCCAACTGAAGTCGGATTAAATTGGTCCCTGATGATGCGAATGTTTCCATGACTCTACAATACAATAATTAAGCGTCCAAGGAACCTTGGAAATGCTTCATGGCTCAGTATGTCATGCCGTTCATTCAGACGCCCTTCTTCGCCGTGAACTCCTTTTACGATTCGTGGCAGTTTCAGGACTGGCCCATTTGGCGCATGAGGTACAACGACAGCCATTTATAGAAAAGGCAAACCTCTGCCAGTGGTAATAGGTTCCAAAACATTCCATAACACTGAGATTTGGTTTCATTAACAAAATAAGGTGTTTTACGTGATCTGTTTTTCTTCTCATGAAGGGTGACGGTCTAAGGCCCGCCCAAGATACGCCCTGGAGTCAGGACACAAAATATGCTCTATGGCAGAGTGTTGGTTTTCCACCAATTTCTAAGAGGACGATCCCCAACCACGCATTTTTATATGGGAGCTGCGATAAGATGGCACACGCAAAACGATGCGAATATGCCATCGAGGTGTTCATTCCCTCACCATGTCTTGTGGCAAAGGCATTCTAGGCAGCTCCTCCAATTTCTGTGTGCCATCTTAGTGTGCCACCCCCAGATGCATGAAGTATGCACCTGTCTTGTATTGGAAAGCTCCATGAATGTTTTGACCTTTACTTGTGGCTTGTGCCCCTCCATTTTCCATGTTTTTTTTCTGGGTCTGGGTCCTCCATGCATTGTGCCATCCTTGGCCCCCACCTGTTTCGGTGCCCTATATACTTATTTAGTGATATTTAATTATTCAATAGATATATAAAACAAAATAAATATATATATACGTATATATATATATAAATAAATTAATAAATGAATAAATAAATTATATATATATATATGTATGTATATTTATTTATTTATTATTATATTTATACTTATTTACATATATATATATATATATTTGGAATGAGAGTTGAAACCACCCGTGCGAAATTCCGCCAAGATCCAATTCCATTTGTCAGATCAGGAGATGCTGCACCTGCCGGGGGACTGTGCCTTCCAACAAAAGTGCAACCGAGACCAGCGCGCGAGTCAACACAACCTGCGCGACATCATGGTGATTTGGAGAGCGATTTCATCACAGTGGGATCCGATTCTATACCATTTCTATCTCGGTGAATCGTACCCGAGTCACAAGAAGGTTAGGCCAAACAGTTAGGCAACTGGCTCAAGGTGGGCAAAACATGGCAAAACCCTGTTTCAGGGAACCATTGGGAAGGATTGAAACCAGTATCTTGAGATCCGCAAGAGCCAAGGTGATGAACTTTACAAGCTCTGCGACCTGGTGAAGCTGGTGAATTGTGGCAGTGGCTGAACCAGTCAAGATCAACTGGGTGCATCAAGAACATAGATACATATACTATACCATATACCCCAAAAATATCAAACATCACAATATATTACAAAATCATATTTATTGATGTATGCGATTATATATATATATACACCCAAAACTTCCACCCTAGCATTATTTATTTAGATCCTGCCCTTGGGGCCTGAAATTTTGAACCCCCAAATTCAGTTTCAGACCCTAATTAATGAAATGTGACGACCTTTGCATTTTTGCAGGATTTGTGACTTTGATGGTTTTGCCAATATTTTGATATTAATGCAACACATGACATCAATATTGTTGACAGTTCACAAGGCAGGCCAAAAGGCTGCGGGATTCACTTGGGTCATGAACAGTTCTGAAGTTATGCATTAACACTTGCTCAAACAAATACCCATACATTTAATATTTCGAAGAATTCCCCAAATCCGAGACCGAACGTTTTCGATCATTTCCGCCCCTTACCACATATTTCCGCCACTGGTTTTTCAGTTGGATGGACATCTATGAACAAATGGCTTATTCATACAAGTATGTGTGGTGTTCATATGTGCATTTTTTTTATCATGCACGAATATCTCGCTTCCTTCTATGAATAATTCATTTCCTTGTATGAATAACTCCACATATGAATAACTAATTTCCTTGCATGACTTTCATTAATGAGATGTGTGCCAAACAAAACAGACCCTGGAGTGAAAACACAACCCTGATACTTCAGGGTTTGTTCTTGAGGTAGGGCCTGAAATTTGACAGCAGCATGCATATGATATTATATAAATATAATTATTATAATGATTATCATCATGATAAACCATTAGATTTTTGGTGGTCGATTTTCAGACCCGGTTGTTTGGCTTCTTCCAGCCGAGGCCAAGAACCAGTCCTACTTTCTTTACAGCTGCGTTTCGCATTGCCAGTACATGAATTTGGACACTTGATGACGAGGGTGGCAAAAACTTGATTTTATGATATGTATTTAGCTGAATCATACCCCTTAACTGAATATAGCTGAAACATTCAAGTGTCCGCTCGACAAGCTCAGATATTCAAGTAGAGGAGTAATGGTTTTTGAGGACCTTGTCTTGGGACATACCGGACATGCCAACATGTTACATCTCACATATGGCCATTGGATTGAAAGTCGGCACTTCTCTTTCTGCCAGCGGTTTGTTGTGTCCCGCTAAATCATAGTCCCTTTAAAGTTAGACAGTAACCAATCCCTATGGCCATTTGGGCCTCTCAAAGATACATCGACTCTTGTGCATTGTTTCAAAGTGTTTCAACCAGACCATGCTTTTTCACTCAGGATTATGGCTGGCGGACTTTGAGTGTGTCAGGTGGTACTCTCCAATCAGCCGTTCGCCATTGGTACTTCCAGAAGTTGACCTTCCGTGGCGTGTCGATCTTGGACGAGCCCAATGAGAACCCCAGCTGCTACAAGGCGTCCACGGGGCTGAAGGGCAGAGCGAGAGAAGTCATGGTGGTTTGAGCGATCGGTGAATGTCAAAATATGTCAAATGTCAACCCTGAATTAACTAACAAACCTGGCCATTTAACTGTTTAACATTGTTTAACTGGGGGGCAGATGGATGCCTTGTGGGGACGATCCCAATAGCGATACGCTGTATGTTCATCCAGGGTTGACATTTGAGCTCCGGTCCATCACCATTTGAAGTGGCTGGAGATGGCTGGAGTACCATGTCAAACCAGCAAGCGCCATCCCAAACAGCTGCCGAAACAGCTGCCATGCGGCATGCTGCGCATGCTGCGCGGCTACAACTCTGTGTGAATCCCGCTGCACGATGCCGCAAGTGGTTGATGGCAAAGCACAAGCTGGACAGAAAAATTGGAGAGCCTTGTGCAGTGAAGGTGTCTTTTGCGGGAGTCTGTACGCAACACAGAGACACCCAGAGACACCCATATGCACACACACACATTTTTTCATACACATTTTTTGATCTGAGTTCTATGCCGATTAGCACCTTGCCCCAACAAGCAGATGTTTGTTCAGGTCCCTGGTTTGTGCTGCTGGCTGCCTGTGCCCTCAGTTGGGCGGCAGGCCACTATTACAGTCACCTGACAAATGCTGGGTAAACAAGCCGTAGAGAATTGGACACATGCATCTTATGCAAGTGGTGGCTGCTGAACATTGAATACACGATGTTTTTCCCGCAAGGCTAGCTCATTGCATTTCATTGGCGTACCGGAACAGAGTTCAGTTGGCCGCATCATTTGTGCACATGTGTCAGCAGCTAGAGCTGAGGTTGACGTGTTTATGCAAAGATGCACAAGGGGTGCAGTTCTCAGAAGGACTGCTTCCGCATTGCATAAACCTGCCCTATGTGCACGATTGTCGTAGTATGGAAAGGTTTTACCAACAACGCTTTTTCAGAGGTTCTGTCAGGTTGAAATCGACAACCCATTGAATCAGGAGATACTCTAGCTCTCCCGAGGTTTTTTCATAGTTACTTGTTATACCAGCTTTCCAATATTCTAATATTACAGGAGATGCCTTGACAATCTGGCTAACCATTCATAGGTAGACCACGGCAGGTTTCCATTGTTGGCATACTGTAGCTAACACAACACTGTTGTAGCCACAGTAAATTCTGCTGTCAGTATGCGCACTATTGTGCACTTGGTTTGGAGGCCCAGGTTATATATGCGTTTCTCGAACGTCATAGGTACCATTCCCTTCTGCTTTTTAATGTTTTAGATTTGCTTACCAACGGAATGAGGAATGATTCTGTTTGGTGTTTCAACATGTCACTTCCTCAGCCTTCGACAAATGCGCTTAGGCCCGTGACAAATGCGGCCATTCGATTCAAGCACCAACAGTCCACCGTAGGTCAATCCCATCCCCCTTATATCAAGTTTCCCCATATGCCATACGGGTGCCGAAATGGTTAGATCTAGAACTAAGACAGGGTTTCTATGGGGGAATGGAATCTTAGGGAAGATGGAACGGATTAAGAACCATATGATCAAAATCCAGTCTAGCCTACCCGTTTCTACATGTAAGATTCACCACCCGCTAATCATATTATTATCAATTTGAACCAGTGTCCACCAATATTTAACGGCTTTTATTCCTAACAACTATTATCCAGCATCAAGCAACATCAAGCAACGTTAACTCATATAAGTTATACCACCGACGTGTTGCAGACCAACTACGCCTCCTTCAGCGAGCTGAAGTGTGTCGGGCCCCTCAGGTTGCGGCGGAGATAGCCAGTATCACAATGTTTTTACTTAAAAGGACAGCTTAAAACTCAAAACTATGCCTGTCACAAAACAGCTATGAATCAATGAATGGGTGGATAGTTAGATAGATAGATAGATAGGTCCATGTTTTTCTCTTGACTCTTGATCATTTTCACATGTGATCCATTTTTGGTGAAGCCTTGAAGCCCAAAATCATCCCTGCATGGACCAGGTGATAGCGCGGCGCTCACGTCGCGACGACAGCGCAAGGCCTGACTTCCGAGGCTCGGAACGATGGTACCATGATGGATGCGGCTGCAGAATGAGAGGAATAACGGCCACACTATGGGGAAAATATGGGAAAATATGGGAAAATGTGGGAACATGTGGGAACATGCCGGTGAATGATGTTCAATGATGTTCAATGATTTGGATTTGGCTGGTTATGTTGGCTCATAATGTTTGATCGATTTGCATGATCGATTTATGTTGAGAATGCTCATGGAGATATGCCGACACCGCCCCAAATTCTCCCAACGGATTTGGCAGGGTCTTGTCGTATTTGGTTTGGAGAGCGGGGAAGCACAAGCAATCCCAATATGAAGAGTACACACAGATATAGAATATATATATATGTAAATGTGGATGAATTTAGATATATAGATATAGTTAAACATATACATATAAACCAAATAGCTGTGTGCATCAATGAGATATTCGCCCATTCACACTTATTAATTGTTTACCTAGATACTGGTATCAATCACCGGAGTTGGGACATTTGGGACGGGATGAACCACGGGGGGCGCCTTTCCGAAAAGTCAGACGGACACCCCAAGCATCGAGTTTGGAAGATTGCTTACCGGTACTTACTGTAAATATCTGAAAATGGCAATTGTTGATATTGTTGGGTTGTATGAAATATGAAGTTCTATGTTAGTCTTCAAGCGTTCATTTGGGTCTTCGAAGCTGTACGGGTTAGGACTGTAGCTTTTTTGATCGCGGGTTCCAATGTTCCAAACCATCGCCAAATTCACCTTCCCAGAAATCTGCCAAGACATAAGTCTTTGAATGACATTCTGTGACTTGCTAGGGGAAGCTTTGGGGCATAGTTCCATCATGTTCCAGGGGATCAGTGCCAAGTAATGTAAGATCATTGGGTTGACTCCTAACTCTTTGGCATGATTTGTTTTTTGCCCCCAAATGGTTGATACCCTCTGGTGAACTAACATAGCAATGGAAAATGGCCATTTATAGTGGATTTTCCCATGAAAAATGGTGATTTTCCATTGCTATGTTAGTTCACCAGAGGGTATATGTTGATATTTTGAAGGAGCAGTGTAAATTCCATATCAGTGGCCATCGGCGCCTACCCAAGGAGTTCTAAGCTGCTGCGGGGTCTCCCAGGGACTGCGGCAACTTCGAGGAGCCTATCATCGGCACCCAGGTCACGAGAAATTGTGTAATTATAGTGTATTAAAGTGTAATTGTGTCCCAGAAGTACTACAGATGTTGGATGATGTTGGTAAGTAAGTGGTAAATAAGAAATGGATACTTAAATGGACCGTACTCGCAGAAAGACCAGTGGAGCAGTGGGGTGGTCCAGTAGACAGGGCGCAAGACATAACATGTAGTTGAGATATGCCTTTTTCGCATAAGTATGTGATGACAGGTGTAATCAGCCACGTCTATAAAATACAATGTTCTTTTGTTTCTTTGTTTCAATATACGTAGATGATGTAAAAAAATATACATAATTAGTGTTGAATTTGTTTACCACACGAGGATGGCTAAGTCGTTGGTCAGATTCACAATGAAGTCAGACCAGAAAGATCCTGTCCATCTCGCAAGCTGAGATGGTGAGATATAGACCACCTTGGAAGCATTTACGATATCCAGGCATGAGGGGAAGGCATTGAGGAGCATGATGCTTCAGCTTCATTAAATGCTCGAGCCGCATGCACAAAAAGAAGCTGGACATGACATTTGTGAAGATAACGCTGTGACTCCATTTATGAGATGGTAGCCATTCTATGTGGAAGCCTGTGCATGCAGCGAATCGGTTTGCAAGAGCGGCGCCTGCAGATGCCCAAAGTCTCACACAATGATTGAATTCCTGCATCAAACTAGATATATTTCAAGCATCAAGCTTCCGATGCCAGGTGACTTAGCTACCCCCTTCCATGGCTCACTATTGGCCCACACAGCCTGCACCTGGTCCTTTGGGCACACAGTGGAGCCATGTATCGATCTCATTTTGCTACGGATCTGGGGCGATGGGATGCAGGATGGGGTCCCTGAGATTGTCACCAGATTCAGAGGTTTGATGATGTTGATGTTGTGATGTTGATGTCCAAGATTTGCGTGGGATGGTCCTGGATCATGTGTCCTAAAAAAATGTCCCAACTTGATTCATGCGTTTTTCAGGGGTGGTTTGGCATGAGTTAACTTTACAGGATATGGGAAGCTGATATTCCCCCATCTCATCCAGCTGAGCACCTTGCCCGGCTGTTGCAGGGGACTTCTTCGTCAGCGATGGCCGGTCGGATGCGCAGAGCATGCGCAGCAGATCCAGTTCCAGTTGCAGGTGGGAACCCGGTGGCAGGTTCCACATGGGCCTCAAAGGTTTGGAACATGATTTTGCAGTTAGATAAAGTTGGATATGATCAGAATTTGGGGTTCGCATCAAATGTACTGGCAGCGCAGGCGGAGACAGATAGATAAATGGATGCATTATCCAACCATTTCTCCATTTATTGGTGGTCTCAAGGTTGTTCAAGGAACAACCTGTAGCAGGAACAAGGAGGTTTTGGAGGTCAATGATGTGGCCACAGCAAGGCACGGCTAGAAATCCACCAGCCCGAATCTTAGACAATGAACGTGGCTGGCAGGCGTTTGGAAGATGAGAGGTGTCGGCGTTCACATCATGTCATCAGCGTGAGAGCCCCTTGGCCATTGGCAATAGCGATGAAATGGAGGGGGGGCATGATCTGTAACCAGCATGGAGCCCTTGCCCCTCAAGTCATGGAAAAGCACACAGCCAGAAGAATCATGCATAATTATAAAGCATGAAAGCAACATTGGAGAAACCATGGCAGTAACTGGTTGCTGGGCCTCCAAAACTGACTTCAAAGTCCCAGTTGCGGCGTGAGGATGGTATGCAGCCAAGTTCCTCCTTCAGTGTCTCCTCTGCATTGGGGCCGGCTCATTTGTCAATTCAGCTGGGGTTCGGCTGCGGCTGTAACCAATGCATGGTGTGTCCTTGGTGAGTCCCAGTTTCTGACCCCCCTAAGCGCGCATAACTCAAAGTTCCGCAACCAAACGATGGTCGGGTGGATTTCATGGAAGCTATTTTCGAGAACAAAGCTATGAGAGTGACTGAGAACGAGTACATACTGGTATGTTCCAGTTTGTTTGAAGTTGACCCATGCCTGAAAGCCTACAGTAGAGACATGGTACCAGAAGTGTTCAGAAATCATATTTGTTTCATGCGTTATGGATGAAAAGTTGAGATTTGGGAACCCACCGTCGTTGGCCATACAATCAAGAATCAAATTCCAGAATGTGATGATGTGTTTTAGGTAACCGATTGAATGGACATATTCAGAAAGATAAATGCACGTACTTGTATGTGACATATATAATTATACATATATATATATATATTATTATATTATATTATAGTATAGTATATTATAGTATATTATGTTATATTATATTTAATTAGTGTAAGGTATGGCATAGTTCATATAATGACGTACACACCTCCAAAAACGTGTTTGATGCTCCAAGTTCCACCCCGTTTCAAAGGAGACCTTCGGCGCTCCCGAAGCACCGCCATGTGCCGCCACCCGGCCCCGAGGTGTGGGGTGGGGTGCCAGAGCAGATGAGACATGGTCCATCTATCTTCAACATCTAGATATACTGTACATTTGGTTATATAATATATATGATATATGTGATATATATATATATGATATATATATATATAATATATATATATTATATATATACATGATTAAAGATTGGATTTCACAGTTCGAATGTCAGATGACAACACCTCAGACGGTGCACAGTTCGTGTTGTTTTGCTTGTTCAGGCCGTGGTATTCATGGCAACCTCCTGCTGGGCAATCCACCTTCGAACATGACCGGCCTGGCACTGCCAGGTGGGAATGGCAGGGTGCAAGGTGAGGCAGCATGGAGTAGTTGTAGTATATGATCTGTATATTCTTATAATATAATATATATATATAATATAATATATATATATCATATATCTGTGTGTGTTATTTATACACTATTTCACTATTTATATGTATGCACATTTTGAATACGTACAGGTAAATCATCTACAACACTCCGCAATTCTGTGTGGACAATCGGCAGAGGCACTTCTTGGTGACGGGCGATTTCACCGGCACCTGGCGGGATGGTTTTCCTGGAGTTACCATGGATGGTTTTTATCGCAGCTTGGCACCGCCAGTTATGTCCATTCACTGCCAGCATAGAGGTGATTGGTTGTTTGGGCAAACTGCTGGCAGTGCTCAGCCATTTATGCCGTTTAAAGTCCAGGCAAGTTTCACTCCTCGAGGCCTCTAGAACCCTGCTTTGTGCCCTTCTGACTCCAAGCTCCAAGCCTTCAAATTCCTGGGTGGGTTGAGACTCTGATGATGGCCCACTGCATAGGGCACCAAGCAAGTTGTTGTAGCTAGTGATTGTGTGTAGCCCTGTTCCCTGGGCGCCGGTCCTACAAGGAAATAGCGGCTTCACCCGGCGCAACTTCTTCGACACAGCACGCCAGAGCCATATCCCAGACCTGCGACAGCTGGGTGCGACGTCACCCAACAGAGTGACACGCATCAACTGATGGCAGAGATAAACCTGAGACCATTATCTTCACAATTTGATATGGCCACTGGATCCATAATGGATCCTAATGGTACTGTATTGGACGGTTTTATTTGCTTGGCATATCTATGCATTTTCGAAGGTTAATGTATGGTCAACTATGCATGCACTTAGTCATTGAAATACCAAAGATGATATCAGACAAGTGACAAGTGTTTTTTGGTTCAGAACCAACTGATCATGAATGATCCGAATTTGGTGGCCTTCAATGTCACCTCGCGGGCCGCTGCTCTCAGCCAGAAGCTGTTGAAGCCTGCGCTATATGAATTCAAAACATGACAAGTGCCCAAAACCACCGGGCCACCAACATGCAACAACACCCAGAAGCTGCACATATGTTCTGTTTTGGTTTATGTCCCTTTCCATCACGGAAAGCACGTGAAACAAAAACCATTTGATGCAACACGGTTGATGATTGGAGTGCTGGACATGCCAATGTGGGGCCCATGGACTTGCCATGAGTGATGTTTTTGTTGGTGTGCCCACACCGTTCTCGCGGTGAAACCGCACGGACGTTGTGGCATTCCAGTAGGACCTGTACAGTGACCTGCTGAATGGTTTGGACAAAGGGTGCTACTGTGCTCGTGCCACTGGAATCATGGCTGTTTAGGCTGTTTAGGTAGATAGGATAGATAGGTGGGTAGGTAGGGCGGGAAGGTAGAGAGATGGAAAGATATCATCTATATATATATACATATATATATATATGTATGTATGTTTATTTATTTATTTATGATATATGTGATATTATGGTGTATGTGCAATCGTATTTGTTGCATTTGCTGTATTGCCTCTATCGCTATGTTTGCCATCATTTTCATTCCGTAGAACCACCATGGAACCTTGCAAAGCCCATATTTGGCCAGCGGTTTCAAATATGCGGCATATGCTTTCCAGTTCCACTTCCGCTAACCCACATGTTCGGGATGGGTCGAAGCCACCAAACCATACCAAACCCAAATAAATCCAGTTGCCTAGGAAGGGGACGTATATCCCGCTGCACGAGAGTTTTTCAAGCGGAGTTAACACATTGCCCGGGGGACCCAGGGGACCCAGGGGCCGTTGCTGCCACGGTTTGATGTGGAAATTGGGTGATCATTTTGTTGGAGGTGTTTTTGGTTGCAGCACACTGCAATGACAACGGGGCTCACGGAAGGGATGAACTGCCAACGTTCCGTTCAGAGTGGTTCAAATGAAGTGCCAATGTCAGTGACATTTACCCTGTGGTTATTTAACATAGCCATGGAAAATTGCCCATTTATAGATGGTTTTCCCATGAAAAATGGTGATTTTCCATAGCTATGTTAGTTTACCAGAGGGTAAGCTAACTAGCAGTGCACTGGAAAGTCCCGACAGGTGACTGAAGATGGGCATAATTGGTGGCCTTCCATTTTGGCCAGGTGATTTGGACCGCTAAATCACATAGATGTTCATTGACGCACAAATAAGCAATACAGTGGTAATCTTGCAGCGCCGTCTAAGATAGTCTAAGTTTGGGGGGCCAAGTTCTTTTGGGGCGAAGCTCTCAAAAGTGCTATGGCATGCTGGGGCAACCATTCTGCGGTGGTGATTGTTGGACCATGTTGGACCTGTTGGACGATGTCATGTTATGTACTTTTCAGTTGGACGATGCCCCTGAAAACCGAGGAAGAGCCCCAAATAGAATTTGGTCCAGAAGAAGAGCTATGTATAAAAGCTTGGAACGCTTTAGATCATTTACATGGCAGGAATGGTTCTTCTCTCGAGGTGATAGGTTTGATCTCCCAAGATGTTTCAACCCGCAACATCGCGGAGTATATTATGATATAGATATGTAGTTACACACACACATACACACACAAACACAGATATTTATATATATGTATAATATATATATATATATATACAAAATGTAATTATGTGTTGCTGTTTTGGGACGTGTGGGAACAATGAGGCAGGTACATCTATGATTTGGTGCAGCCACCAGGGCCAGGGTCTCCAAATTGGAAATGGCTTGTGAAGCTATCATTGATTAATTACTTAATGTGGAGTACAGTAGTTTGGATGTGTTGATTTAGCTGATCTATGAAAGAAAAATCATGAACCAAGGGTGTTTGAAGCATGGGCAGAAACAGATGGTAAGAGTCCCAAATTCACTGGCAGGCGCGGCTTCCAGTGCTTCAACCAAGGGGGGTAATGAAGCTCCAACCAAAATCAGAAGAACCAAACAACCGATACTGTATTTCTGTTTCTACCATCTTCTACCACTCCTTAATTGGCTCTTATATAACTACTCTCATACCCCGTTTGCCAATATTTAGCCAGGTATACAGATATACATGCAGCTTGAATAGATCAATACACACTATGATGCAACTCAAAGTTCGCGATATTCTCATTGGGTTTCCTTTCGGTCCACACAGTTAGGGGGATTCATTTCGCCCGTTGAGCCACGCCCAGGTGGGGATCCGCTGGTGATTATGGTGTGGTCTTGGCCACAGAGAGATGATGAGAATGGTGTATAGACACAGTGTACATGGATGTTGATGTGATGTATTTTGCCAAATGCTATGGCGCCTATTTGGGTTGATGTTATTACCAAACCTTGAGGTGGATGCTGGTTGATGAATGGTGTCATTTTTTACCTTGGCCACCCATGTGATGCGCGGAGTTGCTGTTTGGCTCCGCTGAAAAGTGGCACCTTTGACTCCACCACCATGGCCATGACCAAATTGGCGCAGCTAAGCGCAACTTGGCATTTCCAAATGTAGAACTAGTCACGGCATATGCTTCGATCGACCCGGCATTTGCACCTGGTTCGTGAGCATTTTTGAGCACGGGGGCCGGGGCCTCTGGATGTAAAGTACTTAAAGTACCTTGAATTTGTAAAAAAAAACGTTGGGCCATGTGCAGATTGGCCTGTATTGGCCTTCCATCCTCAACAGTTTAACCGGTTTAACCCGACCATCCAACTGATTGGTCGCAGGATGTGGTGAAGCCTACATTGCTAACTGCCTTGGGACTTTTTTCCCTGGCATCTGGGTTGCACTGAGTTGAAATCCCAAGAGAGTTTTTGGAAAAAAAAGGGCTGAAGGGCTGACATGTTTTGACTGTATTTGACCATGCCAATGCCGTAGTGCAGGACAGTTTCCCTGAAGCCCAGAACCACAGGCGCAGCTGAGGTGAATTTCATTCGCCACATGCGCAGAAGATCGAAGCCAGGCTTGGTGCCGTGCTCGTGATGCATAGCTATGTGAGATAGAGGATGAGATGTGTTTTATCTAAGATATTATTGGATGGATGGATGGATGGAAGGAAGGAAGGAAGGATGGATGGATGGATGGATAGATGGAAATATATATATATATATGGATAGATGGATAGATGGATAGATGGGTAGATGGGTAGATGGATAGATGGATAGATGGATAGATGGATAGATAGACGGATAGATAGCTGGATATTGTGATACACAGTGTGATACATCCACTCCATGATGGTTTTTACCGGTGATACTGGGCTTTCCCGATTGTTCATGTCAACTCGCCTCAGGAGAGGACGTACCTTATGCTGCTGGATGGCTGCCAATCTTGGGTCACATGTTGACGGCTTGGGAGTACGGGAAGGACATGGACGTGGAGGGGTTGGATGTGGGCTCCCAAACGATCCGAACGATAGATAGTCTGGTTTTCAACTATGTACACCAAAGGCCTGTGTTTATGGATGCCTATGGGTTTCAAGTATATGTTTTCCAAATATATAGGTATAATTGATTCGAACTGTACAACTATGTCTATATTCAAAGTTTGTGAACCAACTTATACTTGGGATGGCCATATGACGATGCTGTACCACAAGCATTACTCCAATGATCAGGTTTCGCATTGCCTTGCGAGGACAGCCAAAAGTTGTTGGTGGGACGCTGGGGCATGGATGTTCAAGAGAAGCAGAAGTTGGACATTTTTGCCGCAGAAGGGTGGCTTGCACGTGAGGTCGGATCTAAGTCATATCGTGGGCAAAGTATCAGCTCCGAGGCGAAAACAATATGAGATAATGCAAGGTTGCACGACTTGATTGCCTTTGTTTGCTGTGAAGCATTGATGACTGAAGCGGTAGCCGGTTTTTTTTGATAGTCAAGAAACCATGTTTCGTAATGATCGTCAAGCTGGCCGGTGGTTTCAGACTTCTCAATGTTCCGCTTGAAGACATTGAGATGATGATCTAAACTGACTTTGACTGTCTTTGGCATACTGTTCAGTGCAATTTGAATCACCAACCATCACAAACCAGTTGGTTGAGAGAGATGCATCCCATCATACCCTCTTATTTCCTCCATATGGATCTGTATCCTTCGAGGGTGTCACAGGTCGCCCACAGATCCCATGAGCTCTGTGTTGTGGCCAAGGTTTGGGCTCACCGTCCTGTTTGTGAACGACCCCGACTTGGCCGAAGAGCTCTGCAGCGGCGATCCTTTGAGGCGCAAAGAGATTAACTACACGAACATGGATATCAATGGATATCAATGGATACAAATTGTACATAATTACACATGTTGTTTATACATGTGATGGTCATGTAAGAGTCATGTATGTCAATGTGTGTTATGGACCTTTGATGGCTTTTGATGATAAAGACCTCAGTGCTGAAGGCTTCTGTATATGAATTCTCCTGTATGCCTTTGTAGCAACGTGTGGCTTCACCCGCCCTGACTCCTGTTGCACCTGTTCAGGGTGCTGCCAGTGGATGCTGCCATCTTCAGCAAGATCAAAAATCTCATACAAATACAACCATAATTTTGAATTACTGTAACCAGTGAAACATAGTGAAACCAGATAGTTTGATAATGTTTGATATGTTAATGTGTTGTAGCAGTTGTAGCCCTGCAGTTCCACCAGTGTTGTACTTGGCTGCCAGGTTTACCAAAGATATGCGGAACATGCCGGGGAGAGATTTGATCGGGAAGCTCTTTGGAAACGGTTTCTTGGCGCGACGGGTCACACCAGCAGACTGGAATGGTTAATCGGTTAATCCCTTCCCTTTAATATTAAACACTCCTCTCAGAAACCATGGTTTAGTAGCGAATTTAGGTAGACAGGGACCATCTAGGGGTATTCAATATTAGGGGGATTATGTCCTTGTGTTTCAATCGTCGAGCACCAACCATTGCCCGGGATGGAACCAAACTGATGATCACGCCAGAGTTTGATTGCCACTGGCAGTGCCAATCCGCATGGACACGCTCCTAGTAGATGCAGGAGTGGGATGTCAGACCTGTAACGCATGCTTGGAGGCACATTTCAGTCACAGCGGGCAGGGTGATATTGATGATTCGATGATGTCTCTATTTTCAGCCCACTGGCTGAATATACACGTGATGAATGGACATGATGTCAAGCAACATCAAGGCCAACTGTATTCAGAAGTCGGGACCTAGTGTTCATTAGTTTTTTAACAGATGTCCTGTGGCTTCCGTCAAAAGATGGTTGCAAGGAGAGCTAAGGCTTGTTTTTCGTGGCGACAGAGGATGCTCGATGGCAGATCGCCCACAACATTCTGAAGACGCCATTTTCCATCAGGGGCATGAAGGTGTCCAAGCCGCAAGTCCCTACAGATGTTGAGCATTGTTGAGCCACTTTCAGGACTTTCAAGATTCACATGGGGCCAGGTCCCTAGGTGACACCGCAATGTCATTCAAAACCATGTCAATGTTGAAGATAGGAGGTTTGCTTGACATGGCTCACATCTTGTGGTACAGATGAGAGAACACTCCAAGATACAACATCCTGTTGCCACTCTTCACCTTCCTATGCAGGTCATGATGCCTTTGATGTGCGACCAAGCCGATGCACTCGTTCAGACACTGAAGAGGGAAGTAGGCTACGGCCGTCCTACCTACATCGAAGCTTGGCACTATGATAATGCGTTGATGTAATTCCAAGATCACCATATTCAGCTTGAGGGTGATGCCTTGCATCTTCAAAATTGCTTAACATCTTGGAAGATCAGCCCTTGGGGCTTGTCGGGGAGGATTTGCACTTGAGCAAACCATGAAGCTATGGCTGAAGCGGAATATACCATTGGGTCCCTTGAAGAAGATTGAACATGCCTGAAGCAGACACGTGAATTATATGACTATTTAATACTATTCATATGTAATATAAATTAATCATTCCCAAAATCAGTTGGAATCATGTTCCAATCTGTTCTAATGCACCCCCATGAGCCCCGAGCGAAATCGGTTGATCCGCCATCTCCAGGGAAAAATCTAAGGATGGCTGGGTTACCAAGATGGCCTTCGAGCCGCATGACTGTGCCATCAGCCGGTTGTGGAACATGTTCGGTGAAACCATCTACTGTAGTGACACTGTAGTGATGTTGGGAGTTGCTGGTCACGGATGGTATTTTTGAGCGTGTTTTACACATGGCCATTTTGGTGCTGCCCATATCCGAGCATAAGACTGGTGAACCCTCGGTGACTTGAAATATCTTGAAATACCCACCAACGACCCTGAAAAATTTGAAGAACTCCACAGTGTAACCTGGTGGTGACCAAAGCAATATCGATTTATGATGAATCCACAGCAAGCCACAGGACTCCCAAGTTGATGCTTGAAGCATCAATATCAAACGACCAACTTTTGAGGGTAGCCATCCTCGGCTTTCTTTTTCCAGGGCAATGGAGAGCTACCCTCTGGTTATGTCAAAATAACTATTGAAAATGGCCATAGAAATAGTGGATTTACCCATTAAAAATGGTGATTTTCCATAGTTGTTTGTATGTTTACCAGAGGGTAACAGACTTGGGATGAGGGAAGCTAAGGACGATTGCAGTCTGTGGTTTAGGGACATCATTTGGCTGCTTCAACGACGACCAGACGCACCCCTACCTGTTGGCCTTTAATGTTTCCTTGAGACAACCGGGATGGGAGTTCGCCAGTTAAAGATGTTGAGGTTTGCCACACGTCAGCTGATACCCTCTGGTTATGACTAACATAGCTATTGAAAATGGTGATTTGTAGTTGATTAACATACAAAAAGCTATTGAAAATGGTGATTAAATGTGATTTATAGTTGATTTTCCCATTGAAAATGGTGATTTTCTATAGCTATGTTAAATTACCAGAGGGTAACATGTGGTGATCAGCTGATGGTGTGATGTATCAACTGGAACTCATTTGGCTCTTTTCGGCTCTAGACTCTGAAGGTTTCATCAAATTGGACAACCGCAGTCCGTTGCCTCATCAAAATTAGTCTACTGCAGAAAGATCCTGTTGAGAGCCACGTGGTTACTACAGTATCTAGAAGACCTTCATGGGAAAAGTATGTTTCTTGGTAGGCTATAACGACCTCACTATCCTCACTGCGCCGTTAGGGTTTTCATGATGGTTGGTTTTTGGGGAGTAGTCCCCAAATGACCTTGTTTCAGATTCCAAGGCTTGCCGGTTTCATGTTTCCTTTGTTGTAGTGTCATTCCAATGACACGGATCACCAGCCAGATATCCTGCTTATTTGGCATTGTTCCTGCCCATGCGGCAAGTTTGCTTAGGACGCAGTGGAGTTTCTCAGTCAGCCCCAAAGCTGCAAGAAATGAGATTCTTAGGAAAAATCCATGCGTCCGAATCCCAATTGACATGCATGTAGATGCATCCATCTCAGGCATATGCACCATGGACATGAACTTTGCATTAACTTTGCCATATTTCCAAGCCAACTATTGTCCAGCGGACCGATAGCCTTCTTGCAGGATTCTGTGTTGGAATGGGATCTGGAGAATGGATTTGTGAGAGGCAATGGTTCGACTGTGTTGCCGCCGCTACACAGGGACGATTTTATCTATAGTAGCGCCGTATTCTACCAGCATGTTTCATCCAAAACAATGCACCATGTATATACTGGCGGATTTTGCACGCAGTGCCGCTAAGGCAATCCCTGCAATTCTGCCCCAGTTATTTGAGACCTTTGCTCTTCAGAGGCAGCGTGATTTGTTCTTGGCGGATAGCGCTGGATGGATTGAATTGAGATTTTATGACATGCTGATTCATGATGATTCATAACTATTCATGATGATTCATAGTGATTTACGGTGATTCATGGTGATGCATGATGACATGATGATTCATGGGTCCAAGATTCTTGACTTTGTCTATGCATCCAAAGGTTGAGGGATATCCAAGTCATGTGTTAGAGTCCACTTCCACCAGGCTGGACACGCTTTGACTCTGCGACTTGGCAGAACGAAGTTTTTTCTTTTTCGACCTGTTGACACTTCTTGAGGTTCCAGGATTTGAACGGATTTGGATGGATGGAGGATTCTAAAAGTAGAGAGTCACATCCTACTGAAGTCAGTGTACATCAATGTACTATAAACGTTCGCAGATCGAGAGACGCAACGGCTGAGGCATGTGAGTACATGCGTGCGACTTGTGCGACCCTGGGGTGGGAATGCTGCAATGGCATTGTGTGTGTTTTTAGGTGTCTTCAAGTGTGTTCAAATGTATGTGTGTGGGTGTGGTGTGAAAGGATGTGAAAGGAATTTGTTTGAGTAAAGTTTCAGCTCTAGATTGTTGCCTCTTTTAACTGGATTTTTTCCAGAAATTGCCGAAGTCTTAGGCTTCCTGTTTCGAAGCTTTTTTTTGTGTTTCATGGCTTTGTTGAGCTATGGGATCACTGGTATCCACCTTGCAATCTGTTTGGCTCAAAGCTCGGCTTAAAAAGGGCTGCAGCTTTCACGGTGTTTCACCACAGCCCACCTTGCAGTTGGTGGAAGCTAGGGATGATCATGTGACTGACCTGCAAGGCAGTTAGTGGAATTGGCTGAATTGGACAGTTGCAAGCTCTTACTAGTGTGCGATACGTCGCTACGAGTTTCTATTTTCTAGTTGGTGTTCGGAAAAAAAGAGATGAACTCCTCTCATGCGCGGATATATTTAAATATTTGATTACATACAAACAATGCATCGATAAATCATGGATAAATCGATGTTTCTTCCAGTGGTCCTTTCAGATTCTTTGGTGCCTGTGGTGCCTGAGGCCATCCCCATGCTGATCGCCCACGCGCGGGTGGACGATCATGTGCCTGTGCCATCCGCCGATGCCGGCGATGGCTTGAACGGTTTCAGTGATGCCGATGCCATGGATGGCGCCAAGCATGTGGCCTATGAATGCTCCAAGAGTGCTGCTAAGCATCAATGGGGATGGATGGGATGGATGGGATGGGCAAGGATGCTGGCTTCAGTATTCAGCCGGCCAGCCGAAATTGCCTTTGGTTCTTGCGCAAAGGCGAAAAAACGAGAAATTTGTAGGTCATAGGGTCTTGAAATGTGTTGAAATGTAAAGCTTTATTGACTGGGCAAGATTTTAGAGATGGTTCCTTCTTAGCTGACTTGCTCACGTCGTTCAATCAAGGTGGCCAATGCCGTGGGTCATCCATTGAAGGGCCCCGAATTGGTGCTGCGAATTTGGGAATCCACTGCGGGAGCTATTTGCAAAGAAGTCGAGTCTGGGCGCTACTCGTCGTTGAGCCATGTTGTGCAGTCAAATCACTGGGGTCTTTCACCCAGAATTGGCTTCGGATGCTGCGGTTTAGGGATGTTTAGCGATGTATACCGTATACCCAAACCCTTGGAAATATGTTGCTTCAAAACTCATGGTCTCCTTCCAAAGTCTCAATTGAGTTAACCTTGCAGGAACTAGACAAGTGGCATATGGCATAGTCAGATCATCCAAGCAAGCCAACTGAGGGAATATCTTTGTACCGGGCCTTGGCACCTTCGGAAATACCGCGGATGGGATCATCTTCGCACCTTTGGAGGAGTTCGTGCAAACTCACGGTCGCCCGGCAGGGGGCTGGATTAGAGGTGAGGCCAAGTCCCCACTTGCCGTTGCTTAGGATTGCGACCTGGGATTGTGATTGTGAGCTACCCTCTGGTAATTTAACATAGCTATTGAAAATGGCCATTTATAGTGAGTTTTCCCATTAAAAATGGTGATTTTCCATAGTTATGTTAGTTTACCGGAGGGTACACGTTGTAAGTGGATAATTTGTCCCGACATGAACAGAACACACAATATCACACAATCAGATTGCACAGACGTGGCATAGAAGCGTACAAAGCAACTTCAAACAGATGTATATATATATATAATCGGAATAATTCAAGCAGGCCTGACATTTCTGATTGTAGAAATCTGCGACAAAATATCTTCGCTGTCCTTCAATCAGTGAGGAAGTTAAGCCCTCCAGGTCTGGACGTGTCCTACTTCACCAGTTTCATCGAGATGATCCCTTCCCGACGGCCGCCCACATCACCGCGGCGCCGCGCCGATGCTCGGTGGGTTCCAGAGTTCGTTCGCTGTTGCCAACGTGGCGAAGTGCTGGCCATAATCCGCAATTACTTTTGTGTTCTGAGGCAATTCATGTAACTAATTAGAATCAAAAATGGAACATATTGAGCCTCATTTATCCACTTCTGACGCCAATTAAGTGGACCTCAAACCATGGTGTACCTCGCAGCAATCAAGCCTTGAATATATGTTGGAGTTGGTAGGGTATTCTCTAGGCCAAAGCCATTGCTCCAACTGGCTGGGTTTTTGTCTCATGATTGATCCATACAATTAATGGCAAAATCCTAATTGGTAGTGTAATTATCATTTTTGACGGTTGAGGATTGGCTTCTGACGCTCAATGTCCAATTTTGGTTGATGAGTTTCCCCTTGTTTTAGGGTTTTTCACCACACCAAACTATTGCAAACCCACCATGTTTATCCATTTTTTGTTGGTTAAACATGGGTTAAACCATGGGAAACCAATCATTTTTGGCTGAGGAGGAGCTAAGCTTGGCCGCGCAGATGGAGCTGCTGCCCCGGGTGAAGCATTCGGTGGCCTCAGTAGCACGGCTGCTGGAAGTGACCAGCGACGTGGTGCTGCAAGCGCTCCAGGATGCGGGGACAAGATGGGAGATATGGCTATGGATCAATACCTATTAATGGATCAATACCCATATGGTATTAATAGTGGGATGAACATCAAAATGGGGATTTTTAGATAGTGGGATGAACATCCATAAATCCCAGCTATTTTGATGTGAACAAAAGGGGTACTATTGGTTTTGACCCACTGCCATATGAGAAAATGGGATAAAATGGGATGGTTATTTTTGCGGGTAATCAACGGTAATTCCATACATCAGCTGCTGGACTACTTGATCTGAAGCTTCGTGAATAATTGATCCAGCCATAATTATACATAATCCGTACTTATATCAATCTACATAATAACCATCCAGTGGATAGGAGGGAGCGATTCAACAATTTGTTATATTATATTATTATATCATATCATATTCGGAAAGATAAACATTTATATACTTGGATCTTTGCCAACATCATATCGAATTACAGTGTACAATACCTATCCATATGAATGATACATAATTGATAACTAGCGGATAGAAGTTTCCAACCACGTGATAGCCATGTGAAACTGCGTATAGAAACAAGAGAATGCATTAACAATGTGGATATATGATTATATGTATATATATATATACCTTGTGGGTCCGAGACCTTCCAAAAAAATGTTTTTGCCACGGCCACACCTTGACGAAAGACCTAAAAGGTAAACGAAAGACCTCAAGGGTAAACTGCTGAATTTGGGGCCCAAGGGGTGCTGAGAAATCGAACATTGGCAATCACGGGACCACGATGTTTGATGAATTGCGAACTTGTTCGATCACAATTCATTGCCCAGATTCTCACCAATTTGGCACCCCATTAGGACATTAGGATCCATTAGTGGTTTTCAGGGATTGAAACAGGTTTTTCCCTCTGCACTCCGGTTTTCTGTGCCTGAACATGTGAATGGTTTGAGGAAAAAAAACATATTGTTTTTTTTGGCGACGGACCTGCCCGTGCGTGGACAGACTCAAATATCCAAAATCAGATTTGTTTGTGTGTTTTGCTTCGTATACCCATGTTTATTTGTTATTTGTTATTCGTATTACATTCCCAATCATTTCCAGGTTTAAATTCTGCTTGCTGCTTTAAATCAATCCCTGCGTTGCTGTTCGCAACTGAGTTTTGCATCATTGGTGTTGGTTGCAACTGGAATGTGGTGTTTTAATATGTTTTAATGGTATCATTTGTGTTTTAACGGTCATTTTAAGATATAGTTAATTTATGTTAATTTCCCACGGTGATGCAATATGGTTATCGATTGGGACTTAGCGCAAGCACGGATTCCCATGGGATGACCGGCCAGGCCATGGTCCATCGAATGGGGCAGCAGATGACCACAAGGGCCCCTTGGCGTCCCTGTATCGTCAAACTTTGAGCTGAAAACATTTTTCAGTGCTAAAGGGGCGTATCTATGTTTGTATCATTAGAATCCCCCTGCCTATTTCCTCGAAAAAAAACTTCGTATGTCGACATCCAGAAACCAGAGCATTTTGTAGAGGAAGTTTCCTCTACAAAGTTCAAATCCGGCAGCCAAAAGTACGGGGATATTCAAGAAGGATTTTTTGTATACCATGCTGGTTGAACTTTGTAGAAGGATTTTTTGGGATTCATCATATTTTATTGATTGTATCCATATTGCGCGTTTCTGTACATGTTGACCCAATAGTCCATGCATAATGTTCCAACGGTAGGCCCAAAATCTGGACCTTGTCATTTTTTTCCAAGGCGATGGTAGCTGTGAGTTTCGCCCCTTTGGGCACTTTCGTTTGCGAAGAACGATGCTTTCGCTTCCATGCCCAGCTCTCCGTCTTGGCACCACTGGCACCAGTCTCCAATTTTGGCCCCACCATTCCCTTGAGGCGGGGATACAATGCTGCCTGGGTGAGGTGAAGCGCTTTGAAAGTGGGCCGGGAGGGCCATATGAAAATGGAGAACTGTGTTACGCACTATTTCGCACATGTTTTAATACCAGAATTATGAGAACAGGAAATGATCGAAGACATTCAAAACTCAATAGATTTTCTCACCAAAACTAGTAGTATGGGGTAGGTTTGAGAGGCCTTTGCCATGTTGAATTGACAACCGAAGGAAACTCCTATCCACACTGGAGCGTCGAAAGGCCAAATTCGGGATTCGAGGCGGGGAACGGCGTTGGCACAATGCCCACAACTGCTTAATGGTGTTGGGTGAAACAAGTCAAAACAACTCGAGGGATGCTATGAAATTCAATGAAATAGTTAGTTGAAGCTGCCCCCGGTCAGTCTTGACATGTCTTGATAGATGTCGATGGCTAGAGAAGGAGAGAGAGTTGGAGCAAAAGAAGTTGTTGCACATGTGAGCTCGAGAAAAATTTATGTGAAAGGAAGAGAGAAAGTATCTCAAGATATCTCAAGATATCTCAAGTCAATGTCAAGGGCTATGAAAGCAGCTACATTCAGACAATGGCTGATGGCCTTTCAGAACTTTCAGCCGCGGCTTGGATCACCGGATCACCCTGCAATTGCTCAGAGAGAGAGAGAGAGAGATTTTGTGTCAGCAGCCTACAGCATCCACAAAGTGTTATTTGTTGCTGCTTTCCAGCCAACCCTTCTTAGAAATGGTATGAAATGGTTCTTCAGGTTTCAACCTGCATCAAAGCAGCATCCCTCTCCCTCACCAAGCAGCGTCAAACTATACCCTATAAGTTCACCCATTTCAAACATCAGCACATCGTCGTCGTCATCATCATCATCATCATCATCTTCATGTTCATGTTCATGTCCATGTTCATTCTCAGGCTCATGATGATTTTTCTCTTCAGTTGGCAACCTTTTTGTCATCGCCCAGGCCCCCAGCCCCCCCCGGGGCGCCCCGTGCGCCCGGGCAGCCGCGGCCGCCGGCCGCAGACAGTTTCGATGCAGCGCTCGATGCCGGCGAAGCCGGAGGTCTTTCCGGATCTGCATCTTGGCCGGTGAGTTTCACTAGAAATGGCCCGAATGAGACTGAAACCAGGAACGGCCATAAAAATGATGTGATCATCGGATCGTATAGATGATTCAGATAAGATTGGATTTGATGTACGTATATGATTGTATATCTATTTACTATTATTTACTATTTGTGTGAAATGGAGGATTAAGGTTTTCCTCCAGTTTGACATCTATGGGAAATAGGTAATGATGTATAGATTGCCAACAACTGGATGCCAATACAGAGCCATTGAAATAAACACCCCTGGGTTCCAAGAACATCCAACAATCATATTTTGGTTCTTGTCCGTATACATAATATCTATGTGTATATATATATGTGTGTGTGTGTTTTATTCAATGCATGGTTTTGCATTGTGAACAAGTCATATATAATTACGGTTACTTCTTTAGTATTGGGGGACCATGTCCAAAATAAAGGAAAAATGTTAGTGGATTCTATGGTGGTATGTCTACAGTGGCCAAAATTATGAAAACGAATTTCTAGTTGCAGGAGAAACCGACAGAAATCGAGCATACATGGAGGTCCAACATGGAGTGATGTGAACATGGTTGGTTTTAGATGTATCAAATTTTGATCCAGAACGTAGCACCTTCATCCCAGCTGAAGTAGGGGAAAGTGGCACCATCTAGTACAGTACCAGTTTGGTTGTGAGTGTTTTTTGGGAACTTCAATCATGAACACCGCACACCCGATGGATATTGACAGCGCCTGTGGTGCCCATCAGATGCAGAAACTGAGGTTGAACGCGCGCCTTGTTTGCATGGTTCGTGGGGTCGTAATGATTGAAGTTCCTGTCTGGTCTGAAATTCTGACATAGCGGCAGACGGCCACTTAGAGATTTGTGCAATCAAGTATTGCGGAGCAACCCTCATTCTCATGTTTCTCTCACCTCAGGATACCTCAGGCCTATGTTAAAGTAGACAAGGGGGAATCCCTGCCCAAGACCCTCTTGGTCTCAGCTTTCCGGCCAAGTGTCGGAATTAGCGCAACACACACCCACCGACATACACATGTTTGCTCACAAATTGACATACCACTTAAAAATACAATGAAATATATAGATATGTTGAGATTCGTTATACGTTGTTGAATATAGGCAGTATAACATAGTATAACACTGATAGATTATTTAGGATTGTAGATAACTACATGGAATTATATGGGCATATGAGGCATATGCAGATCATTTTGCATTATAAAATTATATATATATATACATTATATTATATATATATATATATTATTATTTTATATATATATTATATATATATATGCATATAACTATCAGGTTGTTTGTTCAACACTCCTGGAGATCCGGCGCTGTTCTACTGGCAGGTTCAGCCGCACGCAAGCTGCACCCTTCGTGGGGATGGAGGATCCCGGTTCGCCCAGCGAACGCATCGCCTCGAGCTTCACGGGCTCGGCGTCCAAATTGACCTGGAAACCCTGTCAGGTGCCAGCTGGAGTGGGAGTTGAGACATAGAAGAAGTGTGGTTTATGAGATGATAAATCAGAAGGTCGATGCAGATTTGGATGGATTAATGTACAGTTAAATAGCTATATTTACAAGAGGTCTGTGACCATTATCTTAGAAGCTTTGGAGGATGAACGCATGGTACAACACCGAGACCTCCGCCGCAACCGGAGAGCTGCAGGTACCGCGAAGATCCTTGCGCTGGCAGCCAAGTTTTTTAGAACAGCCGCTTCGCTCAATCAAGGGTTGTAGAGATGCCCCGAAATTGGGCCCATCCAGAAATTCAAAAACTGATGGAATGGGTCATTCAGAAGGGAAAAGGTAAAACCAGATAGGCAGACTTGGCCTATTGTGTGTGACATCGAGTTCTTGCCCTCCAAATTTGCCACTGCAAAGCACCCACAAGTGTTTAATTATGTTTAATTAGATGATCACGTACATGAGGGTTGCAAGATGTTGCAAGTAGCCTGCAAACAAGCAAAACCTTGTACCAGAGAGGTTGGTTGTCAGATGTTATTAGGTTGGCTTTGCAGATCCACTGTTTGGCAAGACGTTGCTGAGCCTCAGCATTTGTTCCGAGCATTTGCTGACACTTGCAGCTAAAAGAATGGTAAAAGATGGTCAAAAGGGTGGTCCATGCTGGCTCATGGTGGCTCTGGAAAGTGCATGTTTGTGCATTGTTTGTTGTCGGATATATACAGAGGCAGAATACGATGACCAAGAAGAGATAGAGCAAGAAAACAATGTAAGGATGGATGTTGTCAAACCTCATCCTGTGCCTTCACCTGAAGACAATGACTCAGAAACAGGAAACAGCTATACAAGACTCAGCAGATTGAACGCTTGTTCAGAAACAGTATATCTGTATCCTAGGTTTGGCATCGTTTCGAAGATTTATATGACAATTTTGTTGATAAAAAATATCATTGAATGTGGTGCGGAACTGAGACGAGACGGAGAGATGAAGGCAATGAATGGCAATGAAGGATGAGCCACCATTTGTTGACAGCAGGAAACAGGCAACTAAAAACACGAGACGAACTGGAAAAACTCACCGATTGAACATTAACATAAAACCATAACAATCAACACACAAACAGATTCCACTTCCATTGTACCTCCAACATGCTTACAGTAGAGTCCATCAACAGCAGCGACAAGTTTTCATGTGGAAAGAGAAAGAACGAATCCACAGTGACCGGGTTCTCAGGTGGTTATCCAATGCTATCCAGCATTGGAGTTTGTTTTTGCCCTGAGGCCCTTCCTCGAGGCCAGGGGTGGTGAAAACTACTCCAAGCACTTCACTGACCAGATTGAGGTGCCTCATACGGAAATGCAGGGTCCACCGAGTGTGACCTATTGATATTTGATCATATTTGGCAATTGCTACATCGCTTTGGCCATGAGAAAAGCGTTCAAAGCGGGGGGATGGTTGCGGATGGTCATCGAGTCATCGCTCCACAGGTGGACTCGCCCTTGGATCTGGAACTGCGGGAGGCGCAAGTGAGCCAGGCACAGTTCTACGAAACCCTCTTTCGGTGCCTTGGAGTTAGATGGGGGTGGCCATGGTGAACCATGGTGAACCCCCCTGTGTTTGGCCAATGTTTGGCTCATACTAAGAGTGGTGAAGGGAAGTAAAACGTGGTATATAAAGTCATGCAGAATCCAGTTGTGTCAGACAGGTGCTGCGTTCAGCCGCAGCAAGGTATGGCTATTACTTTGACACCATTCCCAACAGCTATCTGGCGCCCTTCAGCGACCGCTGGACCCTGAACATCCAATACCGCACTGGCGGGGAGGAGTTCCCCGAACTCATGGAGCGGATGTGGGAGGCCTGAGGGTCGAAAAATTCATGGCAATGGGATACAATATGGGATATGGGTATGGATCAATACCTATTAATACCATTTTTAGGGGGATGAACATCCATTTACCAGCTATTTTGATGTTCACCAGGGGTACAAGGTTTTGACACACTGCCATATAATATGGGATTGTATATCCTAATGGGGTCAAAGGGGTTGTTTTGGTGTGTATATTTAGAAAATATGAATGTTCGAAAGTTCATACTATCATACAACAGTTCCAGGCTCCATGCCATCCATTCCACACGGCAGGAAGTGTTGCATGACTACCGCCAAGCGATTCGGAAAGTCATTATTGAACACGTCCTGAAAGAAGAGAAGGCCATGGGGCACTCCTTTGCTGGATGGCGGGCTGATTGGGGTTGCAACCTGCAGTTACCTTGATTGGAGGCTTCAAAGTTTGAAATGTTGATGGGGTGGACTTCTGTAGAATGTCTTGGAAACAACCTGACTTGCTGCGGTTACTGTCAGCTATCCGGATACTGAAACCATCGTGTTTGGTGCTGTCCACAGCATCGCTCCCATCTCAAACAATAACGATACCAGACGACACCTTGAAGTCTCCATTGTGTCTCCTCTTGCGAGGCCAAGAAACGCACTGGCATCTTTTTCGTACCGAGCCCTATGCCACTTTGGGGAACTCAAGCCTTTCTGGGACCCTTGGCCGACAGCAAAGGACCAGGATAACATGTTTCAGCTGTTTGGTCGTGTCCAGGTGCCCTTTCAATGTTAAAGTTGGACACCATATCAACATGCATTGATTTCTAAGCACCCCAAAAACAGAAGCAGAAAGGTAAGATGTAAAGCTCTCGCAGGAAACTACCTGATGTCTCTGAACCCAGTCCTGTGATGGTTTCCTGCGAGGCATTGAAGGCACTGCCGGTGGCCCACCAGAAGGATGGGAAAGCATCACCAGCAGGTGCCGGATGGGAGGATGCAGCCCAATATTTGGGTGACCTGATCAAGTTTACCTGCAAGTACCGTATCCCTATTCAACTGTGGTTTTCAGTCTCTGATTTCAACTTCAGTTTGCTGTTTTTGTTTGCTGGTATTTGGTGGCACCCAGTACAAAGTGCCCCCGCAACTTCACGCACAAGGCGCTCGAAGTTTAGCACCCGAGGCGCACGCAAATGGCGAATTTGTTGATGCCTTGCAGCAGTGCTTCTGCGACGCTGCTGGATTTGTGGCATCAAAAATACGATGCCCGGCCATCGAATATTCTGCCGGGGGATCTGACTGTGGAGAGTCCCAAGTGATGTTGGACCAGCTGGAAGATGATGAAAGGTCAGTGGGTCCCCGGCTGGGGATAGCTGGTTTCCCTGAAAATCAACTCAGGACACACTGCTGCTGGTGGACTTGCCGTCAGGCTTGGTGGGATGACAATTTGGCATTGGGCAGATTTGGGGTATCGCATGAGCTGAGTATAGCTTTGCTGAAGCAAGAACCTGGTTTGTATCCATGCAACAGGCCAAACCGGCAGAGACTACTTACCATTGCCTGTAAAAAAACATCCGGTTGTGACTGGGATACTGTATGTGAAACCGCTAACAAAGGCTTTACTCACACCTTCCATTGGTCGATGGGCAGGAATCAGCCTCCCATCCAAGCTCTCATGTTCGACAAACCTTTGTAGAAGTGCAGCTGCAAAGGGTCTCACGGTCATGGCCATTCCTCTATGCAAATCTATGCAAATCTGGCCCCACAATCCCGGTCAACTCCTGCTTACCCTCAGCATACCCTCAGCTTTGGATTGTTATAATATATTAAAATATATTAAATATTAATATGTCATAATCATGTCACATGTCAGAACCCTATGTATTTTGTATCATATAGCATAATGTGAACGCACTGCATATAACTGTATATAGTAGTATATACGTTTTATGTTTAATCTATGTGTGTCTATATATGCATACATACCTATGGATGCATATAAATATATATATATACATATGCATGAAGATATGTACATACATACACCCGATATGTATGTAATTATGTATGTACAAACGAGATGCGCCCCATGATCTACAGATGTTGTTGTTGCCACTTATCCCCATAATTTCGCCCGCTCCGCCGCTCCGCCAGCTACTTGTGCAGGCGACTTGATGGATTTGCAAGCCTTCTGCGCAGCGCAAGAGCAAAAGATGAAGACTGTCCGACGAAGTCTGGAGATGCTGGGTCTGTGACTAGAAGATGGTCCGAAAACTGGATGTTTCGATTGATTTCTGCCTCCAAGAACTGGATGTCTTGGTGCATGTATGGCTGTGGCTCAAAGTAACTTAACCCAAGAAGCGTCATAGAATGTGTAGATAAACAATGATAAACACAATATTCAAATCAGGGATGTTTCACATTTTGCGAATTGTGATGTCCGGTGCCCCAGGCCATGACCCAGAAATGGTTTACTGGAAGATCCATGACAAACAAATTGTTTTGGGAGTGTCTCCCATGTTATTCCGCATTTTTGCTGGTTATATAAATTCCCATTCTAACCAGATTTCTTGTTGGTTAAATCCCTCATCCCCCAAGTGGGTGCCCCAACCCCTGCAGTGAGGACGTGGTTGGGAGAGGTGGTAGAGGTGCTGAAGCCCTATAGCCCCAACTGCTGGCCGGTGACCTTACTGTGTACCCAAGTTCGAGGCAGTTGGATGACAGCTGGATCTTGGGCTCCATGATGCTCCATGTGTCATGATTGCCATGGCTGTGCGGTGGGAAGATGTGGAGAGTACAACTGTGCCCCTAAGTTGGGTCCCCAACCACATACCATCATCTCTTTCATCTAGTCTGCTCATTTTCAGATGTAATTGGTTGATGTTTGGCCCATCCCAAAAAAAGGGACGTACAGCACCACAGCACTACAGCACTACAGCAGACCGGCGAGGCGTCGTGGATCGCAGCATCGCAGCCTTTCTGCAGTTCTTTGGGCCTCAGCAGATGGACGCCTTTCTGCGTGTGGGGCTCCAAGCCCAGGGCTCTGCACCTTGGTGAAGATTCACCTGAAGGGAAACCTGTTCCGGCAAAGGGAAGAAATATTCTAAAGGTTGACATAGAAATATGATACAATATGATACAACATCCTTCATGCAATCTGATGTATATTGGTTTTTTGGCCTTCCGATCACTTCAGTTTCATGATGATCATGGGATATCATGGGCATCACAGCCGCAGCCTGAGGAAATTGAACTTACCACATCCCTGGAAGAGATCGAGGTGTCACTGGTGCAGGCCATTGCGGGCTGTCACTGTGTCACCAGATGGATATATGGGCTGTGTACACATACTGTTAATTAGTGAATTAGTGTTATAATATAACTGTTATATGATGTTTTGAAGGCATATGACATAGACATCATACGGGTACCTTGGATGAACCTTGCCACAGGATGATAAGTTTTTGGGATTCCAAGGCCCAAAAGCCACAGCATCAGCTGCATCAGGTGTTCAAGGACTTCGTTGTGAGCCTCAGCCACTGGTTCGGCAGCCGTGGGCGCCCCTGAATGATATGAAGATTTTGGAGTAGAAACTGCAGGATTTCCCCTTCATGATGGGGATTCTTGCCAGGAAGACTGCGAATATCAACCAACTCTGGGAACAAACCTTGGGATTTGTATAGATTTGTATGAATTTGATGAGCCGGTCACTGGGGAACGAGCCACCAACGACTGGGAATGGAGCAATTAAGCTCAAAAGTTCTTCCACACTTGAACGGACAGTACTCGATTGAAGATGACCCCAGATTTTGCAGCACAGAGTTTTGCGACTGCGGAACCTGGTGTACAGTGTACATAGTGGCTATGGCGAGACCCGAACCTCAGATTCTTAGGCCTGGGTAACCAAGATGGAGCACCTTACGGCACCAGGGGTTGATGTTGGTGAGGTGACTTGAGCTTTACCGTGGACTCCAACACAGTGACTTTGTGGAGCGTGACACTGGAGGAAGCCTATGTTCAGGAGGTTGGATGTCTCAGGTTCCAAGAAAGTACAATAGTTATGTCAGTTGTGTTGTTTGGCTGATTTTGAAGGGCTTGGTTGATGTTGTTTTTTAGCACCTGTGAGTTGGTTGGGACTCAGGCTTTGGGGATAGGTGATGGCCTGATGGCCTGATGGCGCCACCAGGCCCAGGCCAGCATCACTAAGAACATCCTGCACAACCTGGAAACTTGTCCGCATGTCATGAATTCTACATCAACACGTTGGTGGTATAGACCAGTATAGACATCACCCAGTAAACCAAGGAGAGGGTGGAGGCAGCTTTGGCCCCCTTCGATCAGTTCAAATATCTCCTTGTGGAGGAGCGGTAACTGCAGGAATGTGGTTTTGAGATGTCTTGATGACTGGAGTTGCGGGTATGTGTACGGCTTGCGGCATTTCTGTAGAGAAAAGATGTCGCTGTCATTTATTTGCTGAAGCTGTTGCAGCTTTGTTGCATGCTTCGCTTAACCTCAGATGACCTCATAGAATGCACACCCTTCGCCTGTCAGAGGACGTGCGAATCAAGAAACTTTCAGAAGATACACTGACGCAGGAGCCAGAGCCCACTGAGCCAGCGCTCCGATTTTCAGACCAATGGTTTTTGATGGCTTTTGGTACAATTTGGCATATTCCAGAAGCTTTTTTTCCCAATCCCCAGTCTGCAGCATTGACTGGTTGTGTAGTTGGTATTACATATTATATATATAATATATATATAATATATATATATATATATATATATAATATAATATATATATATATGGTCAGATCATGGTACCATGATCCCACCCGAGCTACCCCACTTGTGGGCTGCCCGTGGATCCAGGACTGCGTCATGGAGGAGCTAAAGACCCTGAGAGCGGTGCAACAGAACATCCGAAGCAAATGTGCTGAGGAGATTTCTTTGCACATGGCTCCTGGGATTGAAACTGCGAATCCTGGGAAAACACATATCAAGTTCTCACCCAAGTGCGGAAAACACATCATTGGCTGTACCAAAAAAAGATGGAATGTGAATAAACTATATACTTATTAATCTTATTAGTCGTACTGCTTGAAGTGGCTGGTGAGGATGACCCAATCAGAAAAAAATTGGGATGAATGGAACATGGAACCTGACACCAAAAACGTTTAAGCGGGCAATAAGGTGCTACCACACACGATTTTGTGATTTGAATGACCCTAAATTCCTCCTTAGCGTTCAATGTTTCATATGTTTGTTACTTGGGGCAGATCTCAGGTTTCCATCCAATGCTCCCACATCAACGAGACCCTTCGTTCCAAAGCTGAAGAGGCGCAGCATCCTCCCGCCACCTGTCGCTACAGCGCTACAGCGCTACGCTGGCGAGGCCATCCACATCCTGTTGGACTCGATCTTGCGACACCTGCTGCTGCGCAATGATCATCTCTGCAACAGCTTTGAGATGGTGCCCGAGATGGGTAGATGGGTAGATGGGTCGGTTTCTGTGACCAAAAGCCTTGGGATAGCCATAGCACCATAGTATTTCATGCTATGTTCTTTCAATTTTGCTTGAGAACCAAGAGCAAAGGTCAAGCTCCCATGTATCCCATGTAACAACGTAAGAGTGGAGTTTTCCATACTATTTCAACTATTTCATATTATTTCCATATATTTCCAATCCTGATCTTTGATGTCCCATGGCCAGTGAGCCAGCAGAGGTGGTGAACCAGGTCGTGAAGAAACCGACCAGCGAAATGGAGCTGGTGGATCTGGAGATGTACATTGAAGAGTTGTCCAGCTGAAATGGTGGGCGTCAGCCAACCACTTGCCTTGGGAAGTCGATCATCATTTCCATGTCGTTTTTGTGAGCTCAAGTGTGCCTCTATCTTCTTCACTTTCTGTTCAATACCTGAAGAAGTTTAATTGATCATAGTCACACACACAATGAAACACACAAGCGCATACCTTTGACATGATGTGCATTCTATATATATATATGTGTTATGTGCAAAGTAGACATGAGCTTCTGTTGAACTCTCTCCGATGGTGATAGATATATATATATATAAAGGAGAAGAGAGACAATAATCAGTATATACACCTCACATGCATATATAACTCAATTTAAATATATCCACTGTATCATGTTTGACTATAAACGTGCACATATCATATAGTTACATCTTTTTTATGTGCCTTTAAGTGTATAATATATATATATTATATTATATCCTCCTCGGTATTCCAATGCATATTTAATAATGCAGCTGTAGTTTGGCGGATCCCACGAACCATGGCCCGTCAGGTTTCGCAACACGGGCCTCAACGAATTGTTAAGGGAGTTTGACAGCAGCTCAGTGGAAAAATCGGGAGACGTTCCGGTGATTCAAAACACGTTTGGCATCTTAACCAGTGTTAACCGCCATTAAGATGACGAAGATGACTATGATTTATGGGTATTTATAGTATAAATCATCTAGAAATTGGTCAAATATGGTCAAATGTTCTATATCTTCATAGCATTTTATAGCTATGTTAGATTACCAGAGACTAATTTATCCACAGATGTCAGCGAGACCTTGGATGAATCAATCCCACTTAGTGATGAAGTTTGAGCTGGCATCGATAAGGAACAGAGTTTCCTCAAACATCAGCAAACCCTTTCTGAATGAGGAACGAGTTGAAAGCGAGTTTTCGCTGGCAGCCTGTTTTTTTTTACAGGGATATCACTGGGAAATGGGACATGTTGTTCCTGAGTGGTTGGTTTTTCGGTGGATCATATGTTAATTCTAGCAATAATCCCAAAGGCCTGGGGAAACTAGAGCTGGGGGAAGTTCAGCATATTCCAAGGTATCCGTGAGTGGCTGTCCTTCCTCTTTACGTGTGAAAACCAGCTGATGTTGGGGCTCTTGAAAGAGAAGCACTTCCAGGCCTCTTCTGAGTGCATATGACTGAGTGTATATGGGAAGGTTGTGAAGGTGATGACATGATCCTGATGATGATGATGATGATGATGAAGATGAAGATGAAGACCGCGCTGGTGATCATGGGGAAGTCACAGTTGTGCCCGTCGCCTAAGTGGCCCAGGCCATCTATGACTCAGCTCACTGGGTCGGTTCCATCCAGGAGCGGGTTTTTCATGGCACCAACTTGAAGCGTGAACGCGAAGCCCTGGAGAGTAAATTCAAGGAGCAACGATGCTTGAATGTTGAGAGTTGGGTTTCGGAGCATGGGAATATTCTGATCATGATGGGATATGTAAACGCAAGTGGGGAAAGATATATGCATGACATGCATGACGTATCATGATATGGCAATGCTGGAGTCCATGGAGGCGAAATGACCAAACTCGGTTCAAATGATTTGCGCAAAATTATAGTGACTTCAAAGCAACCAAACCGTAGATGATGCTGAGGCAGGGAAATAAAGATTGGGGGTGTTGTAGTTTTCCCAGAATGCTGATGGGGCGATGCTTGAACATAAGACATAAGAATCATACCAGCCTTTAGCCACCACCATCCCTATAGTGTTTGTGTACTATCCCAGATCCAATGGCTTTTGGGACTCTGCAACCATGGCTTTTTGAGGGCCATGGGGCCATGGCCAATCAGGAAACAAGTTCCTGGAGGACTTGGAGGGATACAACGAGCAAGTGGATCAACTGAGCGAATGCGGCAACCTGCGTCAGGTTGATGAGCACCTCGGCGCTGCAGAAAATGGCCCTTGACTAATCCGATTAAGTCACGGGAGAGTCTCCTAGAAGGGACATCATGTTTATAGTTGTTTATATACACCATTTGACATGGGGTTTTCCGGCAATGTAGCCTAGAATTTGGACGAAACACATTTACAACGGAAACTGTCAACAAAGACAGACATCGGCACAGAAAGCATACCAGCCTGAAAGAACATATATTCCCGACGAAAGCATACTTGGTTCAGAGGCCTAGTGTGTGCTTGCATTCCCATTGCCACAGTTCTTGGCGAACAGAAAAACCCACAGAAAAGACACTTGCAAGTATTGTGCTCTGGAATTTCAATATATAATAATATATATGTGGGTATCAAATGCAGAGCAAAAAGCTGAGCGAAGAGTGGGTTTTTCCCAGTGGGAGTTCTTCAGTGCGCCCTCCAGAAGGTACCTCGAGAGGATACAGGTGCTGAAGAACAACTTTACGCGAGCCCATGTTGAAGCAGAAAAGCTCAATGCCAAGGACCGAATTCGGGGTGTTCCAAATGTTATTTTCTACTTACTTATATTTGTATATTTGGAATGGCAAGTAAACCCAAACAGGTAACACGCCTTTGGAGCTGGTTGTAACCACCATGAAGTGACACAGATTCCGCTTTCCGCGCTATGGAAGACTGCAGAGATTTGCAGACAAAGATTTGTGTTCTATGAGTTCCCAGTGTTGTGGAACAAAATATCTTGTTTATTGTGTTTGTTTTGTTTGTCTTTTGATGGTGATGCAAAGTTCAGCTTTTCATGGCAGTCATGGCGGCCGCCAGGAGAAACGCTTTGGCTGGGAAGTGCGGAGCCCTTTCGAGCAACTGAAGAGAGGTGACCTGGTACGATGCCTCTAAGGTAAGCTTGGAATGCTGGGACAGCACACACAGGTACATCATGAGTACACAACTGGCAATTGGCCTCAATTGTTTGACTGACAGCTGCCTGGCATTGAAGGTCCATAGGATCCATACGCTTAAATGTGTGGCTGAGACATCCAACAAGTAAGAGTGACTACCTGATCGGTTAGACCAAGGCGAACATGCCTTGGAACCTCATTTTGCGCTTTGGATCCTTGGCGCTGGGCGAGTGTTAGCCCTGGTTATTCATCATGAATCCCCATAGCAGTGAGATATGCGTGCCTGCAGTACGTTCAAAGCGCCACAATAAAAAAATTAAAGCGGCAAAGTCAGATCCTCCTAGAAGATGAACCCTGTAGTCAGCGTCAAGCATTTTGCGCTCAATCATTGGTGCGACTGCCCATGCTCAGCTTGAAAGATCTTGAAAGTATTTGGTGGTTGTTTTCCGCCACAGACTTGGTTTGTATTTTCATGGGGGGTATTCAATGGGCTTCGATGAAACTGGATCTTCAACCACGTGGTTTCCGAATGCTGAGAAAGTTCGACAAAAACAAACAAACGGAGAGACTTCTCGTAGTCAAGACCCCCCAGCTCCGTTTTATTTTCAGCAGCTGTGTGAGACAGTTAGCTTTGGCAAACCTGTGATGCATGTGTTGAAGTAGGACGCAGACCAAGCAAAGCTTTTGATTTTCCCAGGTGTTCAGGACACGTCTTTTGAAGAAATCACATGGCAAGAGGTAGCAGAAGCTCTTCCAAACATATTTGACATCCTTCGCACTGTTGCCATGTGTCTATGACATGGTAATGCTAATAATCATCCTTGCACCCCATTTACCTCAGGTCAGACAATCCTTGAATTTGATTCAAGTTGAGCCAAATTCATCATATCTCAGTGCTCTCAGGACTTTGGCGTACAATATGGAGGAGAGCATGCGCAGCTGGATGAAGGGTCCCATGTTCCACATCGATCCCACAAAGGCCAGAAATTTCAGTGTAGGCATGTGACCATTTTGCTGTAGAACCATATGAGTAAAAATATGTAGATCACATCATATACAGGTTAGGAATATTTAGGACTCATATGCAGAATAATATGTATCAAACAACATCAAAGATATATGATTTTTCAACATTGTTCAATCATATCAGATCCTAAATAGGTGACACCAACCCTGCCACAACATCCCCAGCCCGCGGCCCTGCTTCAGGTGGACTTTGAGGTCCGTTTCATGCGCAAAGAGGCTGTGCGCCTCAGAGAAGCTTGGCGCAGGGCTTGGCACATGATTTTGCAGTTCAAGATTGGATGATTGGATGATTGGATATTATATTGTGACTATGATTTGATATGGGTGTATCACTGTATCACCATATATGGCTCATGAATCCATATGATCCATATGAGTATATGATAAACGGGGTATTAATTATGGCCAATATATATATATATATATATGTGGCTGGTGATCACATTTGTTTATGTCCGGCCCTAAGAAAGGGATATGTGGTGACCCCTAATGGCAAGCATATCGTTGGGGTGGCTTGAAACCACCAATCAGATCCAATCAGCAAGGTTATACTCTGCAAAGTATATGATTTCATGGTTATATGTAAACGTTCCTATGTGTTGCTTTTGTTTTGTCAAGGAAGGGTCCTTGCTGCAGTGGCTGTAGTGTACATTGATGGATGGTGGTATATTAGTGTCTACTTGGCTTCCTCTTTTGATGCCAAACCATGCAATCACGGAAAGGCAGATGCTAGAAGTTAGAAGCCAGGAAATTCAAACAGAATAAGTTCCATGATTCATGATGGCAGCACTTGTTTCAGCATGTTTCTGGTTGGAGCAGCATCTTCACAACTACTTGCAATGCAAGAGGACGTTTGGACAACCTCAACGCTGTTCTCCAATTGGTGTGCGTTTCTGCTCGTAAGTAGCCAAAAAATTGTAAGACCCCTCGCATCTGGCAATCACTGCCCCTTGCCAGAAAAATCCTCCTATATCCTCATATCGACTCATATCTCATCCCCTCTTCATTTGGGACCAAAAAACAATGGGGCCAAATTCCCCCAGAAACCGCCCGTCAGGATCTGTTTTTGGCCGGTGGAGGAGTGGTATATCCAGCGGAGTGCCATGCCTCCGGTGGGACCAGGATGCACCTTCTCCGATGCACATCACGCTATTGACTTAATAGAAAACAACCCTGCAAATCGAGGACGCTATTGCCAGTTTGGCTTTGGTTTTCTGAGTTTTACACTTCGCCCATTAAATCCACTCACAGTTTTGACATAGTTGATAATGTTGATACAAGCTACAGGGGCCGTGGTTGTCGCAGGAACATGTTCCCAACATCTCCCAATTCACTGAGGCACGTGAAGATGGACGTGTTGGCCATGGACCTGGAGGATGAACCAGAATCCTGCCATATCCTGCCGTTTTGCTGAGCAACTGCTCTTGCTTGGATGGGTCCAGGGGTCCAGGAAGAATTGCTGAAGTCGTTGTTGCGGGCGCAGTACTGCTTCCCAGCAACAGGCGTTCATCTCGAGTACCAAAGGTTTCAATTCAACAGCATGCACCGGAATGATATACCCACTCACGAAGTATTCAATCCCTCCTCCCCAAGTCTTAAGAGGAAAACATGTTCAAAAGCACTTTGTTTCGTACTGTTTCGTGTCAAGTTGGACTGTTTTTCATGTTGTATTTCTTTGGCATGGGATGTTCCGGGGGGAATCGCCATAATCAGTTGGATCCCCCTTTTCCGAGGAGGAGAAGATTTCTGCGCCAGCGGTGGTGGCAAACCAGCTGAACCAGCAGGCGGAGCAGATGCAGGAGACGCATTTGAAGCTGCTGTATGCCCTGTGCCACTGGGATCCACTGGGCTCCACTGGGATCCACAGGGCCATGATTCTGTTGGTCTAAAAGATGGTGGATGAGATTGAAAAACGTGATCCTGATATATCCTGATATATGTGTATGGGGTATGGGATGATGATATGGCAACTCCGAATGACATAATGAGATAAGAAAAAGTGGTAAACCTGGACTTTAGGAATGGAGCACCGCTTACAGCATCCCAGATTTGCCGTTTATGTCTTCTTTGGGGCACTTGTATTGGATTGTATGGGGTTTAAGGAGAAGGTGAAGTTACACGCTCCCAGTTTTTTTTCATTTTCTGACATGTTTTGACATTTTTGACTATTGCCATCTATTGCCTATAATTATACAGGATCATACAGGTACTTTGCCATCGAAATTGCGTCGATTTTGCCGAGGCAGTGCACAGAGCAGTGCCACGGGGGTCAGCCGGGTCACTTGCCGTTGAACGCCAAGGCAACCAGTGTCTACAGGGACGTCATTGGGATCAAATCTCCGGCACTCTTGGAGCCTTGGACTATCTCACTAGACATACCCCTTATGTCTACAGACTCGGCCGCAGAAACATCGATGTCTGGTGTTTTGCTCATTATTCCCACACTCTGGTGCATCATGGTTTATATTTGCTGACTTCGAGTCATTTATCTCGCACACGCACGGGGCCTGTGAGATCTGCATGCACCAATATGTCAGTAGGCTCTCGGAAGTCATTGTTATTTCATGTTATTTCATGTTATTTCTCTGGCTATTCAAGTCTTGTAATTCATCCTGATTGGCATCATTTTCAGCATCATTTTCAGAGGACATATTAGTGACCCAACAGGAGACCCAACTGGATACCATCGCCTCCATTCGAAAGTCCCATGACCTGGAGGGATGATCCAACAGCCAGCGCGAAGTCAGATGGAATAGATGGAACAGATGACGTGGATACCTGGATATAATATGTATATAACATGTATGAAGATATATGATCATATATCGTGACATATTATATATTTTTTATTTATTCATTTATTTATTTATATATATTATATACATATATATATATCCTACCTCAGGGATGAAGGTTTAGGGTGTTTAAAAAACAACATCCTTCAGGAACGCCGCTCGAGCCGGACTCCAGCTTTACCTTGGCCAAAGCCATCGAGCAGGACATCGGACACTTCATCGAGGATTTGCAGGAGCAGTGCAGCAGTGGATTGATTCAACAGGAAAACCATAGGAAAACCATAGGAAAATGGTGGTTTAATGGAATTTAATGGGATTTAATAGGAGTTACCCTCTGGTAATTTGTTACATAACTATGGGAAATCACCATTTATAGTGGATTTTCCCATTAAAAATGGTGATTTTCCATAGTTATGTTAAATTACCAGAGGGTAACAACCAGCATTTTTTAATGGGGTTATGAGAGAAAAAATTGCTGTTTCCAAAGGAAAGCCCACAAAAAACCATGGTTGTTAATTTCAAATCCCTTCAGCCAGGGAAACCTACTGTAAGATGCATGGAATATGGCTGGCCAACAGCCAAGTGACTCCAAAGTTTGGTTGAACATTGGAGAAATCTTCCCCCACTAAGTACATCCATTCTTGAATGGATTTCACAGGAGATCAGCGATGCGGCCTCTGCCGAGTATCAGGTGGAGCTGGCTGCAGATGCCATGGAAGACGAGTCTTTGCCCAAAAAAAATCTGGTGAAACATGGAGAAAGCTGGTGAAAGGACGTGAAAGCTGCGGTTTTGGGGTGTAGGCGATGCTTTGGAATGGTGATCCCCATTCCTCCATGTCAAGTTGGCTACGGTGAGATATGATGAGATCCATGCAGTTTATAAGATTCGCTCCTCTGCTGGGGTCTGGCTTGGGGTCCAAAAGTGGGGTCCAGCAGCAAGGAATGGAAGACCTTGAGTTTTACCTTTGAGTGTCCTGGCAGAGAGGCACAGCAGTCAAGAATGGTTTCAGAAGAATACGCATGGAGCAGCATGGAGTCACTAGTGACTAGTGATACTAGTGTCAACTGTCTATTTTGCATTCAGACTTTGGGTAACAGTTATCTATAGTTATCTAAAACATCAATTTGCAGCACTCGCCTGATATTTTTTATAATGGTTATAGATTTTCCATGATTTTCCATGTTCCAACATGTAGTGACTGTAGTTTTTCAACGGCGCTCCGACCGGTCCGTCCATTCGGGATGAGACACGGACCGGACAGAGGTCTTGGAAATCCACGGGGGCCTCGGTCTTTACAGAGGAGAAACTGCACAAGATTTGTGTCTTGGCTGTGGATCTATGTGGATCTATGTGGTCTGGTGAGCTAGGATGAGCTAGGGCTATGGCAGCTATGGGCTATCTGGGCTATCAAATCCGATTGCTCATCTAGCTGTTGAGCGTTGAATTGTTGAGCCTTAAACTCAGTTCCAGCTCTACACAGGTGATCAGGGTGATCTTGCTACAAGAACTGTATCATAATGCGTCATGCCATATGATGCCTATTCAAACGGATGTTTTTCAGCTTGGCACTGGTGGCTGTCTTCCGAGCTGCAAGGTCAGCTTTTGGATGATCAACTGCAACGATGCTTGGACCGAACCTGATGACTTTGAGGGATACACCGCCCCCAAATCAAAGCCATTCAAAGCCTTGTTCTTGCGTATGGTTTCTTGGTATTTCTTAGTCACAATTAAGTCACTTACACGAACTCGCACAGACTGATACCATTTTACAAACATGTATAAACAAGGTAAGGAAGAAAACAAAGGTATAACCAAATTCATGAAACATGATGAAACATGTGTTTTTCTAATAACATGTCTAGCACAATTTGTAAGAAAATCTATCAAATTGTAATAATCATGCTAATTACCATCTGGTTATTTAACAGTTTGCCATGGAAAATCACAATTTTTAATAGGTAAACCCAGGTAAACCATCTATTTCCATGGGCCATCTATAGCATGGCTATGTCGTTGGAAGTGAGGCACGACCGAGCTCAAGGGCCTGATGGCCGCAGAGCCGTGGGAGGAACGCCTGGATGACTGGGAGGAGTGGTTGCAATCCATGTTTCCAGAACGCAACGGCGCTAACAGGGAAAAAAGCAAGGGGTTTATACATGGTTTTACGGTGTTTTAATGGTTTTTAATATGGCTGCTTCATGTTGTTTTTAATGGTTTATTGATTATTATGTGGTGTTTTTTTGTTTTTAGTGGTGTTGGGCCACCATAGAAGCTGTTTGGGATCCTGTTGGGGATCGGTTTTTTTGCGTTTTTGAGACGTGCCAATGGGGGGTTTACTGACCATCATTACAATCTACCCTCTGGTTATTTAACAGTTTGCCATGGAAAATCACCATTGTTCATAGGTAAACCATCTATAAATGGACAAGTTTCCATGGCTATGTTAAATAACCAGAGGGTAGAACTAGACTTAACACGACTTAAACTAGATAATCAACACAGTACCCCACTCTTGATGTGAGCACAAATAACGTCAAATAACGATAGCACACTACTGATCATGTGTTACCCGTTATGCTTCATTACATCGTAAATTATGTTCCATAACATTGGAATACCGAGGTTTGTTTTATAATGACTTTATACATAACAGAAGAAGCTTATACCTTATACCTAGTATACCCAATGAATATCCCCCATATGCTCCATGTATCTGGGCAAAAATATGGGACATCCTCTACCCTCTGGAAAAAATATCAAGCATCATCAAGCATCCAGTAAGTATGAGATGCTTCAACATCATTCTTTGCGGATCTTATTTGTCAATGGCCATTTCAGGGACCTAAATTGGAGGTACCTACCATATATAAGGCCTATTTTTCAGGCCTAAATTTCAGGGAATATCCCAGCAATTCATATGGCCTTAATTATATGGTACGTTTACGTACCTCCATCAATTGAGTCCTGAAGATCTCCCATTGAATTTGCTATAGATTGTACTCGCCTACGTCGCCTACGTCAAGGTCGGAGATTTTCTCCATCTGGGGGAAGTTGCAACAGCTGTGGACCAGTATCTTGGGCCGGACTGGGATCCAAAACAGGGATCAGGCGGAAAAAACTATGGTCAACTCACATGGCTATGGTAAAAACTATGGTAAAAATGTGGCCCAAATAGAGGCTATGTAAATAATCTATGGATACTTTATGATAATATTTACATTGATTTACTTTTTCCGGATGGTGGCTTTTCCATAGCTGTGGAAGTTTACCGGGGGAGCGCCAAAAATGATCCGAACATGTGGGGATATCAACAGCAAACATCGGGAGAGCAGCCAAAAGTGCGGGCCATCCCAGTCTAATTTGTCCTCATAGCCGCAACCAACCTATGTTTGGAGGTTTCGCATGAATCTACACTAAGGTTTTCATATCAAATGATATCATTATCTACACTAATTTATCATGATTACCACAATTACCTACATATTCACAAGTTTACCCAGTATCAACACCTTTCATAATCATGATTCACCATTATTAATCACCTATTCACAAGAAAAAATCACACTTCCCACGTCCCTAGGCTTGGAGGTGCTCTTCAGCGGCAGAGACATCTACAAGCAGCTGCCGGCGGACATCCAAACGTTTCGGAAGGTGGACAAGCGCCTCGCTGGAAAAATCCATCAGGTTATCAGGTAAATATGGCTGGCTATGAGTTTCTAGATGAATTGCGATAATTAGGATGTAAGCATTATAATTAATGCCAAATTATAACTTACATAATCCCTGTAAGTTTATGCCAGCGGGGGGAAAACCGCGCCAGCGTTTTAACCATTTTTGAAAACACACATATTTTATCCGTAGCATGCACATCTTACGTTACGTCACTGGGTTGGGGGGGTGGGGCATGTTAACGTTCATGTTAACTTGCGTCACATGCACATCTTACGTTACGTCACTGGGTTGGGGGGTGGGGGATGTTAACGTTTATGTTAACTTGCGTCACATGCGCATCTTACGTTACGTCACTGGGTTGGGGGGGGTGGGGGATGTTAACGTTCATGTTAACTTGCGTCACATGCACATCTTACGTTACGTCACTGGGTTGGGGGGGTGGGGCATGTTAACATTCATGTTAACTTGCGTCACATGCACATCTTACGTTACGTCACTGGGTTGGGGGGGTGGGGCATGTTAACATTCATGTTATCTTGCGTCACATGCACATCTTACGTTACGTCACTGGGTTGGCGGGGTGGGGGATGTTAACGTTCATGTTAACTTGCGTCACATGCACATCTTACGTTACGTCACTGGGTTGGCGGGGTGGGGGATGTTAACGTTCATGTTAACTTGCGTCACATGCACATCTTATGTTACGTCACTGGGTCGGCGTTGGATGAACTCCAAGACGAAAAGTCTTATGGAGGTCACAGGTCGAGCCTTGAAAGACCGTGTGGCAATGTGAGTTGGAAAAAAAGACCCGGCGAGTTTTCAGGAACAAATTCCCTGTAATTTACAGGTTATCGTTTAAAAAACATTTCAAAATCCCAGGGAATTTTGAGCCAATTTTAGGGCATGAATCAGTAGTTTCGCTATGGCGAAAACGACATTTTTTTAAAAAAACCCTCAAAACGCTGGCGCGGTTTTCCCCCCCGGCGGGAAGTTTATGATTATGGTAATGGTTTTTGAATGTGTTTGATAGTCAATTCTTGGGATAGACATTTCACGATTGGGTTAATTATTTCGAATAGATTTCTGGGATGAGTATCCCTAATGATGAGATTTTTTCAGGGGTGCTGAAGTCACCATGAAGATCCATGAACAAATATAACTACGCATTGTGATTACCACTACAAGTTTGGATATCCCACAACTGTATTTGTTGACCCATAACTTATGGAACCTATAATCAAATTGCGACCTGGATATATCCATAACCATAGTTGGGATATATCCTACCTATAACTGTGGTGCAATAGATCCAAATTATAGCTGGAACTGCAGTGGCCTTTATGGGTCGAAACATGTCGATCAATTCCTTTTGATAGCTTCGGAGCTGGGTTTTCTTGCATGTTGGTCAAATCAGAGACGATGAGAATCGAGAATGGGCTTGCAACTCAAGAATCATTGTAATTATTCATGAATGATCCTTTTTGGACGGGGTTGGTCACACCGCAAAGAACGACTGGATAAGCAGTGCCAGTTGATGCTCCATATATTTGTGTATGCTGCAAACACCGGAAAGATATACAAGTAGGTTGGAGTAGTAGGTCGGGCGCATTGAAACTTCTAAGTCGCACTGGAGCATCGCTGGACAATGATTGTGATATTTGTTGACATATTTTGACATGTTATATAATTTGCAAAAGTGGCCCCAGAGCCAGCGCGGTTAGCTGGGTGAGCCACAAGTGCCCGATCTGCCAAGGTATTGGCGTCACTTGATGTCCAATCTTCAGCCGCTTGGTCTGCAAAACTTGCCACAGGATTCCAGCAGCGCCCCCCCATAGCCGGTGAGTTTTGGATCACCGATGATCATCGATGGATCCACAGGTCGCATCCTTTGGCGCGGGATGTTTGCAAAATGCCGCAGCTGCTGGAGAACTTGAGTGCCTTGGATGCCTTGGCCATCCAGCATTTCGAAGGGAACAATATGGAACAATCAATAGGAAAGTCCTTTCCATTGGTTTTTTCCATGGCTGTTTCGATCGCCTTGGCTGAGAGTTCCATGTCCATCCGCCTCAAAGCGGAAGTCCAGTTGGGCTTTTGACAAATCATGGCGACTACTTGGCGACACCTCAAACTTCAGTGGTTTCAGATGTTATAAGATTTGGTGTTCTTTTGGTAAGAACTGTTCAGTTCAGTGTGAACATATGTTAATAACTACATCTGACATCTCGAAATCCACTACGCATTGTTGTTTTAAAGCTTTATATGGCATTTTGGATGACAACCAATTTGTTTGCCACCGGTTGTGGCCCTTTCCTGCGGCTATGTCGCCCAAGACCTGCTGTCTCCCCGAGGGAGCAGCCGCCGCTGCGTGCGGCATTGGGTGCGGGGAAAAATGTTTTTTTTTGGTATACACTCAGTGAAGGAACTTTCAATGTGTTAAGGAACCTGCTAAGTTCTGGTGAGAAAGAATCTCTTCATTGTCCAACTGTTTAACTAATTACTGTAGGTGGGCATTTCTTTTTTGAAATTCGAGATGCTCATGACTCTGAAACAAGCTCTCGCAGTGACAAGGATGGCAAGGTGCAGAAGCATGCAGCCTCCATGAAATAGAGGTATTGACATCATCCGAAAGCGACGGGAACAGCATACCGGCGATGATCACCGCAGCTTGTCCATATGCTTCACATGGCAAGGTGGGGACAGTGGCTTGCAGCTATGACATGGCTATCCCATGTCGTTGGGATCCGCACCCCAGGCACCTAATATTGCCATTGCCATACCGTACTGCTCCGTACTATACTCATAGCTATCGCCATCACCAAGTGCCTAGCTATGCGTAGATATGGCTACAGTACCTGAACCGAAGTTATCGCTATTTGCAGCAACCCAGCATGCATTTTCATGCGCAATTGTGTGACATCAGAACGATTAAGGACGTGATTTATTGGACATGATGCTTCACGACAAGGACAGCTGCACAGTAGCTTCCCAATGAACAACTAGCCGTTTGCCTTTAACTAGAAAGTGAGTTTTCCTCAAAGATGAAGAGTTGTTGTCGCAAAGATGGTATAGCAAATATATGCAAATTTCAATCAATTACTTTCCATGTACTCTTAAGCTTTTCAACAACTGGTTGGTGGTTTGGAACAGTTTTTCCCATTTTCCCATATATTGGGAATAATAACTGGCTATAACTGTACTATATTATTTTTCCATCATCCCAACTGACTATAACTGACTTTCATATTTTTCAGAGGGGTAGGTCAACCACCAAGCAGAAAACCTGGCAAGGACCCGAAGACTGGACAGGCCATGACTGAAGCGCCTTGGCAGTACCAAAACTCGTTGGGATTGGATGTCACCACCCAATGTTATGACTGTTATGATGCATGTTTATGGTATTCTATGGTGAGATCATCAAAAACAACGGATTCACAAGGTGGAACAGTTTTTTTTGTTGATTTCTGCGTTTCAATGGATCTCAAGTGCTCTTCAAGCTTGATGGACGGTAGCAGGCAGGTGTTTGGATATGGTTCCTGGTTTGCTGTGGTGCTTCTGGTCCTGTGTCAAAGTGCTAGCGATGCACTATGTTGATCCATGCTGTTTTGATAGGCGTTGCACTCATGACCAGACAGACTGGTTGGAAAGGGGTGCCAAACATTGCGCTCAGGACATGATCGTGGACAACGCCTCTTGGATGAGAATATCACAGCAATTCTTCAAGACAAAACACACGTGGAAATTCCATGAAATTCCCAACCTAATGAAAGATCTAAACTTATCATATCTCATCATGTTTTAGATATGTTGATGATTTGTGTTGCATTTTGTTACCCTTTTGTTACCCTCATTCCACATATTCCACAGCAACTTCCGAGGTCTTGACCTTTCTTTTCGCGGGTCAAGACTCAACGGCCGCCGCCATGGCCTCGTGTCTGTGCTTCCTGACGGCATCTCCCAGGTGCAAAGCGAAATTGTTGCAGGAGCGACATCCCGGGGTCCCATGGGTCCCGGGAAGATCTGGGGGTGGGTTGGTGGGGGGAGGTCCACAATGTTTATATGAATGGTTCATGTTCGATCATATTTTCATGAGCTCCGGTTCCAAAATTCCAGCATCCGTGATGTTCATGTGTATGTTCATGCAGAATGATGTTCATGTGTATGTTCATGCAGAAGGATTGATATCTTCATTCACGGTTTTCCTCTTCCTATATAATTGTCATGGCTTTGTCGATTCATTCATGTTGATCCAAAGTGATTGAAAGAGGTGGGGCTTCCTTTGATACACCGGATAGTTCAAAGCCCTTGTGGATCTGAAACCTTTACGTGCCAATATGGTGTATGGGATGGCTTTCGGAGGACCTGCAATCGGTTGATTATTCTGGGTCCAGTTCTCCATGCAATATTTTTTTGAGTCTGTCGAACTCGTGAGCTACACCTTCCCCCATGTCAATGGGCTATATTTGGCTATGTCATGCTATATATATCTATATATCATATCCTACAGAAACCTTGACAACCTTCCATTCGACGTTTCGCGTCATGGCAGGAGATTGATGATGTCGTTGGAACTGGGCAGTCCCTTGGTCCAGTGGGGAACGATGAAATCAACTAACGAGAACTGATGCCTCTCTAAGGCTCAAATGGGAACACCTCAGCCAGATGCCATACTTGGATTGGTGCATCAAGGAGATCCCCAGGGTACTGCCGGGGTGTGTAAAGGACTAGACCCTCAACAACCTTGAGAGCCGACTCCACCAAAAGAAAACGACCACCAGACATGTATTGAAAAAGCCGAAGATTCAGATCTGAAAAAAAGTGTCAAATCAGAAGTTTTCGGTGCTTCAAGGCATGTTTGCTCAACTCTTCCTGGCTGAACAGGAGACCATGCGCTTGGTGCCCCCAGCTGTAGGCTTTGCGCGACAGGCGGGGGAACCCGGCGCAGCGAAGGAATTCCAAGCTGGTGAAGCGGAAGATCAAACAATCAGGTGATTCACAATTCTAAAGTATGTGTTCCATTGTGTTCACACATGTGACAATTATGTATATCAACACGCATCAAGTGTTGTCACAATTTGCCATTTGCATTTGGCACTGCATGGTTGGATATTGTCTGCGCGCGCCCAAGGACGACTTACTGGGAGGTTGTGGTCAGTTGTTTTTCCTTAGAAACAGTTTGAGATACAGTGAGGGCCATTTAAATTTGCTCCGCAATGATAAATGTTCAAGCCATATAAAAGGATGGCTAAGCCAGGAAAAAAATTGTTCGTGATTACATCGAGATACTAGGCATTGTCAGGATGATCATCAGCCGATCCGGGGTGGATAGACCCAGGTTGAACCAACGCCGCAACGGCCCTGAAAAAAATCCTTTCTAAACGTTAAGCGTCGACCTTTAAAAAAAAATATATACAACAATCCTTAATCCCCATCATATCTTCAATTATCTTCAGGAAACATAAATCTGATCTTCCCCTTTCAGCAATCAGAAAGATCCAGCCACGGCAACAAGCCGGGCGAGGCCCGTGGAGATCAATTGCTGGGAGGAAAGTGGCGAATCCCCGACGGCACGCCGGTGATCGTGAACGTGCGGATGCCTGATGTCGGTGGTCTGGGCCATTCCCAAGGGGATTGGTGCAGAAAATGTAGGGATAATGCTTGTTTGTGTGGTATTAGTAGTATATATTAATGTGTGCGTGTGCATGTTATATGGATTTATATGTGACATATATGAGTACAATATATGTGCAGTGTATGTGGAATATTTATATATATATATATATGTGTGTGTGGGTGTGTGTGCGTTTTTGTATTGGCACTGATGCATATGATGCTGCATAGGTGGGTATTTGTTGGCATTTTGGAGGCATTTGTTGGACAGGGCTTGGAACAATTTGCAAGGCACCACGAGGTTGTCAGAGGTTGCTGCGAAACAGACACAGTATCATGACACAAAGCAAGTTCTAAAAGGCAGCACGGCTGCCAAAACTTCGGAGTGCCTCCAGAATGAAATAATACCTACAATACCCGTACAGTATCCAATGGTTGACGCCTATGTCTATATGAGATGAAATCATTAAGACTAAGATTGTGTTTTTGATTGCGATGTGATGTTATATGATACAGTGTGAATCAGTTTGATACAGACTGTTTAATCGCCATTGATAGACACGCACACCTACAACATGATCGAATATGATATATGATTCTAAAGCCGGTCTCCATGCATAAATTCATAAATATATATATACACACACTATGTGTGTGTGTGCGCGCATGCTATATCGTACCAGCCAATCCACATGACGAAGTAAGCAGCAAGAACTGGATGTCCAAACATCCTGCCAGTGCCGCGCCAGGCTATGGGCCTCTTGGACTTAAAAGTCGGGCATTGATGGGCCTTTTTTTGTGGGTTGACTTGGACAATCCACCAAAAAATATGGATATTACCAGCCGAATATGTCGAAATGCCGGGTAAACCCCGCTTTGATAACCCAAGTTGGAGGTACTATGCCGGTGGCCTGACCGCAAGGTATGCACTACAGCAAGGCCTTGTGGGGAGACGACGCCTACGACTTCCGCCCTGAACGTTGGGAACAGGGTGCTCCTCACAGGCAAGGTACTCCGCGAATGGCAGTCTCAACGAAGGAACATGATAAGCCACTGTATCAAGCGGTACCCTATTGTCAGATAAACCCAAATGGTTTCAATTGGGGGCAGCCATCAGTCGCCATCCGCGTTTATTATGATGATTTATCAATATATAATCATTTCCGGAAAGAAGTTTTTTAATCACCATCACTATCACCTTTAAATCTTTTAAAAATCATCATCAGCATCGTAATTCTGGTAGATAAAAGCATGGAATGTATAAGATATATAAGATTGATAATAATCGATAATAGTAGTAATACTACCAACAATACTAGTCATGCAACAATAACAGTAATAATAGTAATAGTACAGTACGCAATAGTATGATAATATAGTAATCATGCAATAAATCACTTTCATCCATCACCTTCATCACCTTCATCACCGGGGAGCAGTTTCTGCAGGTTTGCCTTCATCCCCTTCGCAGTTGGCCCTCGCGCATGCACGGGACGAGAATTTACAGTGGTGGAGCAGAAGATCACCATGGCAACCGGATGGAACTAATGGAAGATTTAGTGGGAGATGAATGGGAGATAAATGGGATATACCTTTTAGTAGTCAATCTTGGCGTGCTGGAAAATGCACCATTTACTTGGATGATGTTCCCCGTTTAAATGTCTATTTGTTTGTGATTTTCCATTGATGTTTGGATTGCGCGAGAACTATTTACTTGGAAACCTCTCTGGAGATGGCGATGGAAACAGATTATTCATGATAATTTATGTATCATTCTCATGCAGATTTGCAGATTAAAAATTTCTCGCGTCATGGTTCATCCTGGGTCATCCTGGGTCCAGCTGCATCCAGCTGACTTTGCGGTCCATGGTGACCTCACTAAGGTGAAACTCTTTCAGAATTTTGATTTCCGGCGGCCAGCGGAAGTGCAACCGGAAGCAGGTTACACCACCGTGAAATGCGGCGATGCCAAGTGGCTGGGCGATGGAAGCTGTGATCGGGATGGAAAACCAACACTGGGGCAGTGGGGGGTTGTTTCACCTTGTAAGGGTTGGTGTATAGACCAGGCTTGAAAGTGGTACATGTGATATGGGAAATGCGGGAGGAGAAGCATTCATAGATGGTCACATATAGTCACAACTTGACTAAGATTCCAAGCTGTTGGCACCTCCTTTGTGAAGAACGTTGGGAGGGTGGCGGTGAATCGCACTTAGGTTTCCGCCGTTCATCAACATGGATGCCACTTGACTGAGATGAGTGCTGGTGCCGCAAGCACCAGGGATGGATGGGTAGGGTAGGATGCCCCCACTGTTCTTCAACATTCTTCAACTTCAATGGCCCCACCAATCCTACGCAAAAGAAGTAAAGAATGGTGAACATGTTCATATAATTTCATATATGTTCATGAACCTTCTTGGTTAGGGCCTGGCATGGATGCCTCAGGTTGAGTTCAAGATGCGTTCTGCGTTCGTCGGAATGTTCTCATCCTTTGAACTGGTGGAACGGAAACGATAGCAACGGGTTGCCCTCATAGCCGTTGCTGGGCTGCAGTTCTCTTGGCTCAGGAGAAGCTGACTGGATTTAGATCTGCGATAATTTTTGATGGTTTAGATAAGTTTAAATTATTATTATAACTCAAAACCCTTCATGAACCTAAACATCTCAAGAATTCGAGATATTCTGAGTAATGCTGGCACTTTTTGCTCCAATGTTGAGGTGCAGAAGCCGAAAGAGGGCGACTGACTGGTTCTCATGTGCATCCCTTGGTGCTGCATTGAACCAGATTGAAACATTTCAATTACATGTGGTACATGCTGGTAATTTGCGCTTATCGCATTGGTGCTTGGGAGATCTTGATGTACAGTTTTGAGATCGGCCGGGCATAGCAGCCACACCAACACTTGCTCGAGATTTTGATGGGATTGGAGCATGCTGACAGTCTAGTGGAGAGCTAGGCTCAGGTCTGGATTCACCAATGGATCCGCTGACGATGCAGAAACCAATGAAAAAGGGGCAACACCTTGCAACATGGGCCTTTTCAAATCTGCCCTTTGTTTTAGTGGATCCAGTACTGCCCAGTAGCTGTCAGGGCTGCCCAGTTGATACCAGGTTTCAAGTCTCAGCTGAAAAATCAGTGCAACAAATTCAGGAAGGGGATCCTTTTGAGACATTTTGAGACAGCAGCATGTTAGCATGGCAAACTCTCTTGCAATGGGCTCATTTTGGTGCGTTTGGCTGCGCATCATTTTGGACTGTACCAGTGTACCAGTTCAAAACGCGAGACTATTGGGGATGTGACTCTAAACTAAACATTCCAAAGACGCTAGGTGGTTCCAGTCATGTTTTGCTTCCCAGCCCCTTCTTGGAGCAGCTGATTGCGGTTAGATGATGGGATGGTTTGAAGTCATCCAGCTGATCAGATCGATCAGTATCCCATGTCACGGTGAGGTTTGTGTACGTCTACTTCATGCTGGGCGCCGCTGCTATCGGCCCTGGCAAGGCAGGGTGGCCAACAGCAATTGATATTTGTTGGATGTCGGATGTCTTTGCTTACAGGTAGATGTAGGTTACCTATGGTTAATCATGGTTACATCTATGATGATGTCAACCCCTCAAGTCGTACTCACCGATCTGGTGTCCTTTTTTTGGGGGAGATTTAGTCCCAACAATTGTAAAATGATGTAACGTGCACCCCTTGCCGTGAGTTCGGGTCATCAGAATGGCAATTTTTCGTCAACATGCATTTGATGCATTTGTGCATGGCCGTTGCCGTTCTGCTGGGGCTCAAGTTACCAACATTGGTGTTGGGGGGCACCAAGTAGATTACGAAACGCCAACGATGCGGGTGGCTTGGCAACGAAGCCAATGCGAACCATGAGTATGATGGGATTTGCCGGAGGCCGGCGATAATCCCATATATTTTCCTATATGTGCCTATGAACTGTGGTTTTAAGTTAATTAAACATGTTATTTCTGTTATGTTTATTGTTTTTCCTTCCAGTTGGGATCCGCAACGACTTTCACAATGAAACCACCAGGGCCGACCAAGGTGCTTCCCTTGCTGGTGGCCCTGAGTGGCTGCTGGTGCGCTCAAGGGTTGGCGTTGGGCCAGTGGAAAGCATCCTGAAGTCCAATTGACATGACTCATGACACCTGAAAAATTGAGGATATGAGCTACAGCCAAAATTGAGGTTAATGGAGAGTAGTATTCGAGACATCTTTATGTTTTGGAAATTGAGCTGGGGTTTGGAAAACGATAATACACTCATCAAAAACGATAACATTTGCTTATATACCAAAACCTGAAAAACGATAATACACTCTTCAAAAATTGATGACTTGGAGCTATATATTGACCGTGGCCCATATCAACCCACCTAATTTTTGGGTAGCCATGTTTGATATGTATGTCATTTGATGTCCGCGAAAATGCCAGGGCGCAGCTGGCAGTTCCAGAAGACCTTGAGTGTGAGAGGGGCCCCCATGCTGCTGTTTGGAAACAAGCTCCTCGGGCTGAAGTGGTTTGAATGGTTGGACAGATATGCACAGATGACAGGGCAGAATTTTTCAGATCTGTGAGTTTGATATGCTGGGAATCCTGCATTTCCGATTCCCCTAGAGATGCTTACTTGTATTGACAACTGGCTTTTGGGTCCAAATGTTGTGTTCAAAGGTATCTAAGTCAAAGGTATTTGCTTGTTTCCATTCTATCCTTGGATGACTGATCACTGATCCCAGTTGACTAATATCAGTAGGATGGCTCATTCCTTCAGTCTACGCAACCGGCATATGAGGGTGGGGCTCTCCCTGGCAGGTGAAGCAACGCTTCCGATCGCTGTTGGAAGAGACCCCGGGAGCGCTGTGGCGCGGCGTGTAGTGAAGTGGATCGACATTCAGGGGTTGAAGCTTCAGAGCCCCAGACACTCCTCAACCACTGGAAAAGAGATTGAACATGACTGAAATATATTTGACTCCTGGAGATGGCGATGGAGAGAGAGAGAGAGATATATATATATATACATGCGGAAAATTATGTAATTAAGGCCAGTCCAAATTTCTATTTATGTTTGGGCTGGGACTCCGGGACTCCGGGACATCTTTTTTGTCTACGGGTCACTTCTGCGATGGTCCCATGTCTGTGGTCGCTGACTCAGGTTCAATCCGACACCTGGATGCAGAGTTGGCCATGTCAACAGCATTCTGCCGCAATGAAAATCATGAAAGTCGTTTTGGTATCTCAAAGTCCCAGTGTCTGTGATGCTCAACTTCAGTGCAGGCTCGTTAAACCTGATTGCTATCATTCAGCAGGGCCGGTCCTATGATACGTCCTTTGTATATGTACTTCACGGCTCGGAGAGTTGAAACACATATGTGTCCAACAACACTTTAATGCGTGTAGCCTGTGCATTTTTAGACCCCAAACTCTGACTTGAACTGCAACATGCGGATTTGGATGCGCGTGGCATCAGGATCTGTAAGGCAATGTAAGGCTACAGGTGACATTTGGTGACCATAACATGTAGCCAAAGTAGCCTGTACCTTGGGACCGGCTGGCGAAACCACCTTTCCAAGGATTCCCGAGGAGAAGTTGAAGACGGTGGTGGATGAAACCATTGCCGATGTGAAGGCCCGGCATGATGTCATTTCCAGCTTTAAACCTGCTGGTGATATGCATACCATACCGTACCTACATTTATGAATTACATTTACAGTATCTAAATAGAATAGATTTTACACAGCTTTTCCCCCTTAAATGTACTTACAAAGTTACATTTTGGAAAACAGATGGGAACAGGTAGCCTCGGCTACCGCTGTCGCCCCTGTTGGAGGCGGCTGGTGGCTTTGAGCGAACATCCACCGATGAATGTGGCTATGGACACCTGGCGAAACGCACCTGGCGCCTGGTGAAACGAGCAATACACAGAACACATTATGATACAACACAGAAACTGACAGAAGGTGGTGGTTTTTGGAGTTGAACTGTAACAACTTCCGGAGGGGGTCCAAACTATTTCAATATAGTTCAGCTGTGTACGGTTTTTTTGTTTCTGAAATATTGTTTTGTGGGGTTCTGACCAGTTGGGAATCTTCAGTTGCTAAGGAAAGCTCGCACTGCAGCTGCTGTCTGTCCACCGGCAACTTTGCACCGTTCTGTTGTTTGTCATGAAGGTTTAAGGCGAATTTCTGAATCTTACTGTGGTTTAATATGTTCTGGTCACATGTTGAGGCTCGGAAACTCACAGAATATGTATGATTAATTACATATTGTCTTAGAATGTATCCTGTAGGTCACCTTTGGAGTGAGCCAGCCATCCATGCCTCGTTGCCGAATTTGAAGTTGCAGCCTCCTCAAATGAGGCAGTTTCATTTGCTCAATGGTGAGTGGCCACACCACCGTTTGCTGGAAATGAATCCCTTTGTTTGTGGGCATATATGGTTTAATTTATGGCAATCAATCGAGGAGTATATGAAATCCTGCAAAAGTAGCATAAGATAGCGACTTGTCCACCAGGGCACATGATATGATATAACAGAAATTGCCGCTCAAGCATCTCATTTTGTACAGATGACATCCCTGCTTTTTCACACCCAGCCAGGTGTGCCTGGTTTCAGACCCCATGGCGGTGGCACAAACTGTGCAAAGCGCGGGTGAGGCGCCTCACCATGGTGATCTGGTGATGTAAATTGATGTCAAGGGAAACCACCTCCAGTGATCCCCATAGATCCCCATAGGTTCATTTCAAATTTCAGGGTTGTGCAGTGTCACAACTTGCACAAATTGGGGTAGGTTGATCCCATTCAAAAATCCCTGTGGGTTGATTCAGAAATCGGGCAATCCATTGTGTTACCATATCCAACAGGCAGAGAGCTCGGGAAGGCCACATCATGGCCACTGGCCAAGAAGTGTCAAACAAGATGTGAGTCTTTGTTGATGGATGTTGATGGTCTTAACAACAAATTGACATTCAATTAGGACATTTCATTATCCTCAGATGGTCAGATTTTGGGCATGAATCCCCACCCCAACCCCCCGCCACCATGCCACCATGCCACCATGCCACGCCAGTCCTTCGCTTCACCGGTGCTGACTTTGCTACTGGATATTCCATGGGTATCTTGGACCTAGCGGGTGATTTTCCTGGCAGCTCATTGGGCAGATGCCTATCCTGACTTTTCATGACTTCCATTTCTGACCTGTATAGTTATACAATGTTATATGGCTATGGATCAATACCTATAGATACATTTTTAGTGGAATGAACATCCATTTACCAGCTATTTTGATGTTCACCAGGGGTACAAGGTTTTGACCCATCCCATATACTAGTCCAAGATCATCCCAACCTGCCAAGACTTTGAGTAGACAGCCTCTGAGATGAATTTCTTTGTGAAAGAAAACGGGAGGTCAGGCTCTGATTACGCCAGGTGGCTACCGCCCTGTCTGGATGGCCTTTGTTCGGATTGCTGGCACAAGTGAGCTTGAGAAAGGTCCGTCCTGGAGTCCTGGTTGGATGATGTGTGGCTTCAAACCAGATCCACGAAGTTTATCAAAGTTCTATAGATCATCCAAAGAAAATATAAGAAAATAAGATGTGAGAAACATACGGCCACGGAAACGTATAGAATGATGTGGATGCTCAAGGGTTCGCAGCTCCATTGTGCCGGAAACAGTGCCCTTGCTACTGGTAAAATACCATAGTTGTGCGATGTTGTGCCTCAAGGTTGTGCACTCCCTGAATTAGATGTTGATGTTTATCGTCCGACAGAAAGGACATGGATGTGCGAGTTCAAGTTGCGATTGGTTTTTTGATATCATTTGGAGATTGACAGTTTGCCAAAACCCATAGGTTGACTTCCCCCACCCGTGTCAGGCAGGCGTGCTCGAGGGCATAGTGGACCTTGAGAGTTGCTTGGCTTTGGTGCATAGTGAAGTGATGAGGTGATCATGTAGAAGTGTGTTCTACATCGGCAATGGTAGTGCTGCATACATTGTATATTGACTGGTAACGACTGGTATTTGAAACTGTGACTGTGGAGCAAGCATGATGCAGTATTGTGGAGAATAGGCCCTTTGGCCTGGGTATGTAAACTCTGTTGCATACTGTGCACGCGCACAGTCCGCACAGTCACGCCCAAAAGTTAACATTACCATGTGGGTATGGATCAATACCTATAGATACCATTTTTAGTGGGATGAACATCCATTTACCAGCTATTTTGATGTTCACTAGGGGGATAGGGTTTTGACCCATCCCCATGTAGAACAATTGGCAAATGATGGGTACTTCTGGTCATGAAACATTGTCGCTGCTGGCACATCAAATCACATCAGAGATACAGTGGCGACAAATGGATACGGCGACAATATACACTGCTTTGACAAAATATGACACAATCATCCACCATGCAGAATACTCGTCAGATGACAGTAAAAAGGGTGCGTCACATCATATCACATCTCCATATGGATACTGTTTGATACTGTACATGTCGCAAATTGTCGCAATACACGATGTGCCAGGCATTGATGGCGTGAACAAAGGCCACCTTCCGGGGACGTGTCCGTTTTGGGAGAGTGAAAGTAGTTGTGAATGACCCAAATCATGCCACCATCAAGTCCTGTTTGATGTTGATATGTTACATCATATATTAGTAATTATTCTGTTTACCCTGGATGAACAGTACATCAATTCCCATGCATTTTACTAGTGGCAGTACCGTTCCGCATGGCTACACAAATCCGCACAAGCTAATCACGAACAGACCTTTCACCAAGGATATATGGAAGGAAATGGGGTCATTCTATTTTGGCCCAATAATAAACACGATTTTGTGGGGATATGTTTTTTCCAATGCCCATGCACCCAATGCCTTTTAAATCGGGATTCACTCGGCGATGGCCATGGTTCCATTCTCGGCCTCAGCATGGTTTCTGGCCTGATGTCATTTGGGCCCATTGACTTGGCAAAATCTGAAGTGACTGCTTGATTTTGCCTAAAGTATGTGTGGTCAAGCCTCACCGGTTTCAGTGGCTTTGGCTTGTAAGCCCGCATGGCATTTCCTTGGTCCAGCTTCACGTAATTTTCCTGAAAGTTGTGCAACACAATCAAAACATAGTGGCTCCCAAAAGCTTGCCGTTGCAACAGCTGGCTTTAGAAAGATACCTTATAGCTTATAGGCTGTGTTCTTGCATTGTGCTCCAAAAGCAATTGTTGATTTTCTTGGACAAGCTTGAATTTAGCGAAGAGCTGATCAATTAAAAACACAAGGAATGACAAGCCAACATGTATAGATATGGTTTTTTCCAAAAATCATGGCATCTATATCAAAAAAAATATTATTACAATCAAAAACAAAATATTATTACATTAAAAAAAATATTATTACAATCAAAAAATATTCTCGGACAGGGGAAGGAAGGAAGGAAGGAAGGAAGGAACGAAGGAACGAAGGAAATGTATTTGTGCAAATGTATGTTATGCTCCAGCCTGCCCCAACTCCCCAAAGATCAGGTTTATGGTCAAGTATCCCTCCCCTGGGGGGTGGAGGGGTGACACGTGGTATATCATCAGCATAAGAAGTATATGATATAGGCGATATAGGCAGTCTATGGGTGGTATTTTTTATCCAAAATTTTGAAATAGTATACGGATTATAGGTACAACCTATATATATGTAGGTAGGGATGGATGGGGCATGAGGAGTACAGAAGCATGGTATGTGTATTGTTACACTGGGGAAACTATAGCAAAGAAGTGAAAAGAAGTAGTATGGAGATAGTTTGCTGCGCCCTCCCCCCCAATCCCCCTCCCCTCCCGCTTCTTTATTTACAACCAAGAGTGCCGCATTCAAGGCACTTCAAACTACAGCAATACCCGTGAGAACAGGGCTTGTTTGTTTAAAACCAAGCTTGTGCGCTCGCAGAACACACTATTTGATTGCTGGGGAATATGTTGTTTTGATTGTAATATTTTTTTTGATACGCTTGCCAAAAATCATGTGCCTGTGCAAAAAATGGAAGCCATTGGAACCATTGCTGTGGAAAAACATGGGAAACCACATCCAATTTTGGAGGTTATAAGTTATAAGTACTTACTGTAGCTAAGGACTTGGGACTTTGTAACCTTGCCAACCTTGCTAACCCTGCTAAGTACTTCGCAGGCATAGGGTTCATCTAAGGTTGCTACCACATCAGCCGTACCGGCTGCCAGAATTTCGCTTTAGCCATGGAGCGGAGCCCCACGTTTCGATTGTTCAATACCCTGCTGGCAACAATGGTGGCCATTTTGGTTGGTTTCTTTTGTGTTCGCTTGAAGGTTATCAAACCAGCTGAGGGGCACCTTAAAGGGTTGGGTTTTTTCATCGGCTCCATGGTCTTCCCGCTGTTGATCTTCAATACAGTGGCTACAGCTGAATTGCACTCGGTGAACTACGGGGTGATTGCAGCTTGTAGTCTCGGAAAGATCGCAGTGATGATTTTGACATGGCTATTGGCATATGTGACGTTTCAGCCGAAAAGGTCGCAAGGACAAAGAATCCTCACAGCCTCGGTGTTTGCCTTCTTTTCAGTAGCATCCAATGACTTTGCTATTGGCTTTCCAGTCATTGATGCACAGTATGATAAGGATATGAGCATTTACATTGCTGGCAATGCTTTGGTCGGCTCCTTTGTATTTATTCCGTTGACCATGATCGCATTTGCCATCGGCGGTGCCATCAGGACTGGAGAAGGGCAGAGCAACTGGCAGATTTTTGTCAATACCATGTATGATTTGTCCACGAACCCAGTGATATTCATGACCTTCGCTGGACTATTGTTCAAGATCATGTTCGGGTTCAGTCTTGTTGAGGAAAATGGCAAAATCAAGCTTCCTCACCCATTTTCGGACTTCATTGAACTCTTTACTTCTCCATTTGCGATGTCTGCCCTGTTCCTGACTGGGACGTCACTACGCTCTCCTCAGATTTCTGTTTGGGCGGTCGGCATGGTGCTAATGAAGGTTGTTGTATGTGCATATCTCAGCTATCTCTTTGCGACTTTCTTAGTCCATGGAGAAGGCGTGAAACCCCTACAAGACTTCACCTTCTTCTATGGCTCGATCCCTACGAGCAGTGCTCCAATTGTCTTTGCCAGTCAGTTCGACCCTGAGGCGGCTGAGTTGATTGCCACTGCTGTTCTTTTTGGCTTGGTACTGGCATGTCCGATTATGTTCATCACGGCCTACTCTTTGAACGAACAAGGAGACCCTACCAGCAGCATGACCATCTTACGCCAGGTTCAGTTCAGCGCAGATGCAGGCAGCATTTTCTGCGGACTAGTGTTTTGTGCATGCCTTTTGTTGATTCGACAACGCTGGGGCTTCACATGTCCTGCAAGGCAGCTGCTTTTCTTCTATGGACTTGTTTTGACAGCCTATGCAGCGGTGTCGCTTCCCATTAACCCAATCATTTCAAATGCAACATGTGAAGAGTTCAACGATGCGGGCCTGAGAACTCCATTGGTCGTGGCTTTTAGTTGGCTACAAAGCAGTGCATCCTGTATGTTACTGGCATTGCAGTTTATGTATCCCTGTGAACAAAAGGCGTCTTCAAACAAGCCTTGGAAAGGCTTTGGATTTGCTTGTGGGTGCCTCCTCTTTGCACTTTTGCCAGCTTTTTTCGCAACCCCAAATACAATCAACGAGATTTGCGACCATGAAGAGTCTGGGTCTTTGCAACTTTGCCTCAATTTGATTTGGTCTTGCGTCAAGCTGGTGATTGCTACATGTTTGGCCATCTATGCCTTGTGTCGAGTGCCCAGAGAAAGCACAAGCAGCGATTCTTCGTCTGAATCAGATCACTCGGTTGAGGATATCGAAAATTTGCTCCAGGTTTCTCATCAGGTGGCTGAGTTTCGAACCATGGCTCTCCACGTGAGGTCTGGAACTCTCAGTCGCCTCGAGAGCGGTGCGGCCGATTGGGGACGGTTTATACCCAGAGGCCAGGGACTTCCTGGACATTCCTGGACCATTTGATTCCGAATAGAAGTATGTGGTATTTGAAGGTGTTCAACTATTTGGCAGATGGTAAATGAATGCAAATGATATTTTAATATACTTTATGATGTTCATATTCAGATTCAACATTGCAAAAGTTCCCCTTTTTTCTAAGATCGTTCTTTTACCAAAGATGCACAATGCATTGATTGAGAATTCAGGCATTGCCATGGCATCTGGGCTAGCTAAGACAGGTTTTGCATTGAAACAGAATGGTGCAAGGTGTGAGAGGAACTTGGTGGCTTTGATTGGCTAAGTAGGTGCATAGCGCATATCTGCATTCATGCACCCTGAAGGTGTGATTTTAACCATCACCATCATGAACATCGTGAAGGTGCTGACACAGGTGATCAATGCAGCTTTGGTCCGTTTTGCTTTCAACGAGAATATGGGGAGCTTTGCTTCAATGCTACTTCTGGAATGTGCCTTGGAACATGCTCAGCTCATTGTTCTGATGGCCTCACTTTTCTTTGACGCACACTTCACTGCCCTCCTATTGGCCATCGTACCTCAGATCTTCCCTCGAAACTCCTGCTGTCCAGCCAGGGCAGTCAGGGACACCACCCGCAATGGCACGTGGTTGGGTTGGTCCTTGATAAGGCAGCCCGATCCAAAGGACTGCGAGTGAGAAGGCCACTGGCCCATTGCGACCCTAAAACCTCACACTGAATTTTTTTGAACATTTGAATCTATGACCTGCAGAAAATCATGTGCAGTGCAACGGTGCACCTGCCACTTTATGACTTGAGTTTACGGAGTAGGAAAAGATGGAAAAGGGCTGCCGGAGTGACGGGTTCCTGGCAGAATCGAAGAGAGTCGAAAAGGTGGGTCACCAATGGTCGCCCCAGTCGCCCCAGTCGCCCCAGGCAGCGTTTACTTCACCGCCATGCGCAAAGCCATGGTTGCCTCGGACCTCACCGCCATGGCGGATGCGACGGTGAAGTGACCTGACCAGTTTGAAGTGGCAGCCCAGTTCAATGGGCCGTCTACGGAAATGAATTTAGATGAGTTTAGATTAAATTTAGATTATTTGGTAAATATACATTTCAAAAAAATATTAGATGTACTAAATGTATCCATATATATCTATACATATATATATATACACGTACGCATTACAATCAAATTCCATGTGCCAAGAGTCATTGATAGATGACAAGCGCATTGACGCGGCTGAATCCTGCAGGGATGTGTGGTTCGCCACCTGTGTCAAGGCCTGAAAAACAGCCCTGATCAGCCCATATTTGGCAGGTACCTAGACAACCCCGACGTTGCAGGCATGGTCAAATGCTGCCGTTGGTTGATTCTGGCCACTATCTAACATGGCAAGAGGGAAAATATGTTTGAGACAGTACAGTAGTGATAAGTTCGAAGGCTTGGCCTGTTCAATCTCCATATATTTTGTTCCTTTGTCATCTTCAGTCGTTTAATAGCAAAAAGATCACTCTATCCACATTGTTTGATTGAATATCACCCGTGTTTCTTGATCATCTTATCCATTATTCCCAGTTTTGCTGCGGATAAAACATATCCTGATTCTATCATATCATGCATGTTCATTCATTTGGTTTACTTGGCTTACTTGTCATTTGAATCATTTCTTTCTTTTTCCATGTGTTTTTTTTAACACACATAAACCATCATCAACTTACCCTCTGGTAATTTGTAACATAGCTATTGAAAATGGCCATTTATAGTGGATTTTCCCATTAAAAATGGTGATGTTCTATAGTTTTTTGTATGTTTACCAGAGGGTATCCACACATTCCCCAGGGTCCCCTGTTTCAGGGGATGGTGGCGCCCTGGGCGCCCTCACAGCACTGGCCACCCAAGCAGCGGTGCAGAGCAACGTGCAGCACCTCGGCATCAAAAAACACAACATATGACCATATGCATATGCTGTACATATATCTATATATTTATATATATATATTTATTTAATTTGTTATAATATTCATATATAAGATTCTATATGTCCATATGTCTATATGTATGGAATTATACATCTTCTGAGTTTCACATGTCCTGTGTGTTTTCCTCTGTGAGAAAACATGTTCGATCACCTTTGATATCCCACCAAGCTATTTTGGTTGGTCAACCCATGCTATTCCAAGCAAGTCAAATTAGAGACGTATTCTCAATAAACAACTATTACATCATTCCAAACATGGCCCCAAAAATTAAATGGCAAAACATCTTTTGCCAATTGGAAGCGAATCATTTCAAATGGTGGTTTAATTGCTTAGCCCTTGAACAGGCATTTTGCTGCTTATATTCATTCTTATAGCGTAGTCAAATCGTGGCACTGGCAAATGCAGTTCCACATTTCACCAGCGTTTCTGATGCTCACATTTGCTCATCAGGCAGGAAGCCCAGGTGCAAATAATCCAATCTATGTTATATCCGTTCAATTCACAGTGGACACTATCACTACCGGTCACTACCGCGATGCCGGTGTGTCCACTGGATGTGGTCGTTAGGGAACGCCTCAACTTGATCAACGGCTTACAGGAGGCGCAATATGGGTGAATATGGGTGAATATGGGTGAATGCTGAAGCCACAAGTCAAAGGCACTGTTTATGACATAATATGAGGTGAATTTTCCTCAACTTGGAGGTGGCAGGTTTTAGGTGGCAATCCTTGCAGCTCCCGGGATTTGATGTCGGTTGTCCTTCAGCATGGGGTTGAGCCCTGCTGGTGACTGATGGTGACTGCTGATGGAGTTTGCTCTGATTCCAACTCACTCCTTTCGTGTAGGCTATGAAGAAAGCCGTGCACAACTCTCAAGATTTGGAGCCTGTGGCAGCTTGTGGCTGTGGCGGGTTTGCTGCAAAATCCTGCAAAATTTCCGGCGATGTTCAAGTTGTTTGTCATAGGATGTCCCAATCAGACTTCAATTTCGATCTCTAGCCCCAAATCCCATATCATTCCAAGTCTCGACAGATCTCAGCAGAATTGTTTTTGAAGAATACCAGGCCTTCCGCCAATGCTCTAATCATGTCTGGAAGGTAATATAATTATAAAAGATATGTATATATTATATATTCAGTAACAAGATGTTGCTATAGCACTTGCATAGCGCTGGCGATTAAAAACATTTTTTCCCACTTGACCTGTAGCTTTGCGTATGTCATGCTCAGTGGCCAACCCCTTACACGTTCATGTAAAGTTGGCAGACCAGCGCATTGATTCCTCCGAATCGCTCCACTCTCCTCCTCCTCGTCCTCATCTTCCTTCTTATCATCAACAACAACATCATCACCACCATCACTATCACCATCACTATCACCATCACCAATCATCACAACTCACGTCTTCGCCTCATTTAGATCCTGGCGTCAGCAGGATCTGATGCTGGCGACCCGGTGGCCCCTTTGGAGCCGGGACCTTGGAGAATTTTTGTTGAAAGATTCGCAAAGATCATGAAGCTAGGAGAATTCGGCTGGGTTTGTTGATGTTAGTCACTGTTAGTGCCTGTTAGTCTTGTTGTTATGTTGATGTTCACTTGATGTTCATTTGCTTGAGGCGTTTCTTTAAAGCTCGTGACCCATTGGCAGAATGATACATACCAAAACAATCCAGAACAACCAGAACCCCTGTTTCTGTGGCAAGCCCCGTGATAAATTATGTCAATCACGAAATTCTAAAGACTTTAAAAAGCGGATGGTTTGTCAGTTTATCATGTGGTCATCCTTTTGTTACCCACCTTGCTGTCAAAGCTGGTCCCAGGTTTGATCCACTTCACGGTAGATGCCATCAGCGTGGCCCCACCGCCAGTGAAAGCATAGAGATCACACGAGTGGTGGGATGGCACAGGTTGCAGGTTGCACGACATATGACTAAACTTTGGACACACTTGGGACCTGAGTGCGCCCATAGAATTGGTGCCCCAGTTTGATGATGTACTGGATGTAGTTCCAGGCTTCCATGCACCCATTCACATGTTATGCAGGATGTGCCCCCATTTCCTACCTTCACCATCCACTATTCAAGTTAGAGGGCTACACCAACTATAGGTGGTCCAGTCCCAAAGGATGTTGCAACCTTCTAACCTTCCAACCTTCCGCTCCCCCGGCACCCTGCACCAACAAGTGCTGAAGTGCGCACCAAAACGGCACGGAGAGCCGGCGACGGGCGGCCTTGTGCAAACGGTGAACGCCACAGTTTTTGTGCCAGTTGTTTGGCCCTGCCATAGCCATAGGCCGGCCAAGGGGTAAAAGCCTTTTCCCTCAGACAAGATCCTTTGATAGACAGGTTTGACTCCATAAGGAGTTGCATGACGACGTTGCTTCTTCCTTCTGGCAGATAAGGAATTAGCTTTTTGGGGACCTCGACTTGGGGAAACGGCTTTGTTCCCGAGATTGGTTGGCAGCAGGCCTCACTAATCATGTTGCCCTCCAGTTTTGAGGCTTTACAGGCCTTCGAAAAGCAGGCATTTCATGTGGCGTAATACTTGATCTATGTTGAGCAGAGCACGGGCAGCTCGGTCACCAGAAACATGTCCTGTAAGTGCATATAAGTGCATAAAAATTCCAATGATGTTCATCCATGTTCAAATTCAAGCATGTCAAACTTGAAAGTACCAATGATATCAAGATGATACCAACATGATATCAACCTGCAACAGCTGACACGAGACCCATTGACCTCGAGCTCGCCTCGCAGTTTGGAAATCTTTACCCGTGCCGTTGTGGCCCATGCGACCAATACGAGCGCAGGGCATCCGCCCTTGGCCACAGAACGGTGCCAAACGGTGAAAGGAATGGAGGTGTCAGCACTGGGGGACAGGTCAAGTGACCTTTGGATTCCCTTGACCTGTCATAATTCGCGCTGCGCCATAGCGTTCCTATTTCCTGTTAACGCATAGGCTTGAAATAAAATCCTGATGGAATGTCCGCAGGAAGTTTCGCAGAACGAGACGATGCAAAAAAGATGTTGCAAAGTATTGCAAGATATTCCAATTGATTGCCTATTGTCTCAACATTTTTAAACCTGGTAAATGCGTAACCAAACACACAACACATCCCAACACTCAAACTTTGAAGCCTCCTGAACTGTTCCATGATCAAAGTGTCCATGTATGCTGCCAGGTGACCTGCCAGATTCTGACGGTTGTCCCTTTGGATGGCAACTTGCACGCGCTCATGTTGCCACAGGTGGGTCACAAAATGGCGCAACTGATTGAGTTGAAAATAGCTGAAGTGGCAGTTGTTGGACTAACATGAACTAATTACATTACTTTGCATTACTGCATGGCCGCTGCTGCTGCTGCTGCTATTTATTGCACTTGTGGGTTCAAGGTGCAGATGTTGTTGTCGTTGCGGGTTATGGTTTGCCAGCTACCTCAAAGAGTTTCTTCTGTCTACCACTTCCAGTAAGCCACCATATCTGTCGATTTCAGCGTCAATGCGCACAGGAGTCCACAATGGAATTCCTGAACAGACTCGGGACCCAGACAGTTACATAATAGTTGTACATGTGATATAGACGTATGTATGTAATATAATACGTGTATATATATATATACAGTATATACATGAGTTATTTGCTTGTGTATATATATATATGCATATGTATATTTATAAATATATATATATGTATAAATATATTCATGTATATTTATATAAATGATATTCACTTTATACAGCTTCATCACAACCTTACTTTATCGAGCTACTGCGACTTGGGAACGTATGCTGCATATGGCGTTTCAGCAGTGATCGGGACACGTTGCCACGCCAGGCCGATCCTTCTGAGGTGCAGTGCTTGGATGATCTTGGATGTGGGACCGATGGTTGGGAAAGACTCAAGAAATGCACAAAATGTTACATAATATTACATAGTACTACATAATATTACAGTACATTACAGTACATTACAGGACATTGCAGTACATTACAGGACATTACAGGACATTGCAGTACATAATACATGCATATGTATATTATGTATATGCAATGAATGATATAAACGCATGACAAAAGGTGTCATGTATCCATGGGTATCGATGATGGTAGACGATAGGTGGGTGGGATCTAGATAACCGAAGGAAGTTTAGAAGTCAAACAGTCAAACTTCCGACCTATGGGTAGGTGCAGCAACAGCGGTGAAAGCAATCAGAGAAGAGAAGAGTCAGAAGAGAAAAAGTCAAAAGGTAGAAGAACCAGGTGCGCGAAAAGGTAGAAGCGTCGCAAAACACTGTGTGTTTCCAATGTTTTGTGCCTCCAGAGGGTGAAAAGTTAAAAACTGACAGTCTCAGACCTTTTTTGGACGCTGAGATATCGAAAAAGCGCACGCAACTACAACAATAGCTACAACTACACGACACTACAACTAACTACAACTACACCCACACTTACACCTACACCTACTACTAGAACTAGAACTACAACTGCAACACAACTACAATTACAACTGCAACTGCACCCACACTTACACTTACACCTATGCCTACAACTACAAGTACAACTACAACTATAAGTACACTACAACTACAAGTACAACTAAGACTACAACTCACACTACACCACACCACGCCACATTACATCACATTGCTTTACATTACATTACAAAACACGACACGACACGACACGACACCACACCCACACTGACGCATACAACTACAACTGCAACCACGCTACACTACACCCACACTCACGCCCTCAACCACGCCTACAACTACAACTAGAACTACTACAAGTACAAGTGCAAGTACAACTACATTTACGCTACACTAGAGAGAGATAGATAGATAGATAGATAGAGATAGATAGATAGAGATAGATAGATAGAGATAGATAGATAGAGACAGATAGATAGATACAGATAGATAGATAGAGATAGATAGATAGATAGACAGATAGACAGAGGGAGAGACAGACATTGAGAGACACAAAGAGAAGGTGACACAGAGAGTTGTATCGAGAGAGAAACACTCAGAGCCTCAACCACCTTTCGATCCATCAGTGGGTCCGCTCTGCAATCCATGCATCACAACAACTCACCCCTCCTATAGTTTCCTATCTTTGAAACTCGCTCCACCTCCTTGCGCGGTACTACTGGTATGAAGCAGTTGAACATGCTTTCTGCTGTGTTAAAGCTGTGGCAGGCTTGGTGACTGTTGTCATCGCGGGAAAACTGCAGGTTTATGCGGCAGTGGCGTGCAACAGTGTCCCTTGGCTGCGGTTGTGGAGCAGCATTGCGCCTTCCCAGGTTTTTTTGGGGTGCGAATGAAACAGAATGAAACAGAATGAAACACATTAAAGCACCACAAATCATCAAGGTCTGTGGGCTGCTCATCTGATTTAACCCCCCTGCCAGCCATGGTGTTTTAGCAGGGTGCCGTCCATGGTCCCAACCGAGACCGGTAGTTGCTTAAATTGGCCGGTCGGCCCCCGTATGCCCCAGTGATTTTGATATGTTTATTATGTTTCTATTGTTTGAAGGCATAAACTGATATGATATAATGTTCTAACTGAATCCTTTTGTTGAGATGAGGATCAAACACAACCCAGCCATACCCTGCTGCATTTAGTCAGATGATGTCAGATGCAATGGCAGCAAATTATATGACTGACATTTGGCATGATTGCTGTTACGATCATTAACAGGGCGTATCCATGTGTATCCCAAGAGGCTCAAGAATGTGCAGGATATCTCCCTTGGCGTGTGGGTATGGATCCAGTTTTATACCCTGCGAGATATCCCTTTGGTTTTCTTCCCTGAAGACTGGTTGTTTCGATCGTTTAGATGGCCACGCCTGTTTTTCTTGTTTAATTTGATCGAATCAATTCCAGCAACGCGTTGCCCAGAAATAGTTGCTTCCGCCAGCGGTGTTGCCTCCCATATGTTTCTCATGTTTGCAGAGCATGGACGATGACTAGCTGCAACTGGTGCTCTTTGAAGGTTTCGCGTTGCAGGGAGCTTAGCTCCGGCCAAGCAGCCAAATTTGGGAAGCCGGCTGAGTCTTTAGGATCACCAGATCATAACCCATCAGCACCTTTTTCGTGTGTTTGTTCACATCTCTCATTTGTGGAAGGAGAAGATTTCAGGGTACCATGGTTTTGCCCTGCGAACCTCTGGGTGCTGTAATTGACAAAATCATACAAAATCCAAACCGAAGATCAGTAGAATCAGTGCGATGTGTTTATTGTTTCCCCCTTTGATACAGGGCAGGTGTGGGAGGTCCATTCTGATTCTGAAATCGAAATGTTCAAATCCCTCCAAAGATCATCCACGTGGTTGTGAACTGAAGCGATCCTATCCAGATCTTTCAGATGATCATGATGTTTGTTGTTGCATGTTCTTGCTTGAATATGTTGAATATGTTTAATGCGTTCATATCAATTTTGTAGTATTATACCATATAGTCAATATAGTATATTCCTTTTTTGGTGTGGTCCGAAATCCAGAAAACATATGACTAGAAGCCCTAAAGCTTCACCATCGCCGAGGGTCGAACTGGCTTTGGAACTGGCGAATCACAGCAAGAGATTCAGCGATGAGGCCGAAGATTCGTCGGAAGCACGTGGCACATGAGATCCTACAGGGTACTGTTATTGGTTCAAATCGATAACCCAAATGATCAGAGGCCCTCTGCAAATTCCGTCCTCAGCGGAAGAAATGATTAAAACTGGCCATTTTGGAGTGGAGTTTATTGTTTGAGGCGCATGCATTTTTTGTGCGAGCCAACCTGTACTGGGAATAAAGCCTGATTGCATTTTGGCAGAAGGGGTTCAGAAGGGGGAGGTGGAGGTCCCCTATAAATCTTTATCTAAAATCATGGAAA